GCCGGGTTGGCCAGCACGTCATTCTTCAGAGGGTTCAGAGAAATGTTGCTTGACGCATGGACGTCCCGCAGGTGCTTGGCCTTGACATCCGAGCGTCTGCGCTGGTTGTACTTCACGGTGAACTCACAGAGCCCACAGTGCCACCAAGTTTGGTTGCTGCGATCTGTTTCCGTCAAAGAAAGGCCACGAAACTGCTTGGCCGGAGTGCATTTTCGATCCGCGTCCCAGGCCGCCTGGCGGGCAACCTTGTTTTGGATCCGAAGCTGCACTCGTTTTTTCCTTGCATCTGCCTTGGACACGTGCACTTTCTGCCGACCCTCATCGTACCACGCCCGCCACAGTCGCTTGCGGGTGCATGGGAAGGCTGGGAATAGATTTTTGGTTACCCTCGTAGGCCGGGCAAATTTGGGCAGCGACTTGGCTGCTCAGGATTCTGCCAGAATTGCATTTGCTGCACTTCCAACTGAGCTTGGCCGTGACCAGGCTGTGCATACCTGGCCAAGCCCTAGCGGAGCAAATGTCCAACAAAGTTGACCATCGGCTTTTGTAATATCGGGCCGAGGATGACTCCGACGGCTTAGGAGGAGCATGCTTTGGAATATCTTTTGGCGCAACTTCATGAATTTGGGTCAGGTGTTGCCTTCTGGCGTCAGAGTGAGTGGAGACACCAGCAACCCAATACACCTTGAAGTCACATTTGTCACAAGTCCACCAGAGTTGCCCGACCTGAGTTCGATGCCAAGATCGTGGTCGTTTAGCAGCGGCAGGGGGAGCATGCTTGTGACCGGAAGCAGGGGTAGAGGATGCTTTAGCGAAACCTGAATAAGCTTGGGCCAAACTCAACTGGGAGGCCTTTGAAGCACTTGCGGATCGTGCTTGGGACAGCTTACGCTTGCGACTGCCAACACTAGGACTGGGAGGCAAATCAAGCCTTGAAGCAGCACGGGTACTGGGTTCACGACCCGGTGTGTTAAGGGGTAAACTAAGGCCAGAACCGCCAGCAAGGCTCTCAACTGCTTTCAGGGGAGTCTGGGCCGGTAAACTAAGCTTAGGGCTAGACTGCACATGATGGGTGACATCCTGCGAACCGCCAGCTAGGCTCTCAACTGCTTTCAGAGGAGTCTGGGCCGGTAAACTAAGCTGAGAGCTAGCCGCTAGCCTGCACATGATGGGTGACATCCTGCGAACCGCCAGCTAGGCTCTCAACTGCTTTCAGAGGAGTCTGGGCCGGCAAACTAAGCTTAGGACTAGACTGCACATGATGGGTGACATCCTGCGAACCGTGGGGCTGAAACCAGTTTCGAAGTGAGGACTGGGACGGGTCTGGCGTAGACTTCTCAGAGCCTGCGCCAGAGCCACGCAAAACATGTCGGGCCACCTGAGGAGTTTCAGCAAACCACTCGTTAGGAATCTGAATGGTTTTATCCGCTGGCAATAAGGCGCGATAATGACCATCCTTCAGGGCCAGGCAAACCGTGTGAGCCTTAGGTTGACCTGGGACTGCCACAGCTTTCTCATATTTGGAGCTCACCACATGTCTCCCCCATGCTTCATCTCTTTTATTCCAATTGAAGATGGTGAAAACGCAACCCAAGCGATGGGCAAGACCATAAAGTAACAAACCATCAATCCAAAAATTGCGACGGCTGGCAATCATACAATAATCCTGAAAATCCTTAGGACTGGGTTGGAAATCCCTTTGGGCCGGGGTTTCAAGGGGATCATGAGCGAAGAAACCGCCGAAAGTCTCAGCATGTTTAATCAGATGGCCGGTGGCCATAGTGCGCAAACGGCTGCCTTCGGTGATGATTTTTTCAATGGTTAAATCCTTGTTCTGAGAAACTGCAATGGACCTAGCAATGGATCTAAACCCACAGTCTCCTGTACCACCATCATCGTGGAAGGTCCAGTCGGGATGAAGTCGGGAGAAAACTTCCTCAGCAATTACAGGAGGCATGGAACTGATCGCCTCAGCTTTACCTTTGCCAGAATTCCTTCTGGGGGATCTATCCTTCCCGTCCTCTCGTTCAGGAATGGGGGGAGTAACATCCGAAGGAGAGTGAAGGGCGGAAGAAGCGGTATTCCCAAGTTGCTCGAAGGATTTGGGGTCAGTCCACTTCTTTTTAGGGGCCTGGAGCCTTTCACCTGGGGGAACCTTTTTGGCGGGTCGTTTCTCCAAGGTGATGGAAATGTGGACTTCACCCTGGGGGTCCGAATACTGCCAGTAGGTGGCTTGTTCAGGGTCCTCATTCTGAAAGGGGGGGCAAGTAGCATGAACCAACCAAACATGCTGATGCCTACGGCGAAGTTTCTTTCTGACCTGGATATCTTTCCAACCTTCAGAACTGAGAAATTCAGTGATGTGTTCTTGGTACCAATGACTCGGGGCCCCATAAATTTCCCAAGCCCGTCGTTTGGCCATAGGGCTGGTGTGATTGGTGAGGCCAATTAAACCTAAGTGATGCGGTCCCTGCTGTCTGAGAGCCACACCAACTTTTTCTGTCTGAGCTTGAGCACAAGCTGTCCTGAAATATTCCTCATCGGACTGCTCCTTTTCTTTGGTGATCCACCTGACTGGCTTGTGGTCATGTTTTGGGCACAGAGTCGTAGCAAACAAACCCCTTTTGCCAGAGAGATCGCAGACCTTAGTGGCCAGGTCTTCAGGCACACGCACATGGGCCACAAGCAAAGCACCCTTAGTGTGTGGGATTTTTTCCCAGGAGCCACCCGTGAAAGCAGCAACAGAACATCCAGTCAATTGGGCCCATTCACTGATGACCGATGAGGGGCTGTCCTCTCGTTCAACACCCGCAACAAACTTTCGAAAGAAATGAGGGGTAAGCAACCGAAGAGTGGTGAGCCTGGGACCATGAAGATCTTTGATTTGAACAACCTGGGCAGGTCGAGGTGCCGGCCCTTCTTGATCAGCTATGTGAACAATGGTGACTTTCAGCTTGTTGGCCTAGCGGTCGTCCACCATGCAGTGACAGTGGGACAAACTGACGATGGGCCAGCCTCCGTAGCCACAGCGCATGGTTCTGTAAGCTCGTAAGCATTCCAAATTTGTCGGACTTCGTCAACGACCGACGCATCCTTGGTGACAACTAAGTTTCCAGGGATGGGATCTCCTTCCCGCAAAGCGTGAAGGATTTGAGAGAGATTGGTGACCTTAGGGTTGCCAGTCCATTCAGCAGCCAGGGCACGTGCCGCAAATTTTTGTTGCGGTTGAGTAGGAGGTTTGGAAGGGGAGCCCTTACTTTTGGGGGGGGATCCTTATTAGATTGGGGAGATTTGCCTTTACCACCCTTAGTCTTAACAGCATGAGGAATCAGGTCAGGAGTGGACTTGACTTTGTCTGCCCAGGTGTCTTTGCCTGGATTGCGCAGACAAGATTCAGCTTCCCGAACCTTTTCACGCAGAAGAGTGTCGGAATCAAGCCAGCAATCGATGTCGTTAACCGGAGCCTCAAGCAGCATGCCAGTGACTTTGCCAGCTTGCCAAGAGACTTTTGAAATTTTCGGAAACAAATGTTCTCCAAGCTGCTGCTTCGTGCCTGACAGTGGGGCCTTAGCACTGTTGGTATCAGCTTGGGCGAAACTGGTTTTCTGGGTTTTCACATCAAAATCACCACCTGATTCACTAGGGCCATGCCTGGTGATTTTATTGATCACTCTGTTAGCGACAACGTCATCAGGAAGACCCTGACGAAGTGCGGCCTGAAGAGTTTGCAGCAGAATGCGCGCCAAAGGTGAGCCAGCCTGCTTCTCGGGTTGGGGTCCGCCTTTCCCTTTTTTGTTTGGGGGTCCAGTTGAAGTCTGTGGTCCCCGCCTTTGGTGCTGTTGCACAAACTCAAGAAGTGCAACAGCCAGTCCAGAATCACTTCGGTCCTCATTGCTTTCAATGGTTTCAGCTTTGCGCTTGGTAGCCCGAGCACCACCGCCACTGCCCCGGCCTGGTCCGGGGTGGCTGGCTTCACCTACTCTGCAGCCAAGCCAACTAACTAACCAAGAAATGATTTTTTGATAAAAGGAGAGGCGAGGAGCAATGGTCTTGGTTCTGGCGGTCACATTTGGACACCAACGAGCTGTGTGAACTGCCTTCAGCAGCTGAGCCCGTTTCTTTTGACCAAGCCTCCGGTACCTCTTGTGTTGAACACGGTATCTACGTCCCTTGATGTGCAAACAGCTCCCAACAAACCGTCTACGCGAGTGGGTTCGAGCATGATGACGTGTCTTACAGCGTTTTCTGCCAGTCTTACTTCTCCTAACAGGGGGTCTAACATGCCAATGATAAAGCCAAAGGAAAAAGTAAGCTGACACCTCTAGCCACCAACTAGGGAATCTACTGGAACTCTGAAGCACCCTCAAAGTCCTAGCTTGCCTCGCAGCGCCCGGAAACTCGGCGCCAAAGTGTTGCAAGGCGTCACCAGCAGGAAGGCCCGCTGCAATGCTGCCATCAAATTGCTTCGCTGCGCTGCCATGGCTTGTCATTGTCATGTTGCAAGCGCCCGCGGTCCGGGAGCCCTCTGAGGGGCTAAAGTTTAATGCAGCCAAGGTGCGATGTCCCTCCAAACCAGGGAACCCGGTTTTAGGGGAAACACACCCCAAAGGAACACCCACAAAACCCAAGGAACCATTTCCCCTGAAAGGAACCGGGGTTTTAGGGGGTCCAACTGTCGCGCAGCTGCATCGGCAAGGCAAGAGCAGCAGAAGCAAAACAAGTGAAATACAACGTGGCTGCCGCAAAGCCGTTGGTCCCTTCACTCCAAAATTCATTTTTGTATTCTTTTGATGGGAATCTTGGCACATCGTGTTTGTGCATCTTAAGCGGTTCTTTTCCTGTCTCTTAGTGAGTGCACTCACATTTCTTTGACCCACGTTTCGTCCTTTGATGCATGACAATTGCATCAAAGCCCGCAGCCACCACCAGGAGGTAGAGGTCAGGCTGCTAAGGCCTGTGAGCCGCTGAGTGCCGCTGAGCCGTGTAACCGCAAAAGCGGCTCACTCACCGCAGCTGTCTGGTTCCATCGGGGCTTCTTCAGGGTTGTCCTTGGGAGCCAAGTTTTCCAGGACATCTGGGAAAAACTTCTTCACGTCTCCTGCCAAAGCTTCATTGAAAAGAGTTGATCCCTCCAAGGTAATTAGCCCGCAGGCGGCTCTGTCCGCAATGGCCTGGAGCCAGTGCTGGTGTTCCTTGTTCAAGCACAGGCCGTGGTAGACAACGCCTCTGGTGAGGCTGGCTTCCATGAATGCGCCGGAGCCGGCTGTCACATCGAAAACTGCGGTCACCTTGTACTCGTCAAGGATTGCATTGAAAAAGCTGATGGGCTTGGACTCTTGCCAAAAAGAGCGGCACTGCATTGTCCCCAAAGCGATCTGTCCAGTCCTCCGGAGGAGCCGCAGAAGCCGCAGAGCCGAGGACCTGTGCTTTTTCAGTCAATGACAACAGGGGAAGTTCATAGGAGGACCGAAACTCCACTCCACTATAGCTGCCTTGAAAAGTCGTGGCTTCTCCACAGGTGCTTCTCTGAATGCTTCCCTTTGAGGCCGAAGCATGGAACCCAAGCGGAAACAACCATGGTCGGTGGCCAAAACGGCTAGGTTAGCCGGTGGGCCGCTGAGCCAAAAAAACCCTTTGATATCAGACTGGCAAGGTGGACGGCTAGCACTGTTTGAGTCAACTAGATGGCAAGCTGAATCCTTCACATTGCTGGGCCCCCAGCAAGCGAAGCCGTCATGTTCGAGCCACGGAAATAATCCATTACATGTGGCCTGGCCGCTTAGAGCTTCTGGAAGGGGCTTTTGTGTCTCCAAAGGAACTGTTTGTCTCAAGTCCTGAAAATTACACATTGCCTGAATCAGATAGCAACAAAGTATACAAAATCTGACTTTTCCAGCATGCTGCATGCTGGTAAATCAGCTCTGTTTCTGCTACAGTCCACATGAAACAAGCAGCCTTTCAAGGAGCCTATCTGACCTTTCAGAACCTAGAAGGAGATGAACCATGCATTGAAAGGTTGCAGGAGTGAACCGAAAGGACGAGTTCGCGCGCACAGAAACATAAAGAAACCAGAATCCATTCTGCAGCTGAAGCTGAAGTTTCACTGAGCACCTAGCCTGCTTCAACCAAGAGCAGCTGCGATTCTGGGGGCAACCGTAGGCACCTCCTTTGCTTTCCAGTTGCCTCAGGCTTCCAGCGGGTACTACTGGTTTTTGAAGAGTCCATGCGCATGTACCCATGCAGCCGCATTGTCCTTCTTAAGGCAAGAAGCAGCGACTGTGAAATGCAAAGTTCCTCAGGACCATCATGATAAGTGAAAAAATGCCAACTTGGGAACAAAACAGGGCTTCAGGTCACTGTGGGGCTGAGCGTCTTAAGAACGTGGATGCATTTGCAAGCATTCACAGCGCAAATGTGGCTGGTTAGCTCAGCCTGGAGGTTCAGCATCTTCGGACAGTGCTGGTTCGGCCAAGGTTGCAAATGCTCAACCACTTTGTCCAAGACATCGTCAGCTGCAGAGCCACACCATCGGCCAAAGAGTTTGCTATAATTACCATTCCTGACAAGATTGACGAGACATTGTATGAAGTGCTTTGAAAACAATGTGGCTGATGCTACCCAATTCTTTTAGCCGTGATTCCAGTGCCAGCTGCATTCCTGGCTGGCTCGCGCCAGACGTCCCAGGGCTTCTAAAGTCTGTAGGAAATGCGTACCCATGAGTTTCGATGCATCACACTGAATCATATCCAACCTTGCCACAGGGCCAATTTGAAAATCAAATGCCCATGCATATACTGGAGAAATACTTGTTTCGCATTGCCAAAATTGGAAAAGATGGTAACCACAAAATACGCTCCTTGACAAGAAGCAAATCTGGATCCACAAGCCATGATTTCTTGCTGTCATTCACAAAAATGGCATCTAGCGTGCCATCCAAAAATTGCCCACAGAGACTCAATGCCCCTGCGAGGCGCAACTGCCCCAGATCACGGTTTGGTCGCAACTTCTTGCCATGCTTGGAAATCACTCTGGAAGGCATGTATAAGCCTTTCGTTGTCCTACGCCATTGGTGTCTCGGAAGAACTGGTGGATCACACCGAGCCACCGAGCAATGAAATCCTTTGCTGAGAGCATGTCTCAAACACGTACTGAGCAAAATCAGGGGACCTAAGGTATGTAACTATGATCACAAGCCCGAGCTGTTCACGACTCTCAAGTCGTTGCGCATGTGGCGTCGCCAAGATCTTCACCAAATAGTCCGTCACCTTGTCACCTCCTCAAGGAGAAGACAACTCACAATGGAAGAGGGCTACATGATGCCATGGATACGCCCATGAGCAACACACATGGACACATCACTGGAAGACTCGGGCAAGTTCGGTTTGATAGTCAAAAGCAAACACAAAGGGGAAATATCGAAGCATTCTGAAAGGAATGGCTTTTGTAAACGTCCCAAAAAAACTGCCTTCCAGATACGCACAGAATAGAAAAGCGTGGGCGCATTCTGCAAGCCCTGGCCCACAACAAACAAAGAATCCACCTGGTAGCCATCCCACACCAATCCGACATCATCTGCTCCACCCCCGGCGAACAGCACGTCCACGTCCCTTCTCTGTCGGACCATGAAGTCATCGTTGACGAAGTCCCCCTTCACAATCTCAGCCTGAAAAATGGAAAAAATGAGGCGAGCCCTGAGATCTTTATATTCTATTTTGAACCTTGATTGAAATTGCTTTTTGCGCCATTATTGTCATTATATTAACTATTATTATTATTAATAATTATCAATAGTGTTGTTGTCTATGAAATTATGATGATGACTATTGTCATTCTGGTCGCGCCCAAACATTGAATCATGTCACCCCAGCCTTCAATGTGAACAGCGGGGTCACGAATTTCCTGTTGGCCGTCTGGATGGGTGCAAAACGCAACACGTAAAAGAAGCCGCTGGATGTGACCCAAATTGACGAGTTGGTCATTGCGACCCCGCCGTCCACAAGCTGCGAAAAGCCAGGCTCCAAAGTGGAAAGGATGCAGAGCATTTCGTTGCAGACGGTCTTGTCGTTGTCAGCTGAGAAGAGCAATCCAGCCTTGTGCATCTCCTGACGATGCGGCTCGAAGGCGGCATGGAAAAAGCTGTTCTTCAGGAGCATCTTGTTGCGAGCCTCCAAGGCGACCGTCTCATCCTCATCCACTTGAAGAGCAAGCAAGCTGCGACCGTCCGACTCCCAAGCCAGACTTGTTCAGGAAAGCCTTGACAAAATGCAAGCAATCCCTGGCGTAGATTGTGATGTGCATGAGTTTGCCATCGTCTCTGTTGAACGGGAGGGCCCACCCAGCCCAGCCATCAGCCTGCAAGATGGCAAAACAAAACATCCAGTGAACACGAAAAAAGTGGCGATGATTGATGGTGGGTGTTTTTCTTTATTATTAAGTTTAGAGGCAACTTCCTACTATTTGTTCTGGATAGCTTTGGCTGTGCCAATGAGTTCCAGCCCTTACGCACGATTCACGGTGCTCGAAACTTGAAAACTTAAAATCAACATGTTTGGCAGCTGTTCAGAACCCTGTCCTCGACTTCTTGAAGATCATAGCCTCTGGCCTGTCCATTCATCACGAATGGCAGCAGCAGAATCTTCCCCGTGTACACGGTGCCCTGCTCTGTGGGAGTAACTTCGCAAAACTGGTCCAGAATCTCCCGGGCACAAGAAGCAATTTTAGCGGCCGCGGGTCATTGAAAGGTTGGACAACACACACACACACACGGATTACATTGCCCAGATCTTTTAAGCTTTGTTTCATTTTTGTTCCAACAAACTTGGAATGCGTACGCAAAATTCAAACCCATGACGCCCATCCAGCCAAGCAGCAACTTGCCAGCGGGGGGGAACGCTCTGACGCATTGGCATGACCTGCAGCAAATTCTTGGCTTCGTCCACCACCGATGGATCAGGCAACTTCATACCTCAGAAGAGCACAGCTCGCGAGTTGGCTTAAGAAGCACTGGCTAATTGACCGCAGTCATGGTCTTTGAAATAGCAAAACAAATATATTTATTATTATATTAATATCTTATTATATGTGTGCGTGATCATATACGAGTAGTATAACCATAATCAACCTACGAAAAACAGATTCACCTTGAATCCTTTTTCTGCCCCCCTTTTTGCGTACTAGGGACTTGCAGCCACTTCATCCATAGCCGCCTTGGTCTTGGTGCCACCAGGAAAGAAGGAGCTCAGCAGGACATTGAAGCCAGCAAAGGCCCAGGTAAAGTCCACTTCAGTGTTGTAGGTGTTCTGCATCCAGTCTGGAGCTGTGGCAATGTCACAGGCGTGCCACAGGATCTGGTCATTGCTCAGGAGGCAAATGTTGGGGCGGAATTGCCTCATGTTGCGCACCAAAGCCTCTGCAATCTCAGCACGTTGATCTCTCACCTGCTGCGTCATCACCGCCCGCTGCAGCCGCTTCAGCCGAAGAAGCCGCTTCAGAGTCTGCCACTTCGGGATCCACAGGAACACCAGTCACAACCACATCTCCTGGTGCCGGCCCATCTTCATTCGCAACGTCAGCACGGTTGGCAGATTGCCTTCCTCCGCTGAAAAGACCGCGAAATGCTGCTGCAGCCATTGAAGCTATTCAGCCAACAAAAAGCCGCCAAGCCGATGGAGACACTGAGCCGGTGGGCTGCACTGCTGGAGGTATGTGAAAATCTCCCCAGAGGATGGTGGCAGATGAAAGATGATGCTGTCTTCCAAATTTCTCATCCCCAAAACACCAACATGGAAACTATCAGCCACACCGGCTCACATGGCGCGAGCCTGTGCTGCAAGAGGCGCTGCCGCAAGTGCCAGAAGCAACCACCTGCCGAAACACAAGGATGCCAAGATGGGCCGGGAACCAACAGGGTAGATGAATGGGGGGATGGCTCACCATTTTAAAAAGTATATGTCCATGCCGCGAACTTCTGATTGCATTGTGATACAGGTCAGGTTAGTTCTGTCAACAGCAGCTGTAGTAAGTTTTCACCACACCAGTCAGGAATCATCAGTCCATATATTGCATATGTATCTCCCTCTATAGATATTATATATAATATATGCACAAGTTGTAAAATACATGTAATTTGCGCATTTATTGGTTACTGTAGTCATATATGATCTTTTAGATTAAATAATATAATATATAATAGTTTTTTACAAGACGTATAATATGAATGAAAATTAGCACAATCACCATCATCATCATCATCATCATCATCATCATCGAATCATCATCATGCACTTCCTTACTATTACTTCATTATACCAAGCTCAGGAAGGAGTCATTAACACAGAAACATTAGAACTGAGAGAATCCATCAACGGCCTTAAGCACCTCTGGAGAGCGTGCTGACTACCTGCACAAGTGGGCTGTCGGTGGCAAAAAGGTTCGGGGATTCTAATGGATGGATCTGGCTTTGAGTGGCTCTCATGAAACCATACCTAGACTATCTAGATGGAGGCAACTAGGGACAAAGCTGCTCACCTCCAACAGCAGCTGAATGAGAGCAGCAGGCCAGAGCAACGCCGCGGAAGGAGGCGCAAGAGCCGCAAAAGCCGCAGCGCCCACCAGAGCCACAAGAGCCGCAAAATCAGCAGCCGCAAGAGCTACAGCAGCCGCAGCAGATGCCAAAACACCTGACAGCGGACGTGGCCCGCAAGTCAACTCTAGAACCCTTCGACGAATGGAATCCACCTTTCCCTATCCAAAACTAAGAATTATGGCAAAGAAGGGTTGAAATCTGCAACCAAAAGGTTTGTTTACCCCCCCCTTTGCACATGATTGTTTAACCCCCTTTGCACACGACGGAGGCGCGCCTCAATTTGGGAAGCTGCACACAGGAATGCAGGGCTTAGAATGTAATTAGTGACACATTTACTGCACTGCTGTGGTGTCTTGAGCTTGAGGGACGCCGGCCAAGCAAATGAGGAAGCAAGCTTTTTGATTCTCCAGCCACCCAAAACGCAAAAAAATAAAAAATGTCCAAGCGGCTAACCTAGGTGTGTTTTGCACATTTTGACTTCGACATGTGCTTCGCGCCACAACGGCGTGCAATTTTTCATCTCTCATCTGGCCAGATGGCTCCGCACCCGCCGCTTTAGCGAGCCTACTTTTCGACCCTCCGGAGCCACAAATCATTGGAAAAACACAGTGTTTCGCGACTTTCCTACCTTTTCGCGCACCTGCATCTTCTTTCTTCTGACTCTTTCTCCTCTCTGATCTTCTCTCTTCTACTCTTCTCTTCTCTCTGACTCTTCCCATCTCTGCTTTTCATCTGTCCATATTGTCGGAAGTTTGACTTCTAAACTTTCTTCGAATATCCCATCATTTACTAATCCAATTAATCATAGTTGGCCAATAATATCCCATCTCCAGTTGGGTTTGTCTGAAAATGGGGGATACCCACAAATAGCATTTTTAATGGGGAACATGGTGATAATCCATTGGAATATGAGATACACTATTTTCAGACAAACCCAGTTATATCCTGTGGTAAACTGAATGCCTCGATGAGTCGACCTGAAGACCAGGCATCCAGCAAGCGTTGCCTCGTGCACTGCGGAGAAATGGGGACCCCCAAGCTGCAGGAAGAAATGCTGGGTGTCCCCAACCATTTAAGCGATTTGAGATGATTCATTAAGTGTCCATTTCGGAATGTTTCGGACATGCACTTATTGTTACTATGACGAAATCATATTTATGCCTGGTTGTTGAAGGTTTCGGGTATGAAACAAGCAGGAATGGGAGGCGAACCCAGCAAAAATGGATGGAAAGGAACGAGAGATGGGATAGAACCAACCAGCAACAGGATCCAGGATGATGTTCTGGTATACAAATGCTTTGGCACGCTTTGGCTATAGCACACATGGTGCACATTTATGAATATTTCTGGCGCACGCATTGGCAACAGCCTCCATCATCAATACCCCCAAATTGCTATAGTTTCTATAGTTTAGCGAGAAAATATGAGAAAATGAATGAACATTATGATTTTCCCAATACGACTGGCGTACCTATGACCTCGCCGCGACATCAAAAAGGCCACGGCACCGATCTTCTTCGTCGGATTGTTTGGACACCTTGCTGGTCCTCTCCTCCAAAGGCCCCAAAGGCCCTGAGGCCCATTCTCTGCCTGAGACTCGTGGGATTTGTATGGATTTTTTCACATACACACAACGCTGACTTCGAATATAATGGGAATATAATGTGTATATATATATAGATACACACATAACATGATATAACATAACATTACATTACATAACATTACATTACATTACATTATTATCATAATATATATATACACAGTATATACATACATACATTTGTGAATATAATATGTATATGGGCAGAACGTGTTTCACCGCCCCCACCCAGTGTTTTCAAGTATTCTATATGTGCACGTTTCAGTGTTGTGCACGCGTCAGAGATGTTGTGCACGTTTCCCAGCAGTTGTGCACGTTTCACAGAAGTTGCGCACGTTTCACAAGCCCCCTAATAATGTTCGTGTTCAACTGCATTGGGGCGGCCAAACACGTTCTCCCGATGTATAATATATATAATATATATATATATATTATATACTATATATTATATATGTATAATATACAATATTATATTATATAAATTATATTGTGTATATATATATATATATTATATCGAATCCAAATGAATCCAGTGGATTGGCCTGGAACCTGTTGAATACTGACAGCTTTGGGACAAAAAACTCACTGAATTTTTTAAACACACATCAAATTGGACAGTCGCAAACAGTACGAAGCTTCCATAAACTCCGGTACCCTGGTGAACACCATAAAATAGCTTGTAAATGGATGTTCATTCCCCCCAACATATCCCAACATATGATACGAACGAGTATAAAAACAATCGGTTTTGATCCATCCAAAACCATCCAAAACCATCCACATTTCAATTCCAAGGGTTCAATAAGGCCACTGCTAAATTACGTCCAGCTGCTGGCATCTGGTTTGTATCCCGCCAAAGTTCTTGCAGGCATCGCCTTTGGTGAATTCCATTTTCGTGACCAGCTTGGGCTGCTCCCTCCACTGCTGAAACTTTGCAGTGAGGTCGCGTCATCCAGAAACTTCTTACCTTTGGGAGATGGAAAGGTCCGTTTCTTCAACCCCGACACCTTGGTCTCCAGCTTGCTGGACGTAGCAGCTTTTGGCAACTGATTGTCGTTTGTTTCAATGACCTCCGAGACCTCCACCGAACTGTTCGTCCCGGCATTTTGCACCGCGTCATCGCGTGGGATACGGGTCTTGATGGGTGCCAGGTAGTCGCAAGAGAAAGGCTTCATGGTCACGAAACATGACAAGGGTCCGAAGCCCAAATCGCAGAGAGGCACTTGGCCCTGGCCCTGGATTTCTGGGTTCATCCCTTCCATGGCTGGAAACCAATCAGGTCTGCGGAAGTTCAAATGGTAGGTTTTGGAAACTTCCTGCTGTTGTAGTTGCACGACGTTATCATGTTGCATCATGTTGCATCCACACCAAGAAGTTTAGAGTCTGAGTCGCTAGCAATTTTGAAGCTGGAAGTGAAGCTCCAGAATTCGACAGACCAGGTACTGTTCTCGACGGCCTAATGCATGATACGTTTGAGCTTTCACACTTCAGGAGCCTTGCTACAGAGTCACGTGATGTCAAACAAAGCCAGGAAAAAAACACAAAAATACTATCCACTGGTATCCACCGGTCAAAAAAGTTTCAAGACCCACTCAAACTATGTGGCGAATTATTTGAAGCTCGGGGCCCTTATAAACCAGAATATGTCCTCAAGGTAAAAATGAGGGGCTGTCAAGAGCTCTAGGCGCAGGCCAAGCCTTTCCGCGCTAGTGCCATGATCTGGAAGCTTGTCATAGGACAAACCAGAAAGCACGCTTCTTGCATGCTGGAAGTGAAACCTTTCTTGCGTTTCTTGTCTATGTTTCCTTCCTGGGATGCTGACTCAGTGCAGTTGCGCCACATAGCCGCACACTTCAAACCGAAAAATGGGGGGTCAAAACCCTGATTTTTCTCATGAAATGTGGATATGATGGATATTTTTTGATCATGGGTTTTGAGCCCCCAAATCATTGGACCCCAAATGGTCGTCACGTTTGGTCGTCCATGGCCAATAGCAACTTCCCCAGATCAATCTGAGCCTTTCGAGCCGGGCCTTGATACCGCCCATGGGCTCGGGCAAGGGAGATGGTTTCATGATCCACCAGCTGAATGCCATGGTCCTGCACAGAAATCCCACAGAAAAATGTGTTTTTACCCTCTGGTAATTTAACATAGCTATTGAAAATTGCCATTTATAGTGGGTTTACCCATTGAACATGGTGATTTTTAAAGAGCTCCTTGTGACCTCCAAAACAAAAATCCAATGGCAGTGGTGGCACTGTCTTGAAATGTAGCGAGTAAAATCTGCAAATGAATATGCTATGTAACTTTGGCATTGGAGGCTAGACGCTTCATACCATGGACCCCGAACTAGGATTTGGCCATCCAAACAGGACTTTCCAGCAACGTCGAAACTGTTTGGAATGATTTACATGTCCAAGCAAACTGTTTTCCACCGAGAGATGACAATCACCAAGATCTTACATCTTACATGTGGCTTTGTCACTGTCCTGAACCAGGCTCTGGAAGCTGCGCCAGTCCATAAGCCCCTCTACCTGGTGCTGGGAAGGATGTTGCAAGCTACGAGTTTGGTTCAGAATGAGGTACCGCAAAATCTCATGGGCACCATGATGTGTACAATTCAACTGGAGAATCAATCGCCCAGTTTTGGAACACAAAAAAAAATATCATCGTGGTCTGTACATGTTCCATATCCCATTACATCCCAATCATAAAATGGTTGGCTGGCTTTATATGTGGTCTGTACATCCATGATATCCCGTTACATCCCAATACATCCTCATAAAATGCTTGGCTAAATTCATATCCCCAAAAAAAAATCGTTGGTCAATTGCCATCAGAATCCCAAGGGAACTTTAAGCTGACCAAGTCCCCAGCGTCCACCATGATGGTTGCTGACCCCAGCCAAAACCTCGCCTTCTCTAGGAGCTCCCGCGCAGGTCGCAGCTTCTGGATCACCAAAGATGTATCCTGTGGCTTGAAAAACATGGCTCAAAGTCTGATATGGCACCTCTAACCAGTCTAAATCCATCTAAATCCATGAATCAGTGAATGATCATGTTCCCTACCTTTTGTGGCCATAAATGAAGGTATACCCCATTTTCAGACAGACCCGACAGATGATTCTGACATTGTCTGTGCATAGGTTTTGAGGAAACCTCCAAATAGCTCTATGTTGATATTAGACACAGCTATCCAAGTCTCAAATCCATCCAGGAAGTCCACAATCTCACCAACCATGGTTGAATTTCATGGAGGGGAAACCGTCCCAATAATAACCATCAACGAACCATCATCATTAACTATCATTAACTATCATTAACTATCATTAACTATCATGAATCATCATTAACTATCATTAACTATCATCAATAACCGTCCCAATTGCATCTCTATTCATTAACCAGGTAAGAAGGCCATTTGGAGACATTCATGCAAATTGCATTGCCTATACTGTTGGGCTGATTGCCGTCGACAGTCATAGATTGAAGAAAAAAAAACATTCCTTCTAGTTCCTCTCCGAACATCACCTTTTTCTGTGAGACCGACCCGCCAGGCGCACCGCATAGCGAAACTGCGCAGGGTGGCTCTCCATGCGGAGGAAGGCGGCATCATCCGCCCAGATCAGTTGAAAGGGCGAGGCGTTGACCTGGCAACGGGACGCCCGGGAATCTGATGGGAAAAAACACACGAATTTCATGAAATGATTCATGAATATCATGGGAATACACCATGGAAAATCATGGAAAATCATGGCAAATAATGGAAAAAAATGGAACATCATGGACATGAAATGGACATGAATATAAATATATATAGTGATTGTATAATGATTATAAGGAAAAAAATTAATGGGATTACAGGTGGATCTTCCCCCAGAGACCAATTCTGAAACAGGATGTCACCACACGAAACTGGGCCGATTGGAGGGATGGTCCCGAAATGGCTTAAGCAAGATCCAAATGTGATGAAATATGGGTATGGGTCAATACCTATAGATACATTTTTAGTGGGATGAACATCCATTTACCAGCTATTTTGGGGTTCACTAGGTACCAGGGTTTTGACCCATCCCCATATGAAATCCCGAAATGGGACATGGACCCCTCCCTTGAGAATCCTATCAGTAGTCCCTTCCGGTGAGCATCATACACCTCAACCCCTGGTCTAGTATCGGATTCGTTCCTTTTTATCTCTCATATCCATATTGGGGTTCTGTGCAATACTGTACAGTAAAACTGTGGTATGGGCTTGGTGAATATGTCAGTCATGGGGCGACCACATGGCGTTCGCCAGATTTGTCACCCCTCGACCTCCACGATTGCACCAACGAAGAAGTCCGCTTGGCAAAACCTCAGGCGCCACAGAGTGGCAGAAACAGACTATGAAAACCAGATCGGCGAGAGTCAGGAGTGACTTCTGTGGCATTTGACAAGTGCTTTTCCAATGCACATTCCTTGCAACTGAACCATGGCTGTCTGATCTGTTACAAGGCCTCGCACCAGCTCCCTGTGGCAGGATTTTTCCTCCTGGCCTTGTTGGCAAATTTGCCCTGGCGAGGTGCACAAAGATCATGCGATCTGTGGCTAATGGCTCTATGATTGCAAGACAATACAAGGCCCCCCAAAGCGTGAATCAATCTGAAGCAGTGTACTATAGGATACTACCAGTATAGGTATCTATAGGTCCGCAGAGAGTTTTCCTGCTGGCAACAAAGGCGATTCCGAGTGTTGACTGCACTTGTTGCACTACGCTGATCTTGGATTTTGGCGCTGTCAGCACCACAGGAATGACGTCAGGTATAACCTTCATTGCCCCAGGTCTCGAACGATGAGTAAATCCAAGTTGGTGGCATTCTGAACCTCATAGTTGTCAGGATGAAAGTCCAATCGCCCATTGACCCCCACAATGACATCATCTATCTCAATCTGCCAGTCAGGCATCTCATTTGCCAGTGCCATTTCGTTCCATTTCTGGACCAAGCCTTCTTGGTAGATTTTGTGCACTCGGCATGCTGACTCGAAGCCAAAACCATCCACCAACTCTCCACGAATGCCAAGCTTGTCACTGGGCTGCTCCTTCCACAGGTGCACATGGAACATCCAATGCTTCCTAGGCAGCTGCTCTCCCAAACCTGGACCTTTGGCATCCGGAAATCCAGTGGCTGGAACTTGGTAGGCTGCCTTTGGGAAATTGGCTTCACTCCGTGGAGCCTGTGCAGCCGGAGGAGCCTGTGGCGCCTGAGCCTCTTTTTGTGGGGTCGCAGGTGGAAACTTAGCCGATGGCCGTTGCACCTTGGGTTTGGAGTTGATCCAGTCACTGGCAGGACCCCTGTGACCCCCATTGCTTGGAGCTGGCCTAGCAGCTGCAGCTGGTGCAGCTGGCGCAGGGCCAGGACTGTCCTCTGAATCACTGGGCGGCGGAGTGCCCACACGTTTGGGCGGCGCCTGGGGCGCAGAGCCCAGATTTTGGGCCTTGCCACTCATCCATGGATCGTTGGACAGCCACGGGTCGTCCCCACTCCCCATGGCTTGAAGAACGCGTAACGCAGTCACTACCAGTGACCAGAGATTTGGTTCCTTCAACTTGCATGTTGCAGTGTTGTGTCTGGCCAGTTAAGAGCTTCTGCATGGGCTGGAAGACACTTCATGAACTTGTTCACTGCTAAATTTGAAACAAACATGATACTACCATATCTGAATTATTTTTGTTGTAAGGGGAGATGTAGCCTTCGGAGTGTATGTGCTTGTCATCCGGCCAATTTCAGCTGTAACCCCTCTGTTTTTACGCGTCATGTCTCAGAGGGAGCTTGGAGCAGAAAGCATTCAGCGTTCAAAATGAGAATGGGATTTACATGTCTGCCTTTGCGCCTGATCAAACTTCGAGTCACCATCTGCTGGGTGAGACCATACCAAAAGTATGCTGGTAAATTATAAAATCATCAGCTGTCGGACCTGTCGGATGGAAAAATCATGTCATGTGTGATCCAAAAACTTGTCATGCCTTGTGCATGTGCGGTCAAAGTCAGCATCATTTACCGGTAAACCACCTCCCATTGCACACCAGCTGCGGATAGCATCGGATCGCCTCATCGTGACCAGAGTTGCGGGATTTCAACTCCCAAACTCCAACGCTATCATCGGCCATGAAGACGGCAACGATAAACCTGAGGACTCGAGTCTGCTGAAAAAGGAAGAAATTAAGAGATTGTTTCTACACATGTCAGATGCTACACAAATCAGAACAAAACACAGATTGTAACGGGTCGGAAAGTGCAAAACACACTGAACAAACTCTGACCTCCTCTTCTCGTCCTGAGGAATGTTGTTTGCCAGTTTTGCCTCAAAGCGCATCACCTGCAGAATCTCCAAGGTTCATGACAGCCATGACAGCTGGTGCAGACAAGAAAATAACGGGATTCCAACCATTCAAAACTTGTGCGAAACCATCAATTGGAGCGCACCTTGTCGGCATCGGCAATTAGCCTCTTCATGTCCTAGCGCTGATAAGTTGCCGTGCAAGCACTACATCCCAAGTGTGACCAAAGCTACCACAGTGGGAAGACCATCACAAAACCATCCAAGAATCCAAGCTTGGGCTATTGATGCAAGTGTATATATATATATGTGTGTGTGTGTTTTTAATTTATCTATTTATTTATTTATAATTAACAATGATAATAACCGGAAAGAAACATTCCAGTTCGGACAACATGGAATTGATTGAACATATTGGAAGTTCTAATGGCACTGTTCACTTCGAACCCGGGTGAAGCCACAAATTGCTACGCATCGCTGCGCTGTCCCGCTGCGGAGGCCGCGGAGCAAGTCGCAAGCAACTGGCCAAGGAGTCCTTTCAGCTATGCCACTATGCTATGCGGCTATGCGACACGAGGTTCAACAAGACAACAGGATGTTTCCTGCAAAACAGGATCAACAAAACTGAAAATCACCCATCTCCTGCCAAAGTGTACCCAAAAGACTGGTGAATGATGGTGAATGGTTTTGAATCCTCCTGAATCCTCCTATCGCATTGCAGTGGTCCTCCTCGGACCCGAAGCCGATGTGTGGCGGATACCTGATCTTCGTGTGAACCTGGAATCGCCCAGCCAGCGAACATCCCCAGCTCACACTAGTCATCTGCAGGTCTGTTGTCTTTCACAACTCTTGGAACAAAGTCCATTTCATTCTATTTGTGCCAACTGGAGAAAGACATACACTAACATCATCTGCATTGAAACAGTCCCTGTAACAAAGGGATCATGCTCTCAGAATCTATATTTTTGTATGTGCTCTGTGGATCTCTGTGGGACAGCCTATTGTAAATTCACCATCCCAAAGTCCAAAACCTGAACTCCCAAAAGCCCCAAGTGCAGAAAGTTTCATGGCAAGTTGCAAGTCTGGGCTGTTCTATCTTGATGGAACCCTGCTCAAAGTCCATGTACTGCTTGTAGAAGTCCTTGCGCTACCGGAGCTCCAGCAGCAAAAATTGCTGCACTTTGCAACGAAACCCAACAGCGGATGGTGAACATGTTGGAGGCATCACCCTTGTGGTGTCATCGGCACATGGATTTTAATGCTTTCTCTGCTTCCCCTGCCATTCCGGTCCCGAGTGAAAACGTCACAGTCGTAGAGGAAAATGTTGCGGCCCAGCACATTCACATACTGCGGCCGCCAACAGGAATCACAGTTGTAACGTGAAAATCGGAGACCCTGAGATTTGTATCAGACTGAGCCCTGAATTTGTGTAAAACATGGGAAAACCAAGGCTTAGCTCCAAATCATGTTGGCCTCGCCAACCACCAAATCCTCAGGCTTGTAGATGACCTGGCTGCACCAGCTAGCATCCATGGGAGACTGGGATACTCGGATACCCAAAAAAAGAACTCATCATGCCAGTGACGCCAGTGCAAGACAAGGCGGCTGGGCCGGCTCTGGTTCCATCATGCCAGGAGTTGCTGTGATGTTCTGGCAGCATGTCCATGCGGCAAGCAAGCGCTCAATAAAGGACTCAGATTCACCACTTCTTGGGAAAACCTTTCACATTTTCAAGTTGAAACTAATCGGAACTAATCCCTGCTTGATGGATTTTGATGGCACAATCCCAAGAAGCAGCGACGTGAAATCTGCCAGGAGCACGGGATTCTTTCGCAGTGGAGATCTTCTCCAAAAGGTTGGATATGGATCACGGCCAGAGTTCCTGACGCCGCAGTCATTACACTGAAATTGAGCCACCAATATACAAAGATATACAAAGGCCATCGAAATACCAAGGATGTCTATGATGAGTCTATGATGTTTTGGGGATGCTCTGATTTTGGCTTTGGTCGATTGACCTTGGCAAATTGCCAGCATCACTTTCCAACGACCTGCTTCAAGGCTCCTGGACATGTTTTCCAGAATCTCTGCAGTGTCATCTGCCAGGTAGTAATGTAAGGTGTAGTACCTGAACGACAGGCGTTGTGTTCCAACAAGGGCATGCTGGAAGATGCTGGAAGACCTCTTTGAGTATCAGAGTTGGCTGAACAATTGCATGGCTTTGGATTCAAGAAGTTCAGAAATCCTCCAGTGTGTTGGCAGGGAAAGCCATATCGCCCTTTTCACGATGGAGTGAATGTGAGAGTGGAGCTACCAAACATTTACTTACAGTAATTCCCCTATGACATCAACAAAAGAAGAAGTCCTTCGTATGTTTGACCAATTGACAAATCCCAGTTGTCTGGACGAATCAGTCGAGATACATCCGCGTCCCATACTTGGTCATGTCATCCCAGAAGCAGTGAAATCGAAGAACCTTCCACTCTGTCACGTTGACAATGCACATTGGGAAGCTGGCAGTTTATGTCCCAAAAGCGTGGAAGTTTGTCTTTGTGTATCACCCTTGTTTTTTGTTGTTTTTCGGGGAATTGCTAGTCTTGACCAAATACTCTTTTCAGAGCCTTCTGAGCATACTACGATGAGAAACAAACCTGAATGCCGGACCCAAGACCACTTGAATTCCATCCGGAAAAAGAGCTGCACCGTTCCAAAGGTTTCCCGCCTTACGGTCATTTTCCAGGTATTGTTCCAGCTTCTGGTTCTTCCGATTCCCACCAGCAGCCAAGTGGTGGTACTGGCAGGTCGTCAGCAAAAGGCTGAGTTCACTGAATGCATGTGGTTGTAATACGATCAGAAATATAAGATGACATCAAAATACATCAAATATACAGTCCAGCATGAGATAGTATGATCTAGATTCTATAATTAAACATCATCATATAATATCTATATATATATATACACCTTATATAACTACAATCATATAACTTACACGCATTACATACACACACATTGTATATATAATATATAATCATATTATATCATATATATATGTGATATATACAGTATATATATAGATATACTATCTATATCATCATAGAATACAAAAATGATCAAAAATGACCATCGCCTCTTTGCTTTCGGACAAGGTGGCGCTGCGCTCAGCGATCGCCTCCTCGTCCACCTCAAAAGGGGAAAGGCTCGGTGGAAACGGGAGACAGGAGAGGAAAGGATGGGTTTATGTGGGTTAATATTGGTTAAACTGGGTTTCTATGGGGTTATATGGAGTTATATGGAGTTATATGGGTTTGTATGGGGTTATATAGCCAAAGTAGTAAAACCGTTGGATTTCCCCTCAACTGAAGGCTTCCTAAGTCATGGGGGTACCCCCAAATCATCCAGAGTTAGACCAGTTTAGTGCTCACAGGGTCTTCTCAAACACGACTGGCCTGCATGTTCGCTTGGAAGGAATCGATGGGTGCCTCCTCCGAGCATCATATCATCCGAGGAGTATGGCAGAAGATCCACAAAGCTGATCCCTTCCCCCCTAATAAATACAACCCAGAATGCCCTGGATTAGTCTGCATCTTTCCAATGTCTATACTATATTATATAGATATATTATATTATATGTAGTGTATTATATATTACTATGTATTGTATTGTATTGTGTTAGATTATATATCATATCATATCATATTATATTATTATATTATGTTATTATATTGTATTATACTGTATTATATCATATTGTATTATATTATATTATATTATATTGTACTGTATTGTATTGTATTGTATTCTATTGTATTATATCATATTATATCATATTGTATGTATATATATATTTATGTCTGTATTATCATATATCATACATCATATATCATATACTATATAGTATATATTATATTTTATACAGTATATATTATATATTATATATATATATATATATTATATATTATATATTATATATTATATATTATCTAGTATATATTATATATAATATATTGTATATCATATATTTTATATTATTCTATATATCATATTATATATATACACTATACACATACATATTCGTTTTGAGGTAATTTTGAGGGTGGTATTTCATACGATCGGGGGATTGTCAATTGTTTTTTTGTGAATGCCTGGAAACCCTCTCCTGGTCATCGGGCTGCACAGCACCCATGGCGTCCCAATAGAACTTGCGGGTGAACCTTTCACTGACAAACCAAGTGTTGCTGAGATGACTAAACCAAGCATCTTGCCGCGGGGATCCGTATGTTCTTCCATGTGTTGTAGTTATCCATATCATATCAATTTATATTAAATTTATATCATATATAGGATCTTCATCTATCTTCATATGTTGCCTCTGAATTTCTGGTGATTTCACCCGCAACAGCGCCTTTTTTATTTGACCCAAAGGTACGGATGGAATCCACCGCTGGGGCCAGAGCTCGTCGCAAGCCACCAGCTTGTAAATCTGCGCGTAGATGCTGACGGTTGAGCCCACCCTGGGACCACAGATTTTGGATGGTTTTAGTCAGTTTAGTGATTGTTAAGCATCGAATTCTGTCCCCAATCTTGACCACTCTCGGGGCCCATGGTCATTCTACATCATTCTACATCATCATCAGTAACCATTTGTGTAAACCCAAAAGTTAAATGGTGAGTTTGGAATAGTTTGGATATATACTGTAAATATGGCAAACGTAGTGCAAGCTTCCAAGTCTTGAGAAATGGTCGTCAGTCACGAATTTCGTCTGCTCGTTACAGTCTTGAGTGCCCGACCGAAAGTCTTCATAGGAATAGGTGCCACCACCCAAACATTTTGGTTTGGGTATTCTGTGACGCTTCACCACAGTTCCTCCATTCCAGCGCTGGACGCTTGCTCTGTTGCTGTGGACACATTCATGCGGGGGTTGACAAGCATGGCAGTCCTTGAGCCATTCCACTGTTTTCCACTTTGGGCTCTGATACCTGCAGTCATACCGGTTCTCTTCTCGACATTGAATCCAACACGCGAATATGTTTCACAATTTCCTATAAGTTACCCTAATTTGCTTGATTGTCAATCGGATCAATCGTATCTTAAAAGCCATTTCGGAAAATGTGAAGTCGCTCAGGTTGTCAGGCGCACCATCATAGTCCCATCCTCCAGGTAGAAGTAAATCACACAGCAACGTATCCGGAAAGTCTCCTTTGTACTTTCAAACATCCGATCCTTGGCCGTTCGTATCGCTCGCAGAGACTGTACCACCCATTTATGGGACCACAGTGGGGATGGCTGATAACGCAACTGAGCCCGCTTCCTGCGTGTAGGCGTCAAATTTCAGCACGTGGCGGTCATGTTTCAGCCAGGCCTGAGTTGTCGAAAAGGAACGAACAAGTCTTAAGTTCTATTTTAAGTCATTGTCAGTTATGTAGAGTCGTTTAAACTGATTTTCAGTTGTTTCAAGTATCCAGTTACGTAGTTTGAGCGTGTTTAAGTTATCTAAAATTAGTTTGATATATGTTGAGTTATATTTATATGTCAATTCTTTCATTATTATCTGTAGTTCTTCCAAGTGTTTTCGTGATTCAAAGGTGCGATGTGTTGTGTTTGCACCTGCAAAAAAAGGATCATCTTCTCCTAGGCCCGGTACTAGGCACCCCGGGAATTGAGGTCTTGACTGGCTCGTTGAGTGGTCGGAAGGTGTTACGCGCCGATTGTTTTATGAAGTCACGCTCTTCATGAGTCGGAGACCTACCCCGGAGATCCAAATCGATATCCCCAGAGGCCCAGCGGCAACTTGACACCCCTGGAGGTTTCCGAAAATGGAGGTACCCCAGCTGGATGATTTATAATGGAAAATCCATGAAAATCCTATGAAAATGGATGATTTGGGGGTACCCTCATTTTAGGAAACCTCCATATTGACCTCCATTGACCTCTATGATGATTCATGTAGGCTCTTGGACATGGTACTCATCGTACACGTCTTGTCGCACAAAACAACTTTCATGTCTGACTTGCTAGACCTACCGTCCAATCAAAGATTTCCTGCAGCACTGCTACGTCCATTTGGATCTGAAAAAATGCCTCGCCTGTAGGACATGTCATATCGATGGAACGGGTCCTTCAACCTCTCCGTAATCGCCAAGTTGAGTCTGGGCACCTGCCATGTCTGAGATATCCATCTGAAAAATGGGACATATCCAGTATCCGTCAGCATCCTTTTTTGTGGAGAGGGTTAGATCATGGGATTTTATAGGGACTTTATATACCAGTAGTACCCGCACGAGGCGGGGCGGAAGTTGCCTTAAAAATATATAAGACCTTTCTCATCTATAGAACTTGCATGCGCCGTGCGCCAGCCAAGCCCGTGCGCGCGTGCACTCTGCGAAAGTGGTGTCTTGTTTCACATGTCACATTTGAAGCTCCACTTCGCACTTCGCACTTCTCACTGCAGTCTTCACACTCCACACTGCACACTTCACACTGCACTCTTCACACTGCACCCTTCGCAGTCAACACTTCACTTCACACTGTACTCTTAAGACTCCACACTTCACACTTCACACTCCACACTTCACACTTCACACTGCACTCTTCGCACTCCAAACTTCACACTTCACACTCCACACTTCACACTTCACACTGCACTCTTCGCACTCCAAACTTCACACTTCACAGTCCACACTTCACACTTCTCACTTCTCATTGCTTTCTTCACACTCCACACTTCACACTTCACACTGCACTCTTCACGCCCCACACTTCACACTTTACTCTTCACACTCCACGCTTCATCTCATCTGAGCTCTTCTCGGCGCTTCTGCACGTCAGCAAGGTTGAGGGTAACTCATGTTGATGCATTGCATCAAATCGCAACGGCAAGTGTGAACATGGTGTAGTTGTTACCTGTCAAGGAGATTCACGCAGTCCAAGCTCGACAGCTGCTTTTTTCTCTGCGCTACACTTGGTCGTCTAGGCTTTTGGCAGCTTTTCGGCCCGCACTGGCACGAAAGGCTGGAGAGCTTATCACGTTGGAAGCCTGGTTGGCCGTCATGGCACTTCACGAAGCAAATCAGGCAAGAAGTTCTCACTATCCGCAATGACATTGCGGACCCAAGCTGCATCTGCTTGCGACAAACGACATCCTGCACCTGCTCGGTAAGCACTCAACAACATGGCCGCAGCGTGCACACCAGCATCTGTCAGGGCAACGCAGCGCTGTTCTGCCAAGGTATCGTCTTGTTCCGTGCAAACAGTTGCCAAGGCTTCGAAACAACCAGCGCAGAGTCCATATTTGAAGTAACCCAAACCAATAGTCCTGCGCTCCTCGGTTGGGATGCTTCGTCTGCACGCGAAGCAGAGTGAATTTTGCAACGCGTCGTAGACGTGCAATGCAATCTTCAAGCTATGCTTGAGAGCTGCCATTTCTTCGAAACCAATGTCAATCCTCAAGTTTTGCGACTCCAAATTTCCTTCCTCTTCCACTTTGCGTCGCAGCAAGTTTCTAAGGTTGGCGCTCTGCAGCACACATGCATTCGTAGCTGTCGAAGCAGCGCTCACGTTGCTGAGCGCATGGAGATCCAGCAATTCGAAATCGACTGCCAACCGCCAGAAGTCGCAAGGTCCGATAGCCATGGCGGTTGCCCTCGTGGACCGCACTGTCGCACGAGGACGGTGGCAAAGCGATTCTCTAACAGCAGAGCGTAGCTGCAATATGAGTCTCCTGTTGTGTAATACAGTAAGTAGAGACATGGAGGTATAGCAAGGTTATGTGCGTCACGGCATGAACTAACTGTATTCCGTGCAACTTCTCTTACTGTACTTTTATCCTTGGAAGCCATCACTGCAAACAGCTGCAAGCACGTCAAACCAGAGATAGGACATCGATGCTGGCCTTCAGTCTATCATGCATAAACACATCGTTGCAGTGTGGAGCAAACAGTACTTCACATAACAGGAAACATCCAACAACCCATGCACCCATCCTGTTCTGATTCGCATTCCCCAGTTTCTTCACAAACTTTGAATTCTTCATGTGTCCCTTTTTTACCATACCTTTTTTTGCTTGGCATCTATGAGAAACTGTTTTATTTTTGCATCAAACACCATTGAAGCTACACGTCTTTACTTCAGAAGTAAGCAGAACTCAGCACCCAGCGCGATGCAGATCATGGCCCTTTTTCATCCCACTCTGAATCCAATACGATTTACGAGATCCAGCTGCAAAAGACAATAGTATTACGTAGGCAGCCAGCTGCAAAAGACAATAGTATTACGCATGCAGCCGCTGCACCAAGCAACCTTGACGCAGCCACTACAATGCGATCTGCAGAGACTGAGTTGCAAAACACAATAGAACTACGTGCAATGGCGTCAGAAATTGCAGCTCCAAAACCGGATCTCGACGCCAAAGCGACAAAAAGACGATTTTGAAGCACTTTTTAAAAGGAATTTTAAAAGGAAAATTATTAGCGCCAAAATTGAGAAAATCTGCTGACAAATCACTTTCGCAGCCTTGATGCAGCCGTTCCAATACGATTTACGATCTTCAGCTGCAAAAGACAATAGTATTACGCATGCAGCCGCTGCGCCAAGCAACCTTGACGCAGCCACTACAATGCGATCTGCAGAGACTGAGTTGCAAAACACAATAGAACTACGTGCAATGGCGTCGGAAATTGCAGCTCCAAAACCGGATCTCGACGCCAAAGCGACAAAAAGACGATTTTGAAGCATTTTTTAAAAGGAATTTTAAAAGGAAAATTATTAGTGCCAAAATGGAGAAAATCTGCTGACAATTCACTTTCGCAGCCTTGATGCAGCCATTCCAATACGATTTACGATCTTCAGCTGCAAAAGACGATCGTATTGCGCATGCAGCCGCAGCACCGAGCAACCTTGACCCAGCCACTACAATGCGTGTCGCAGCATCCCGTAGCAAACCTGCACCTATCTACGGACGTGGCAACATCAAATGACGACAATGAAGCAGCCATTCCAGTGCAATCTGCAACTAGAGATTCAAGAACCGCATGGAACTACGCACGCAGACACAACCACTCGTTGCAAAACACATAGGAGGAACAATTCGCGCACAAAACGACCGCAGCCGCACCCGTCGCACAGACGAGGTACCTTTCATCGTCGGCTGCTGCCACTTTACACGGAAAAACACAAGGTTTGGTGCTCCGGCTTCCTCCCCAAAACATAGCCCATGCAACATTCATGCAGCCATTACAATGCGTTTCGCAACATCCCGTGGCAAACCCGCACCTATCTACGCACGTGGCAACATCAAATGACGACAATGAAGCAGCGATTCCAATGCAATCTGCAACCAGAGATTCAAGAACCGCATAGAACTACGCACACAGGAACAACCACTCGTTGCAAAACACATAGGAGGAACAATTCGCGACAGAAACGACCGCAGCCGCAACCGCCGCACAGACGAGGTACCTTTCATCGCCGGCTGCAGCCACTTTACACGGAAAAACACAAGGTTTCGTGCTCCGGCTTCCTCCCCAACACAAAGCCCGTGCAACATTCATGCAGCCATTCCAATGCGATCTGCCACCACAGCGTCAAGAAACGCATAGAACTACACACACAGGAACAACCACTCGTTGCAAAACACATAGGAGGAACAATTCGCGACAGAAACGACCGCAGCCGCAACCGCCGCACAGACGAGGTACCTTTCATCGCCGGCTGCAGCCACTTTACACGGAAAAATACAAGGTTTCGTGCTCCGGCTTCCTCCCCAAAACATAGCCCATGCAACAGTCATGCAGCCATTCCAATGCGATCCGCACTCCCCTTCCTCACCACTCCCCTTCCTCACCACTTCCCTTCGTCACCACTCCCCTTCCTCACCACTTCCCTTCGTCACCACTTCCCTTCGTCACCACTTCCCTTCGTCACCGCTTCCCTTCGTCACCACTTCCCTTCGTCACCACTTCCCTTCGTCACCAATCCCTTTGTGATGTATTATTATGTAATGTACAGTCGCACACCACCCTTCATCAAGGTCAATCCTTTTGTGATGTATTGTTATGTAATGCAAAGTCTCACACCACCCTTCATCAAGGTCAATCTTTTTGTTATGTATTGTTATGTAATGTAATGTCTCACACCACCCTTCATCAAGGTCAATTCTTTTCTGATGTATTGTTATGTCATGTAAAGTCTCACACCACCCTTCATCAAGGTCAATCTCTCAATCGCGCACCACCCTTCATCATTTCAAGTCTCAGAATTCTATTTGTCCGTAACACGGAAGTATTGCTTCCCAACTTCCTTTGATAATTATATATATATTATGGATCTAAATCGTGATACAAACATCTTTTTGGAGATTCGGTGGCAACAACTCCAGACCCCATGTCATCCCATGTCGGCGGGCTGGGACCTTCAGCTTGTGGTAGCTATCGATGCAGCCCCCCGGGCCGAAGCTCAGAGTCTGCGGCTTTCGGCTGGTGCCGAACTTGACCTCTTGAGCCTGGCGATGATCAATGGACTACTCCAGTGAATTCACACAATATCAATATGCATGTTAAACATTATATATATATATATTATTAGTATTATTATTATTAATTATTATTATTATTATTAATTATTATTATTATTATTGTTATTGTTGTTATTATTATTATTAATTATTATTATTAATTATAATTATATATATTATATATTACAATATATATATATATGATATATATATATATGATATATATATATATCATATATATATGATATATATATATATCATATATATATGATATATATATGATATATATATATATGATATATATATATATGATATATATATATATGATATATCATTATATTGTTATCAATACTGTATGTAAATAGAGTTTCCGACTCCAAATGATCTACATTCGTAGAGTTTCCGGACTCCGTGTCTATCTTAAATTTACTGGCGAATAATGAATGATGAATGATTGGTGGATTTCTAATTGCCAATGGAATCAATATGAATCAATGGAGCATTGATGGTTGGTGGTGGAAGTCCAGGATTTCAAGCATGCCGGTTCGACAGCATATCCTGGAAGGAATGGCAGTTGGCTTCCCCTGGGAGTCGACGGTACCAATGGCACCAATGGCACTGCCATGTGACGGTCACATGAGGTCCCAGGTTTTTCCCCAGCTCCTCCTTGAACCAGAAATCCAAGCATTTCCAGGATTTTGTGTGGTGGATGTGGTGGGTATCCGTCATGCTGTGAAACATGTCGGACTACTAAAGTAGTCATGAGGCATCGGCATGATTTATTCATGATGCTGACATATATGTTTACTGACTCCACTGATCTGACTGCATGTCTCTCTTCCTTTGCATGTCATCCACAAAAAGCGCACACCTCTTTCAGCCTGCCTTTCTCTTGCGCTTCTTGGCAGGGCCTGTAGAGCCTGTGCCTGTAGGGCCTGGGCTTTCAGTGGGTTTCGACTCAGTTTCTTCGGATCTCTTTTGAGATGCGAAGATCTGCAGCCCGGGCAGCCCGGATTTGGAGGTCACGATCGGCTCCTTGGTGGCCTTGCTGGCCTTGGTGGCCTTGGTGGCCGTGGCAGTGGTGCCAGTGGTGCCAGTGGTGCCTGCAGCCTGCGGCTTGGGCTTCGATGACTTGGCCTTGCGCTTGCGCTTCTCCTTGAGCACTTCGAGCATGCCTTCAGACTTGCGGAATTCGGGATTCGTGGGATCAATCTCAAAGTCAGCACTATTGAAAACCTTGGAAATACGAGTGTCATTCACATTCATCTTGAAATGATCCAGTTCATCTGTACTTGGACCATGGTCGTGGGCTCTTCGCTGTGGTCCGCGAAGGTTGAAGCCCCGCTCTTTGGAATCATCCATCAACAAGTCCAGCTCTTCAGGACGATCTTCGATGTCTTCAGGACCAAGGCCCTTAGCATCGTCACTCTTTTGTTTTTTGAGCTTTTCCCGATCTTCTTTGGCTTTCTGTTTTCTTTCTTTCTTCTTCTGTTTCCTTTTGTCCAAATATTTCTCCCAAGCACTCTGTGGCTGCTGCTGCAAGGTATGCACTCCCTGACCTTCCTGCTTTGCTCGGGCTGAGAGCTTGTCTTCAAGCATGCTAGCCTTAACGCTAAAGGTCGCCTCCATATCACCTTCATTCTTCGAGGCGCTGCGCTTCTGCTTCTCACCTTCACTGCCATCACTTTCGTCAAAAAAACCCTCAGAGTCACTACCAGCCACCAATGCTTTCAAGTCTTCTGCTCCTTGCTTCTCATCATCCGACTCTGAGTCTAGATAAGCCTGCAAGTCCATTTCAGCAAGTTCCTGTGGTGTGAACCTCTTCTTCATTAGGTCCTTCCGCCGCTGTGCTGGGGGTTCATCCCAAGTACATTTCACTTTGGTATGACCAGCCGCTGAGCGCAACTGCTGAGGCCCAGCAAACTTGTTGGGCAGCTCAGTTGCAACGCTGCTTGCCTCATGCGGCGGTTCTAAGTCATCTGGAACGAAGCGCAAGTCCAAGGAGGCAGGACAAACACCTCGGTGGTATCACCAGCAGTCTGAAAATAAATTGGTTCCATGTTGGTTCCATGTTGGTTGTTTCATGTTGTTTCCCAACCGCTCTGTGGTGCTGTTTGCTGCATCGCGTTCAAACACCGTTGATCGCATTTCATCCCAAAGCTAAGCCCAGCACCATCTGCCTCAAGCCCGTCCATCTGGTCATAAAGCCAGGAGGCGGTGGAAACAGAATCACATTCCACCAAGGCCCAATAGTACTTTGTCCGGTTCATTTGGTACTTCCCTGGCAGTTCCGTGCAGCCAGTGCACTGCAGCCAGTGCCCAACCCATTTCAAGAACCCCTAAATATCCTAAATGGATCTCAAATCCCTGTTCTCTGGGAAACAGACTTCAACCTTTCAAAGCAAACAGTATCAAACAGTTTACAACCAAAAAGAAACACGCCAGCGGGACTCAAGGCTTCCTGCTGCGCTTCTTCGTTCTCATCCAGACCAACCCTTGCTGAATCCAGCAACGGGCCTTCCTTGGCCTGGCCGTTCAGCAGGAAAAAACAAACCAGGTCCCTGAGATGTGCAGACTGCGGTTGGAAAACCAAACTTCAGAGCACCAAACAAATAGATTCTGTAACAGTCCGGAACGATTTCTTGGATGGTTTTTACATGTTTTTACAGCTTGGCATTGATGATCTGACAGATTCTGCCAGTTGTCGGCAGTGATGATCCACTTTTTCGGGGTACCAAAGTTAGACGGACAATCTTATCTTGGTGTTTGCATGATAAAGCGACAAGATGGTCCCGCCTCTCGTTCAAGCTGCTGCAAGCCATAATCCGATGGGAAAATGCTGATTTTGTCAACCTGAGAGACATCTGAAACTCCAAAATCGATGGTGAAGCGAAATTCGAGAACTTTCATCAAACTTGGAAGCAAAATTGCAGCCGTTATTACTATTTCATTACTACATAATTGTGACCACCACCCTGACCACCAGTACCATACTCGCTTGCAATACCATGACAACCAGCACCCCTGGTGTGCTGCTCAGAGACACTTCCCGCTTGGCTTTTGGATCTGGCAGTCGCGAGATAGGTACGAAACATCACCTGGCTGGAATTGTCGACATTGCCAACGCAGCTTGTATTGCGAACTATTGTGGACATGGAGTACGTTGTGGTTGATTGTCACAGCATGTGCGAAATTGCAGAATTGTTCATTTTTTATCGTTTTGTGTCAAATCATCCTGTCAGATCAAATAATGACCTATGAGCTTCATAGTACTATTCAAAATTGGTTTGTCTGAAAATGGGGTACCGCTAAAATCCATAGTAATAATCAGGTTCCCAACAATTAAACTTAAGCTATTTAATGAGCTGTTCAAAACCCTCTGTCCATTCCGTTCTACTGGTTGGTTCATTCCCATGATGATCATCCCCAATTCCAGTTCATTAGATAGCATAACTCCCCTATCATCAACCAACAGGGGCTTGAGGACCACTGGTCCCAATAGGGGGTAGCCGCTCAGCCCGGCACCAGGAGGTCGCCCGCAGAGACATGATCCCAATCGCAGCCCATCACTGCGAATCTGCGGCTGGCGTCTCCTTGAGGAATATCCTCCACAGTGTCCTCCATGAGTTGCTCCTCCTGATCTGGACACACAAAGAACACAAAAAAAAATGCGGGAAAAGTTGGCTGACACAGTTAGCAACTGGTGAGCAAAAAATGATCAAAAGACAGCTATAGCTTGGATGAATATGGATGAATTGGCTTTGAAATATAGAAACCCCAGTCCAACAAATCATACCATCAAGTCATCCAGTCCTCCTCTTCGGACTCATCCGAATCCTCCTCCTCAAGACCCTCAAGATCTAGTTCATCTTCAGCTTCGTTCTCAGCAACATCTTCATCTTGGGCACTGGATGCCATAGCTTCTGCACCCTCCACCCCTGCAAGTTCATAGAACTCCTGCAGTTTCTGCTTCCCCGCATCACGTCGTAATGGCTGACCACGGGCATCGACCTTTGGAGTCTCCACGAACTGCTGGTCTTTGAACATGCGGGCGAAACGCCCGTCCACTTGAACTCGCCGAACATGACGAGGTGCGCGCTTGAAGCGCGGATCTTTGGAAGTGTCAAAGCGATCCATGGCTGGAAATTGTGTGTGTTATCTGGCTATAGAAAGTGATGGCTGTGACAACCATGCATGATCCAATGATCCAAGCAGTGTCTCCAACACTGGTCTGAATTCACATAAGTTGAGACTTCCTCTGGGTATGCCTGGCTCATCAAAAAAAAATAGTGCTCCATTGACATGGTTTGACCACGGCATTACCCACCAAATTTTGCCATAAAATCTCGTACAATGGAGTAAAATAGCCACAAATGACCCACAGCATCCGTTGATGTCCATTTGTTGAAGTTGGCTTTGCCCGCAGCCGCGCCAGCATTCGCGCAAGCGTCTTACAGCTGATGGGAGCCGCAGCTTCGGTCAGCAAATGCTTGTTGAATGAACCATAATGGGGATGGATATATGATCACCATTGATCACCAATATGGTATGTGGATGCCAGTGGATGCGTCTGAAAATGATGAAGATGTGGGATTGGCCGGATTAACCCCCCAAGAAATAGGAAGTTTGAGAGGGAAAATGATGATACAACCGTGTATGTATGTATATATATATATACACCACTGGATTTACCGGGTGCCCTATTTTCAAAACAAAGTCATAGAGACCAACATCTGTGAGGTACTAAGCACCAAGGTCACCAAGGCTTAGGTTGCTTTCCATCTGAACGAATTCTGGTGCCCCAAAACACTGTCAAGGACCCCATTTCACAGACCCACAATGATCTGGTTTTGCTTCCGGGGGCCAGCAATTGTGTTAGTGACCCAACAACCTGCTGCCTTTTCTGCTGACATCCGAAGTTTCGCCCACGCAGGACATGCAGCATCCGTAGCGGCTTCCACACCCACCTCGGGTGCTTGGCTTGGTGCCGCTCCAAGCACTAGATCATCACCTTTCTACTTCGTTGACGTGGTAGCTAAGGTGTCTAACAGAATTCTAAAAGTATGTAAGGCGAACGACAAAGCTCAAGTCCCTAGTTCTTCAGTAGATAGTTGCTGCTCCTAGATCTGGTTGTTTCGTGTTGAGCCAAAATCAGCAGCCTATTTTCTGCCCACTGCTGGACAGTGCCAAAAAGTATTTCCTGGGATCTGCACCTGAGCAGCGCATGGTGCAACGTCTTCTTTTAGTAGAGGAGGTCATTTCTCTGGTTTTCAGAGGGTGCATCCTCGAACTCCCAACTTCCATCCTGCTGGAGTGGATCATGCACAGCCACTGGAAGAAAATGATGAACGACCCTCCTGTGATATGAACCCGCGGAAAAGCTGCCCCAACTCCTCGTCGTTGGACAGGCTGAAGGGGACGTCATCGGCAATATATTCAGATTCATCTGCAAAGTCATCATCAGCAAATTCGTCTTCAGCAAAGTCATCTGCATCTTCAAAGTCCTGAGTTTTCAAAATAATGACGGGCTAGCTTATGCATTAATCAGAACAAGCACCAATGTTTGAGCTGCTGATTTCCGCATCTCGACATGTCGTATCAGCCCGCAACATAGCGCGCAGAAGCCGAGGATCCTCTTCCACGTCGGAAGCCATCTGGATGCCTCCAAAGTCCTAGCAGCTAGCATGTCACAAGATGTCACAAGTATGTCCTACAGCAGGAAAGCAAGGGCAGCCTACATGCAGCATTAGTTCGTATGCATTTGGAGCGGTTTCAGTCCTCCTCCGGATGTTCAGATTTGAACTCTTCGAAGAGCTCGCGTTCTGTCCTGTGATGACTTTTTTTTGTATTGTCATCAATGAGCGCTCATATTCAGAAGGGATGATATTCAGAAATGGACCACGGTAGCCCAAATTGCAGTAAAGCAATGGAATTGTGGAGCAAAACTGAAGAAAATGAAAGGGTGCCCCCTCGTGTTGTTCTTTATTTGTTTGTTTGATTTTCATTGTTTTATTTAATTCTATTTTTGAATGTGTTTTGATGCTTTTTATTTTTTGTATTGTTGTTTCTAGTTTTTCTCAATTTTGGGAGGCAACTGAAGGAAAATCCAGCTGGCTAGCTCCAAGAAAAATCTGTGTTGTCATGTTTTGTTATTTTTGTTATATTCAATTATTGTCATTATTTTTCCTAGATTGAACGTATTTCTGCTTGTTTTTCACAATTTGGTATTAGATATCTATTTTTATTTTCAAATATCATGCATTATCATGCATTATCATCATTTACTATTGTTTATTTTGTTCAGCCTCCATTATGATCCCTCCTGATTAAACTCCCTGTTCTCATAGAAGATATTGGGGGGCCCAGAAATCGGCAGATGATCGGAGCACCAGTACGAGTACCGGTCAGACCAAAGAGATCCAAAGAGTCCTGGCCACCCAGCTGTCAGTTTCATCATCAGGCTCAGCTGCATCTTCTAACCATTCATCGACATGGGCGACATAGGGGTTCCATGTGGCCTGCAGTCAGCACTGCCATTCTGTGGGCCACCAGAGACTAAAATCTGGGGGATGGCCATGGATGGCCTTTTCTGCTTCAGACTTCTCTCGATCTCTTTGTTGCTCTCTGGTCAAGCCTGGGTCTGCAAGCATGAGTCACAACCCATTGAATGCAAGGATCTTGGAGCAATGGAATTCGCTGGAAAGCTTTCAGACTAGATAAGCAATGTCAAATGCTTCGTTGCAAAGCTGTCTGCAGCAACCACCATCCAGAAGCAAAGAAAAATTGTGGTGCCAAACATTAATCAGCTTGTGTTTCCCACTCTCTCAGGTTGTGACGCTCCGGTCGCAAGTCCATTCCTGGTTGAATGCCGGTGCCAGTTCTTCGCTTGGCTGCAACCTTGGGATTCAGGTTCCTTAAGAGTTCGCTTCTCAAAGCAACCATCAAGTTGAAACTCTGATGGAGTATCTAAGTCTATATAATTCCAAGATATTCCAAGATATTCCAAGCATTCCTGATTTGTTCCCCCTATTTTCCCGCAAATCATGCCCAGGAAAATAACATCTATGGGCCACAGAAATGGACATGTTCGACTCCCACAAAAGGATGAGTCACCTGATTGGCCAGCTTCGTTGAAGGTGGTTTGTTGCCACAGAGCGTGATCTCGTAGGTGTTTTTGATCTGCGCAGTGGCACACAACGGTGATTTCAATGTTCAGCAACACTGTTGTTTAGAGTTAGTTAGTATATGTTAGTATCTTCTGTGCAAATTATGGTACTTCGCAAATCAGAAATTCTGGGCAAAATAACGTCTTATTGGCACTATTGCCACGCTGGAAGTCAGTCAGTTTGGGGATGAATAACCACGATCTCTGTCACCAGGCCACTATGAGGTCGCTAGCATTTGCCGATTTGCCTAGCCGCTTCGCCCAGCCTTCTCAACCCAAAAGGTCATTTGTGCACCACGAGGGTAGGCTGACCAGGCATATTTATGAAGGCGGTCCCACTTGTAGAAGCCATACCTTGGTAGTCGTTAAACCTTTAAGCTGTAAATGAAACATCTTTGGCTATGGATCAAGAAGGTTGTATCATTGGTCAAAATTGCTGGTAGTTAGGTACTTATCTCAAAAAGATAACGGCACTGTATCACAGGTTTGGAACATTTGACAGTTTTCACCACCGATGAACAAATCGATGAACCAGTGAGTCAGTTCCCTGCGCTGATTGACCAAGGCACTCATTCCTTTCTCTGGGATGTTCACGCGCATGGACGCGAGCTAAGCGGTCACATCCAATGTCAACAAGGGCCCACTTGTCCCAGACTCGACGAATGATTCCGGTGACCTGAAGGCTTCGAAGGCGAATATCGTTGGAGCATCGGATTGTAGTTCTTCATAAAACTAGCAAAAACATGCAAAAACACTGACATGTGTTTTTTGTCATCATAACTCAAAACAATCAAATACAATCAGACTGGAAATCACAATCATCATATATAATAATCATATATATATAATCATCATAATTCATCATAATTTATGTAGGAATCATCAACACCAGGATCATCTTAAATCATCCACAACAACATGGCGATTTTAGCGGTCGTGCCTGCATGCCCTTCTCAATGTCGTGGATGCTGTAGGGTCTTGGTTTGCCCAGGAACAGCTCCGGGAGGTCCTGGGAGAACACAGAGTTTAGGCTGGGGTTAAATAAAGGCTGTCCTGGCATTTTTTGGGGGTTATAATCTGTCATAAGATGTTGTAATCTGGTATAATATGTTGTGTTGTAATCTGGTATAGTATGTTGTAAGATGTTATAATTTATAATTATAACCCCGTATAATATGGTATAATATGGTATAATATGGTATAATATGTTATAATGTGTTATAATTACTATAAACCCCAATAAACCAGTTGGTACGAGTATCACCCTACAATCACCAACCAACCGGGGGTATGGTTAATCGCGCTTAAATGGCTCATGCAAATGGCATCCAAGCGTCTTCCTCGGCCCGCATGGACACTCTGAAGACGCCAGTGGATGGCACACATTCCACCACTCTGACGCGGACATATTCTCCAAGGTGAACAAAGTTCATCATCTTGCCCTTGCGGTGACGATCAGGAAAAGAACCCTGGCTCAACACTACAACTGGTATCAACTGGTATCAACTGGGTATTTCCCATAAAAATAGGGAGTACCATGGGATTCAAGCCTAAAATTCTCCAATGTTGGATAATTTGGGGGTGCCCCAATTGAAACATGTGGAAACTGATCGCAGGTACGTTGTGGAAAAGAGCTAAGTGGCCGACATGAGCGATGTAGCCGCCATCGTCTTTGATTTGTCCCATGTGGAGAAAGGCATCTACCCACTCTCCACGCTCCGTGTATGCGCCGACGTCCACCATGACACCTTTGTCCACGCTTTGGGAGACGCGGCCCTGGCAGCAAATCTGGCAAGCCAGGATATCATAGAAGCAGCATATGAACCATACTGTGGCTTTGTCCAAAAATAAACCTTGAAAAAAAATGCTTTTGGGAGACAAGACTGGGACATACTGGGACAATGATTTTCTCAGGGGATGTTACCTGGTCATGTTCATGGTGCCTGCGCTCATAGTCTGCTGATCCACCCAGCCTCCAGCCACATGCCTGCGCGAATGTCGCTCAGGTGGTATTTCCTGGCGGCTGAAGATTTGTCCACAGCATTTGTACGGCTTTCTGTTGGCTTCTGTGATGTGCATCACATCTATGCAGAAGGTTCAAAACCAGAGGTTCGTTCTGCTCAAATCGTTTTACAACACCATTGGATATAGCTGGATTTTGAGCTCTTGCAGAAGACACCCACCCCTTTCAAAATCCAAACATGACAGTCAAACGGCTGCATGCGAAAGCCGCTTACTTCACGTTCAATTCGGCGAAAATCAATGTATTGCTGAGCCTGACTCCCATTTTGGTGACAAAACTCCTCATGTACACACTCTGCTGAGGAAGGGGAAATGGTAGCTCGGTCTGCTTCTAAAACCTGCACTTGTTGCCAGAAGATACAAGGGTCACCAATTGTAAAGGTCTTGGTCTCTGATTGTTATGTCGTGCCTAGGTTGGTGGACCAAGTCTTATGGCTCGGGAAATGAGGATCGGAAGAGGTCTTGCAGTTGTAACTGGCTGGTCAATAATCGTCATCATCCCAAAATATTGTTGAAAACAAATTGTTAACAAAACAACAAGCCAGTTTGATGTTTCACGGTTGTTAACGATATTGACCATTGCCATGAATCATGAACCGCTGTATAAGTATGAACAATTAACCATTATATAACCAACAAGTCAGTCTGATGCTCCTTTGTCGAGTCCAGCAGTCGAGGACCGCACCATAACTTGCTCTTTCATTCGGGCCTGACCTCTTCGTACCTGGCCAGAACCCTCGAAAAATGCCAAGAATCTAGCGAAAAACCGCCAAGTGCATATCCAGTGATCCAGCTGAGAAAAACACAAGTGAGTAATATCATGATAACAAGAATCTGCATTAACTCGAGGGTTAATTCAATGTCATCCGGAGCTCGAGCTTTATGGTCGCTTTGTCTTGAACTCTGACCTAAAGACAGGGCCGTGACTCAGATTCCGCCGTTGCCAGCCTCCGTCCAGGATAAGTTGGGATCGGGCGACACCTGCCGCTGCATGTACCTCACATAGCAGAATGCCACAGATCCACCAAGCTGCACCAAGCTGCACCAAGCTGCTCTCGGGTAAGTTACACTTCAACAGAGGGTGCATCTCATCGGACAGCTGCCATAGGGGCAAACGCCTCAGGATTTTTCAGGGTTGAAGACGTTGAAGTTGAAGCAATTTCAAGAACAGCCTTATTCCATCATGTTCCCTCACAGGCATCAGAGTCTCAACCATGAGTTTCAAGCTTTGTAGCAATCACTTGCTTCTCCCTCACCGCTGGCAAGGGTCGACGTCGAACCTGCTCTTTCGATGGTTTTTGTGCATTGCAAAAGAAGTCAACCCACCCAAAGCAATCAATGGCGCACCTGCAGCGAGGTTCGGTTCTGAGCAAACCGAGATGCCTTTGCTGCAGCTCTCAGCACATTATCTGCAAATGTACGGTTTGCACTGCATCTTTCACGTTGGCAGAGTCAACTAGCCTCATGAGATTTGTTCGTTACCATTACGCATACTGCATTGCTACCTGCTTGTAGATCTTGTAATACACCTTAGCACCTTGGACTCCCAATGTCTCCGATGGATCGCGCCCAGTGGCTTTCAGCACTGCAGCAATGGCCCCACCACCTCTTAGCAGGCCAGTGAGACCCAGCTGCGCCGGTGTCTGCTTCGGACTCTCCCCAGTCCACGGCGTGGGGGTCGTTTTAGGCCGTGCAAGGGAAGCCTGCGACAGAAATCAACACATATTGACATCTATTGACTGACTTGGATTGTCCAAAAATGATGGATGCACTCCGCATTTATAGTGATTCTGGTCCGGAAAATGATGATAAACCATGAGATTTTGCAGTGTATACCATTGGATACCCTTTTTTCAATTGGGTCAGTGCTTTCAGAACTTAAATCCCACAGAGATTTGCACCAGTTCTATTGGCCATCCAAGTCTTGATTCAGCTTGATCATTGTTTGACCATGTTTGACCTATGTCAGACATGTCAAATTTGTATGCGCCGGGGAAACGTCAACCAACCAGCCGCGCCAGCCTCATGGGAAAGACTCGTTGGAAGATGTCTTGGCCTAGTCCGTGCGGCAGATGTTGGTCGACGCACTGCGCAATTTCAAGAGGTTCCCTGAGCATCCAACAGCACCAGCCATTGCGCTGCCGAAAAAGCCTCCATCACTTCATCTACTTGAGCCACAGCTTGTCTTCAATCAGAATTGACTGAGAACAGCATGTTGCTGTTCCAGAAAGCTGATGAAATATATGAAATCTGCATCTGCAAACTGCACAAAGATTGCTGCAACAATTTCTTTGTTCAACGGATCTTCGGTCTGAAATCAACGATTTCACCGATTTCAGTGAAATGCACCACAGCTCACGAGAAGAGGCCCCCCAACTTGCTCAAGGCCTTGCTAGGCATACCAGTCACATCCCCAGCCGCCCAAGAGAAATGTCCTGCCGAGTCCTGCCTGTTTTTCCAGATCTCCAAGGTCATCCCCGAAATCCACTGGCTTTGAGACCGGCTTTGAAACCTGCCCGGAGCTGCTGGCATTAATCATTGGTCACCTGAAGAACCAAGAATAAAAGATTCTGTGGATGGATCGATTTAGATGAAATTCGAGCCACCAGTGCTGCCTAGCACGGCATAAAAGGGTTCATATTGCCATATTTTGCTACCGAAGAAAGGCGAATGCACCGGAAGCGCACCTTCATCGGAGCTGTTTCTTCGGGTGCTTCTCGCGCTCTCTTCTTTGGCGGTGATGGTGATCTTGATGGCGGATCTCAGCTCTTGGATTGACCGGATCTGCATTGGTCCACAACTGGGGATATACCTCCATTGTGTGTTCCCATCTCAAAAATAGATGAACTGTTTTTTTGGAGGATGCAGTATCAATCTTGCGTAAAACAACCTCCAAAGGGCATGGTTGTGCGTCAAAATCTTATATCTATAAACCAAAACAATGTTGTGGTTATTTGATACGTTTGCTATTCAACCATCGACCTTTGTGGGGTATCCCATAGTAACCCGTTGACTCGCCCCCCCCTACAAAACCAGCAAAAATTGGGGCTGTGATCAAAGATGTTGATCCATCCATCCCAATTGCTGGTCTTGACCACTAAAAGGTGGTATTGGGGCATATACTGGTATATACACAACTACATAACATGTATGCCTGCCTGCCCTTGTGTTGGACACTCTGTCAAAGGTTCACCAACAAGAATAAAACCATATAAAACCAATCAGAAAACATCAACTTTGTTTTCAACCAATTATTCGAACGAATGTTGACCTTTTTGGACACCTAAGTAAAGGTGCTCGTTCCAGGCCCCTTCCGTGCGCCTTCGCCGTCTTCCAACTTGGCACCTCGCTGCGTCCGCTCCTTCCGCCGCTTCTTCTGATGCTTCTCGTGGATGCGCGCCCGACTCACGGCCGCATCCGAGGAGTCCCTGGTGGCCTTGAAAACACGGCGTTTTTGGATGGTGAAAGTCGGTGAAAGTCGGTGAAAGTTTTGGTGGGATGATTGGGATGTGATATTTCATGATATGCCCATAGATGGCCATTGTTTTCTTTCGTTGTTTTCCCTGATATTCCCAATATATTTCCATTGTTTTTTTCATATTTGGATGGAGCTATGGATGAACTCCCACTGATTGGTGTGACCCCCGCGATTTCCTCAGGAGCTGACCAAGTCGCGAGCCACCTGCTCCAGAAAGCTGGCTCGGTTGCCACCTGGATCTGGATCCCCAAGATATGGGGAAGTTGGGCATCCTGAGATCTTCACCTTCACGTGGGAACTGTCTAATCTTAGGTACTCCCCGTTGGTTTCCCAGTATTGACCCTGTCTAGTACACCACTTGGATGGCCTGGGAGAAAACGTGGAAAAAATCTGTAAATGTGCAAACAACTCCCTGCCTTTTGGATCGAACTGCTCACTTCGAAGCTCTTCAGCGAGCCTCAGGTGCTCGGCTGCTGCGAACCAAAATGGGGATCGCGGGAAGCCCAAAATCCAGAGAAGTCCATGGAAAAAAAAAACAACCGATTTTCGAAAATGTTGAGAGATTTTGGAGTCTAGAAAGATGTGATACCCACAAGAATGGTGATTGACAGTTGAGCCTGATGTCAGCGAACCAAGAGAAACCTCTTGATGGTTAGGGTGACAGCTTTGGAGTGTTGCCATTGTCTTTGATCCGCACAAATATCTACCAAGCGATTAACACACTTATTGTGTCGAAATGCTGTGCAAATGCTGCGCAGGACAATCGCAAGCCAGTGGGAAAGTCACTTAACTGGTATCTTGGGATTCCAGCTGTGCCAGCTCAGAGGTCTTTTTGCTGCCATCTTTGCTGAAGAATACGTGTTGGCCAGAAGCCTGGCTGATATTTTCTCGCAGTACGAGAGGGCTTTTGAAGGTCAACACATGGGAAAATCCTGGAAAAACCTGGAAAAAATCAGCATAGTCGCTGGTTGACCAAAAAAGGCAAGGCACCTGAAGAGCAGAACCATCTTTGCGCAGCTTCAACTTTTTGTTGCCGCTGGGCAAGGGATTCGCTGGAGGAAGTTCTTGAGGGTTTGCCACTGGCTGCAAGAAGTCATCCTCCTCTTTGGCAGGAGCATCCACGCCCTCAGCTGCCTTGCCAGCAGCTGCGATGCGACGCTGGCGCCGTTCCCATTTCCCCAGCTTCTTTCTGGCACCATCTCTCTGGGAGAGTTCTCGCTCCTCTTCCTCGTCCTTGGCAAGTCAAATTTGGAGAATGACATGGTTGTAAGACTTTAAGATGTTGGCCTTACGTTTCCCACGGGTATGGGTCAAATCGGGCATAAAATTGCCATTTTGATCCATTTTGGGTATTAGAACATCCATTTCGAGGGGGGAAGAACGTGTTTAGAATATGTTCACTGTAATTTTTACCCATGCCCATGCTTCAAAGCCGCAAAACCAAAATCACATCCCTGAGGTCCTCCTCTCTTTTGGCTGCGTCTTTGTCTCTGCCCTGAAGAAATGCTGTGCGAATCTCAGGATCAAATTTCAAGATCCAAAAGAAGCGGTGGAACTTGAGAACGTTGTTGACTAATGGCATAAGTGCATATCAATGTGTACAAAAAAAATATAGTAATATAGTGTGTTTATGTATGTATGTATGTATGTATGTATGTATGTATGTATGTATGTATGTATGTATGTATGTATGTATGTATATGTATATGTATATGTATATGTATATGTATGTGTATGTGTATGTGTATGTGTATGTGTATGTGTATGTGTATGTGTATGTGTATGTGTATGTGCATGTGCATGTGCATGTGTATGTGTATGTGTATGTGTATGTGTATGTGTATGTGTATGTATATATATATATATATCTATATGTATATGTATATGTATATGTATATGTATATGTATGTGTATGTGTATGTGTATATGTATATGTATATGTATATGTATGTGTATGTGTATGTGTATGTGTATGTGTATATATATAGATATATATATATACATATATATATAGATAGATATATATATATATATATATAGCTATATATATATATATAGATATACATATATATATAGATAGATAGATATACATATATATATATATACATATTTGTGAATTGCACCGGATTTCCGTCACCTTCGATTGTCCAGCCACTGTAAGTGGGAAGCATCCTCCACATATGCCTGCAGCACCTTCCTGCGACCGTGGATTGGTGGCTCAAGGCCAACCTGTGAGGAGCACATAGGGGGAAAAGCAATGTGCGGCCGTGAGTTCTGGAGCTAGGAAGCTTCGCTAGGCAATTGGGTGAGGACATCCTTTTACAACTTTTGGGATTACCCTTTGGTGAAACAGGTCTAGGAAGGCCTTGGTGGAAATTGGAGGCTACCAGCGGACTGCTTCGGCAGTTACACTGGTAGCAGAGCCGCAAAGGCTCGTGCTACCAAAGAGCACGCAAAGCCAGTTAGGTCATGTCGGCCACTGGCTCGAATGATGAAAAGGGGTCAAGCTTGTGGAGCCAACTTCCCAGCTTTGACCCCAGTGTAGATGATGTGAGGGAGTTCATGCAGAAGGCGAGATTTCTTCACACACTGTTCCCGGGGAAGAAGAACTTAGCACCGAGACTAGCAATGCTGTGCAAAGGCACCGCTTGCAGCCAGGTGAGGCACTTGGATCCTACTAAGCTAGTGGACCCGGAGAATGGTGTGAAGTATCTCCTAGATGCACTCTCCCCGTGGGAAGAGACTAATGAGCTCAAAACGTTTGAGCTTTTTGAGAAGGCTCTGTACAAGGTGGCTCAAAAACCAGACGAAGCAGCCCATAGTTACTCACTGAGGATGCAAGCGGCCTTCAACGACTTGGGGGACCAGGCAACGATCAAAGAGATGCAAGCCTTCGTTTTGCTGAGGCAGTCGTGCCTTACGAACGAAGACATCCGATTGAGCAAGCTATGAGAACACTCTCCACGAGGGTACTGCTTGGAAGTGGGGAGCAAAAGAAGAAGATCTGCCCCACCAACTATGTAGAGTCCGAAGAAAGCCATGCAACCAACGATGAAGAGGTGCCCATGCAGAGCACATACCAGATGATCACTGAGGATGAAGAGGCCCTGACCGCCGAGACCATTGACCAGATGGCCCAAGCGGGCGATGATGATGCGCTGACCGTGCAGCAGTTCGAGCGTGACTTTGAGGAGATGATGCAGGACATACCAGACCTGCAGTCAGCACTGGTTTCGTATCAAGAAGCCCGCCAGAGAATCAGTGACAGGAGACGATCAAGAGGGTTGGCCATCCAAGAACCGAAGCAAGGGCCAGGGCAAAGATTTCCAATCTGGTGGTCGCTATGGACGCAAAGGGGGGCAGAAAGGTGGGAAAGAGGAACTTCTTTCTCGAATTTCGAGGACTCATTGTAAGCTCTGCGGAGTTATGGGTCATTGGAAAGCAGAGTGCCCCCAAAGACGTGAACAAGCACGTGAACAGGCGAACGTCGTCCAACCAGATGGACATCATGATGACGATCTACCGCAGGTGATCGTAGAAGAGATGGACGAGGCCCAATCCGTCACATGTCATGCAGCCGAGTGTTTCCATGCACCGGATTTTTCCAATCATCCGAAACAGAATTCGAAAGGCATCCCTGAACCTGTCCGTGTCCAAGCCGTCCAGTTTTTGTCCCGCCGAATGTCCTCACACTGGTTAAATGGTAAACCAATGGGGATAAATAAGAGGGATACATGGGGTAACAGGGGTAAAAGGGGATACAAGGTCGGAAAAACCTCCGAAACACTGCCAGGAAGCCCTGGGCAGAGCGAATGCTGCCAGCCATCACCAGTGATGCAACATGCCTCGCCAGCCAAGTATGCCAAAAGGGTCGACAAGAGACCAGACTGGCGATCATAGATACTGGTGCCAGTAGAAGTGTGATCGGAAATGACCATGTCCCCGCTGTGCTTCAAAAACTGCCAGAAGCCGTCAGGAACATGGTCCGAGAGCAACCCAGCCGAGTTGGTTTCAGGTTTGGAAATCATCAAACAGCCTACAGTTTCAAGCAGCTTCAAATCTCATTGATATATGGAACACGTAGAATCTGGTTGTTGATCGAGGTAGTGCCAAAGGGAACACCATTCTTGTTATCAATCAAAACCATGAAGAGTCTTGGAGCCACGATTGATTTGGAAAGAAGTCATCACTGCCGCTGCGAGAAAACCAGAATGGCCTGTTCATGATCAGCATGTCGGACTTATGCCAGTCACCACAGGAATCACATGAAGCCGCCTTTCACATATCAAGTCATCAGCTATCCGTGCCACCTGGTCTCAATCCGTTGCCCGAGACCCCAGGAGGTGTTGGAAGCACTCCCATCGGTGTCAGAGGAAGGGTATAACCAGTACCACGGTAGAAACCTTACTTGAAGTGCTGCGAGAGGCCCAGGCTTTCAGCGAAACCTCGGTAGTAGCGCGTCCTTTGCCAATGGACGACGTGGGCTTTGCCAGCTTTGGCGATGCCAGTTTTGCGTCGGCGAAACAGTTAACGGCCCAGCAGGAACTTTTCATAATGGCCTGCACCCCAAAAATGGCCAGAAATGGAACAACAGAATTTTCACCGATTGTCTGGCATTCCAAGCAGATAGGCAGAGTGGTCCGATCCACCCTCAGCGCACAGGCGTATGCCATGTCTTCCTCGCTAGATAAACTCACATGGATCAGGTGTATGTGGGGATACATCAAAAGACCCAGTTTTGCATGGCATAAACCAGAAACTGTCTTGAAAGAAGAGCATCCAGGACTGATGATTACGGACTGCAAATCATTGTTTGACCTCATCACGAAGAACGCTACCCCAAACTGTCAAGAATGGAGGACTACGATAGAGGTAATGCTTTTGAAGGAGCAGTCCAAAGATCATACAGTTTGCAGATGGATCTCTACAGCGATAATGCTGGCTGACTGCCTTACCAAGGCAATGGATGCTACGTTTCTCAGAACAGTTTTGCAGTTGGGGAAGTTTAGGATACATGACGAAGATCATACACTCCGACAAGACTCAAACAGAAAATATGGGGTTACATGGGTTAACAATCGAATATAAAAGTTTAACCAGTGTGAGTTGCACCGGATCTCCGTCACCTTCGATTGTCCAGCCACTGTAAGTGGGAAGCATCCTCCACATATGCCTGCATTCCTGCGACCGTGGATTGGTGGCTCAAGGCCAACCTGTGAGGAGCACATAGGGGAAAAAGCAATGTGCGGCCGTGAGTTCTGGAGCTAGGAAGCTTCGCTAGGCAATTGGGTGAGGACATCCTTTTACAACTTTTGGGATTACCCTTTGGTGAAACAGGTCTAGGAAGGCCTTGGTGGAGATTGAAGGCTACCAGTGGACTGCTTCGGCAGTTACATATATTGTGATATATATTCTGCGTACATGTATATATAATTATATATATATATTATGTGTGTGTGTGTTCTGTATATATATATAATTATATATTATGTATGTTCTGTGTATGCATCTATATATATAATGTATGTATGTATATATATATACATATATTGTGATTGTATATATATATATATTCATATACTACATATTATATACAATCAATATTATGTCTATATATATATATGTTGTTTATATATATATTATGTATATCATCTATATATATATATTATTAAGTATATATAGTATATATTATATATTATTATATAATATTCTATATATATATATCATTATGTGTGTATATATAATATATACTCATCGCACCTGCTTCTTGGCTCGAATCTTTTCTTTGAGCCTTTGCAGTGCAGATTGGTTCTTTTTCTTCTTCATCTTGTTCTTCTCCAGGTCTTCATCCCCCTAGCCGCAGGTCATAAACTCGTCATAACCCCCTGGATGATGGCTGTGGGTTGCAGCCAACAACGACATTGGGGTCTCGAAAATTGGAAACCCAAAATGCCAATGGTGGATCAAATCATGGCATTGTTCCCATATCTTTCCCATATGTTCCGCTTTTTTGAATGGCCATTTCTTGCGCTTAAAATCCATCAGCTGGCACCTCCCAATCAGCTCCCACTGGAACATCTGCCAAGCCCAAGGATTCCGCAAAGGCTTCCTTGGACAACGCCTGTGGGGAAAAAAGGGCAGCCAGCTACCGGGCTACCGATTGATGAGGGAATCCATTTGGAATCCAGTTTGGATTCCACAATCTTGATCCATTTCTGATAGGTTCACTTAGTTTGGATTGCTTCAGAACCCGCCTGGACATCGAAGATATCCTTCTCTTTCATCAGTTTGACCTCCCCAGATCAAAATTTGGTGGACTTTCAACTCATTACAAGTAGAAATCGACAGCATCAGGGTGCCCCCACGGAACGCATATAGGACGCAAAAGCTCGCTGTGCCAAGTGTCGGATATCACCCGACCCGGCCAGCAAGGAAGCCTCCAGCCACCACAGAGTGCGGGTTGCACTAGTTGGAGATGTTGCGTTCGCGGTTGCCAACTCACTCCAAAAAGATTGATTGATTCGAGTTCATCATTGCAAACAGAACAGGGATGGAAAGTATACAAAAACATGAATCCTTAAGCTACTGGTAGTTCAGAGTTGATACACCTGCTCCAGGCTGAAACTGGTTCTGAGGCCAGGTCCAACTGCGGCTGAATGGAAAAGACTTTGTTATGCTTCGCAGTGATGGCTCGAACTTCCACTCGGGCCTGCATTGGGCTTGCGGCTTGCAGAGTCTGTTTGGTCCCATTTTGGGGGAATGATCTTGAATATTAGGCTGAGCTGATTATGCAAATGATGGCTACCACACAATCAGTGGTTCGGGTCTGAATTGTCATCTACAGCGAATTCTTCCAACGCCACTGTGGAAGCCGGAAGCTGCCAGACCTTGGAGAGTTTCTGCGCAAAGTTCTGCTCCGAGGGCAAGAGGAACAAGGCTGATTTGCCACTGCCTCAAAGCCAACTGGTCGCTGTTGGATTCAGAAAGTCCGTGAAGATCCTACCGGGTCCTACCGCAGAGGCAGCCATGGCATGCAGCATGCCATGGCATGCCGAATCCCTGGAATCCCCCAGAGGAATCCCCCAGAGGCGCCCACTTTCATATCTGGCCGTGCGGCCCACGCGGTGGATATATGAGTCCACCGAGTCGGGACAATCCACCTGGACCACCCAATCCACAGCTGGAAAATCAACACCTGGGCGTCTGGGCGAAAAAGGGTGTGCTGGTTCCGGGTGCAACTTTCAACTTTGCCACCCAGTTCAAAATAGTTCAAATCATGCCAGGCAGTTTGCTGTGTGAACTTTGGCCATCTGAGTGCTACGTCTTTCGATCTCCAAAATGCTCGGATGCCAACCACGTGCTGCGATGTCCGTACAGAACAATGCGACTGCACGCTCTCCTTGGTGGAACATGGTCGAACCGAGGATCTCAGCAGTGTTGCGGCATAGGATCAAAACGATCAAGAATTAGACTGCAATGGAGCAAGCTTAATCTGTCCATATCTGTCCTGCTGAGCTGGGGATGAGGAGTGTGTCTCCGCGCCAGATCTTACACCAAGGATGCAGCTGCTCCAGCCATCCCATGACCCAACCCATGCGACAAGTTACTGTCCATAAACTGTTGGAAGACGAGCATGCGCTTTGTAAGACTTTGTCTCCCATGCAGCTCCATTACTGCTGGGCCAGGCTTTAACCTGGCAAAACACAGTGAGATGAAGTGTTTTGAATTGTTGTTTGGATGTTTCACTGTATTTCCACGACTTGTTTGAAAATCTTTGAACATCCTCTTTCCGTCAGGACAGAAACCTTGAGAGACCTTTCACACTGGGGCACTGACCTGTAGAAAGCCTCGTAGAAGAACCTGTATACAGCCAGAACTTCAAAGACACGCGAAAAACTTCATGCGCCTCACTCAGAGGCCGTCAACCATCCTTAAGAGCCGAACCGCACTTGTTTGCAGGTAGATACGAAGACAATGACCTTCTTCTGCGAGTGAGAACCTTGGCATTTCGACATCAATAAGTCCAATAAGTGCTCCAATACGGTCACAACTACCCAAGCCCAGTAAATCGTTACCTTCCATCAGCTTAGGCACGCAGGAAAGAAAAGAGAGTGTCCACCTTCTTTTCCAAGGGCATAATCATGTAGGTCTGCCTCAGGCGGCCCAGCCCAAATCCCAAGAATGCTGCCCGCTCCACGCTGAGGATGGGCACTTCAAGGTCTCTGGTGTTCGGCTTTTCGCATCATGGTGCACAGAGATCACCTTCCATCGCAGTCTCGTGGCAAAACTAACATGGGGGATATCCCAAAATTGCCATGTTCATGAGAAAAAATCTCGGAAATGATGATGAACCCTGGGATTTCGTTGGATTTTGCCAACGTTTTCAGAGAAACCATGTATCCCACTGCATCCCAGCTGGAATCTCTGACCTTGGTTACATCTTTATACTGAGGTCTAAGACCTGTGAGGGTCTTAGAGCTTGGCACTCTTACCATGCGTTTTTTGTGACGCCCTGACCCCCCCGCGCATTGGTTGAAAATTTAAGACACGTGTTGTTTTCACGAAAAACAAAACATTGTTCAGAGGGGTACAGAGGGGTACAGGTCAACCTTCAATACTGGCCAGAGATGTGTTTCTTCAAAAAAACTGGGAAGCGCCAAAATGCCACTGTCCTGTTGCCAACGAGTCCGCTATAAGAAAAAATATATATCTATACACCCGGCTCGGCTCGGCGTGGAAGCTTTAAAAAACTGGGGTGCCAAAGATGATTTTAGTACTTGATATAGCTTTCATGGGGTTCCACGATGTTCCACGCGAAATTTGGTGGGTGTCTTTCCAACATCCAGGATGGGCCACGATGGGCCTCCGGGGAACGCAGGGCTGCCCGCCCCAGGCGATGAACACTGCCATGGAGCGTGGCAGAAAAGAGCAACCTGACCACGGCTGAAATGGTGGAAAACTTCGAGAAATCTTCGGCAACTGGAAGACCTGGTAGTTGATATCACCAATTGTGGGCAACAAAATGTATGTAATAAATGATGGATAATGATGGGCTGCTACTTAGTTTATATGGCTCGTAGGTCATATGTTAATCTAACATGATATAACTTAACCAAGAAATCAAGCTGTTCAAAAGGCGCATTACCAGCCATTCGAGGCTCGGGCGTCTGCCGCTCGGCGGGCAGATGTTGCAGGATGTTGTGCATTGTTTCCTAGAGGTCCCACAGTGCGAAAGCTGCGGCTTCGAGAGCACTTCAGGGCGCCTGGAAACCGAAGTCCAAGATTCGGTCTGCTTCATCAATCACCTGTCAAGTCCACTGCGCAACGGTAAAGGAATGTGGTTGCCACGCTGGACGTCTTTGTTGGTTGTCAAGGGGGAAGCTACTTCTGCATTTGATGTGCGGCTTTTTGCCCAATGTACATATGTATCCAAAGACCATATATATATATTACATATTACATATATCATATCTGGTGTACTCGGATGTTGGGTTTCTTTTAATACACATGCATGTCCATATATATATATATATTTATTTATTTATGTATTTAATTTATTTAGTTTATTTATTTATATTGCTTCACCAACAGCTCAGCCAAACGCTCCAGGCCAGCTGTGCCAGCATCAACAGCGAGGAAGCATCAAAGCCGGGCGATTCATCCAAGTGCTGCAGCAGCCTGCTGAGTGATACACTTGAGAACGGAATGTCAATCATCAAAAAAGTAGAAAAAAATGAAAGCCCCAACAAATCTGGCCCCCCAAAAAAAATATGTTGCTTTGCTATACTACACTTGGTTTGGTGCTGAAAATGCCGCTTGAGTGGATCCTGGATGATCCTGGTATCCATCTGATTTCACCATAGCTTTGGAAATCTCTGGACGGCCTTCCAGGTGTGGCTACCAGCACACTCATCGTCGACACGGCTTTCTGCTCCTGCCAAGTGGCACCGTGAGGATCCCTGAGGAAGGGGGAAAGGGACAACACCTTGGGGAAGGGACAAAGGATGTGTCTGAAAATGGAAGTATACCGTAGTATCACCCAAAAAAAATCTACAGAATTGAATAGACATAGATATTCTAGTAGGAAAGGTAGTCATTAAGCATTCAGTGAGCATTGGTTAACCATCGCTTAAACCTGATTAACCGTTGATTAACCATGGTTAGCCACTGGAATGCAGTGACTTGTCGTCCTCCTCTAAAGAGCGGCCACCAACAATGCAGCCAGCAGAAATCTCATGTTCCTGCCCAACATTTGAAAGGACCTTAGCTCTTCCGGCTTCAAAACAATGGCAAAAAAGCAAGAGATACAGCTAGCGGCCTTGATTTATGAAGTATGTGGGACGTCAAACGTTTGAAGCTTTGTTTATGACTGTTGGCAGATACTGACCTTAACTCGCAAAATTCAAAGTAAATCTCCCTTTGGTTTCACTGCGAGGGGCTTGGAAGATCTGATACGCCAGCTCCCTGGTAGGGGAGACCTCAGTCCGGTGAGGTGCCGAAACATGTTATGGCTATGTGGTAGACCCAATGGCACCATCCTACATGATTAGGTTATGTAGGGCTTACCACGTGAATGATATAAAATGGCAGTGGGTCAAAACCCTGGTACCTAGTGAACCCCAAAATAGCTGGTAAATGGATGTTCATCCCACTAAAAATGTATCTATAGGTATTGACCCATACCCAAATGATATTTTTCTCAGGTTTTCCCGCTCCCTTCACCCTTCAAATTCATGATATGTCAGGCTCGGACAATGGCAGCACCTAAACCATCCATGCTGCTCCAGCGATTCCTAGCAGAATTCCGTCACCAATTTCCCAGTGTTTCTGCAAATACTTTCACTCCAATGTCATTACATGCTCTCTAAGCCTCCACTTGATTCGTCAATCCAATCTGATCGCAGTGCGTCTTGCATCATCACCAGCAACAGCACCACCATCACCATCATCACCATCATCACCATCATCACCACCATCACCATCATCACCATCATCACCATCATCACCATCATCACCATCATCACCATCATCACCATCATCACCATCATCACCATCATTCCAATTACGGTTGATTCTATACTAAAATACTTGAAACCGCCAACTAGCCCAAGAGTGCTCCAACACTGCATTTTGCCTGTAGAGTTTCTCCACTACCGGGATCAGAAAGGCCAAAGTCTTACCGGATCCTGTCCGTGCTTCACCCAGAATATCTCGACCTCGATAAATGGTTCCATGGACAGCTGGTACAGCCACTTTGCCGCCCTTGTTCTCGGTAAGATCTAAGATTTATGATAGCCACATGGAGTGAAGAACAACCTAAATCATGTGGATGAGAGACCTTTTGAATTTAGTGGCTTGCCAAATCGCAAGATTGGCTCAATTGCAAATTGCATCCCCTAACAGAAAGGTTGTGTTTCTAACTGAGGTGTACGCCAGCGAGGGCCAAAGGGATTGCTCCACTTTGAATCTCCGTCATCTTGACATACTTTGATGCCTTCAAATTCAGGAACAACGATTCGCTTGATTCCCTCTTTGGGATTCTTTCAAGAAGGCACCTATCCAACTGGAATCTGGGCAGAGGAGTGCTTCGACATTCTTGGAATTGTAACACAGGGGCCTCAAGGCCCCGCACTGTTCGCGAGGAGATTGGCAAATCCTTGAACAACGCTCCAGTAAGGGCTGGCCCCTGGCAGAGAACAGCTGCAACTCTGGCTGGGCATGGATCAAAAATGAGTGCCAGGTACCCCAACCAATTGGTTTGCCAATGGATAGTACTCAAGATGACCGAACTCTAGAGTTCAGGGCCTTCAAACTTGGAACTATGCCCAAGTACACATCACCACAGCCAGAGCTTGTTTCGGCGTAGAGCTTCGATGAATGAAGGTCAAGATGCTGTGAAAAGCGGTGCCGTCCCCTTTTCCAAACGGACTCAGCCTTCGCAACATTCCATTCTACTACCATTTTCAATTCGTTGTGGTCTTGGACATTGAATTTTCAAAACCCCTGGTAGATGATCAGCAAGTGCCTTCCCGGCACTGTCGCTCTTCTCCGCTTTGCTTTTGCCACTCTTGGCGCTCTTGCCACTGCACTCTCCACGGATCCGCTCTTCCAAGCGTTGGATCTCAGACTCCTGCTAGATCTCATTTGAATTGTCTGAAGATTGGGTAACCCCCAATTCTAATGGATTGTCATTAGCTTCCCCATTAAGATGATGTATGCCATTTTGGGGGGGCATTTTTTACTCACCCAGAGGTGGCAAATGGGGATTGGTCAACATGGGTACGCCAAATTTGGATGGTTTGCCAGAATCTGCGGGCACATTTGCAAACGTATTTCATCAGGCAAGAGTACATTCGAGGTGATGATCTGAAGCCAGTTGAAATTAAAATCAAATTCACCTTATTTAATATGGCTTCCATACATGGGTTGAGTGGCTGAGGGGAGCTCGCCCATGGCATGAAATGCAACTCTGAAGTCCTCTGCCTCTCTTCGGTCACGGCGTCCGTGCGTGCTGAGTTTCTTCTTTGGTACCTGTCACAGTCACAGTCAGTCACACCTGCAGTCTGCGAGGTTGAAGTGTCCTGCCTTTTTTCTCTTCCCATGGCTGTTTCTGCCCTGTGCCATGCAGGTATGGAATCTAAGAATAGATCAAAGTGATCTGATATATCTAAGTGCCATCCACGGAGTGAAAGAAGGGTTGGTTGATGTTGGTTGTTGCGGTGGTTCGGTGCTGCTAGGTGAGAAGAACACATGTGGAGACTTTGGTCATTATCTTTAAGGTCTTTTGCAGCATCAGATGGACTCTACATACACACTGCTAACATTTCAATAAGTCCAAGGGCCTCTGCAAATGATTCTGCATGTCAGTTGTCTTGAGCTGCAAGCCAGTTTGGGATTGTACATACAGGTGATAATCAACATTGATCAGGCAAGCTGCTGTAAGAGATCTGCTCAAAATCTGTTCTCGCTACAGTTATCGCCGGTCGAACTGCGCAAGATAAGTTTCAGCTTCTAGCTATCGAACTTAGAAAAGTTTGCAGCAAAAGGCCGCATCTGCCAAAAGACAAGTTGGCCTCCAGCCAACACGAAGCTGGAAAAATCCAGCATTGAGACTTGCAGTCCACCAGTCGCAACGATCAGAACCAGCGGTTTCAACAGGACTAGTGTTTCCCTAAAGCGAAAGCGAAATGATCTGTGGCAGCCACACGCCATACTGAAATTTGATCTAAGCCCCTTTGTTTTGGGCCTTCTGCCTTGAAGTCTCAGTGCTGAATGGTTGAACTCGCCAAGAGATTGTACACAAATGCTGGGCAGGGCCAGCGAAACTAACCTATTCTGTGGCACTCTTGCCATGAGTCCAGGGTCCAAAATTCCCCACCATTTCGTTCGACGTTCCATTTCTCGTAAAGCGCATCAATAAACATCAATGCCTGCCAAGCTTGTTGAGGTCATCCACAGCTCGCGATGATCCAAACCCACCCCAGCCTGTTGAAGGTTGACTAGCAGTGTCAACTGAGATTCTAAAGCTTTCCTGGAACAGGGTGGAAGGTCACTTAGACTCAGGAAAAACGCCCAAAGAGCAGAAAATGTACCCTCTGGCAAACTAACATAACTATTGGAAATCACCATGTTTAATGGGTAAATCAACTATAAATGGCTATTTTCAATAGCAAACTGTTAAATTACCAGAGGGTAGTTCTTTCTGCCAATGATATCCAGCTTCATGGCAGTGGTGCAGCTCCTTCGTAGGAAATAGCCAGCGGTTGCACCACCGGAGCTGGCAGGGAAAGCAATTTTTTTCGACGCAAGGTGCCGCATGCAACACACACTTGTTCCACAGTTCTTGCACCGAAGTTACAGTGTGAGATGTCGACCTTGCATTTGAAGGGTCCCGGATATTGACAGACCCTACCCCTGTACTGTTGATATGTGTTCAAAGAATGCTGATGATATGTCGGCCAGGATATAATGAATACATGTGAAGCACGTCAAGATACCTCACTGAAAACATCCTGAAACCACAACAGGCAGGATTGGATATAGCCTGGGTTGCTGCTTGTTTCGCGAAGCTGCTCCAAAATGTCAGAAACATGTCCAAAAATGGGCGAATCCCCCCCATTTACAGCCATTCAATGAAGAAAACAAATATGATGAACCACTGGGATTTTGATGCGTGTTGGGGTGCTCTATTTTCAGACAAACCCACATCAACAAGCCGGGGGAACTCCCTAGATGAAGGAGTGCAAATGACCATCTTCACCGACTTGTCCTGCAGCGTCTCCAATCCGTCTGCTGACTTCACCCCATTCCAATTCAAAAAGGGTCACGGGGGGTCCAACCAATATGCTGTTGTCCGACAATGGGGGATTCACCCCATTGTCAATGACCACGTGTAAAAAATTGGGAAAATGATATATGTTTCACCCATCTATTCAGAGGCAAAAACCCCAAATTCTCATACCCTCTGGTAAACTAACATAGCTATGGAAAATCACCATGTTTAATGGGAAAATCCACTATTAATGGCCATTTTCAAGAGCTACGTTAAATTACCAGAGGGTACAAACACTGTTTTATGAAACTTCCATCCACCACAGTCCGCCATTGCTGACATGACGTTGGGTCTCTTCTGAGTCACCTGCAGGGGCCCGGCAGCTACTGTCTGAGTCTAATGGTTTTTACCAATAGCCTCAAGTGCTGGATGATCTACCAGTTATATCAATCATAAACAATGGTGAATAAGTGGATAAGTCTATCTAACTTATCCAATAATGGTGGATAATAAATCTATCATAACAAACCAGACTAAGAAATATTCAAAAATGGATACAGCTGAGACTATCTCCCACTTCAAATGAGGCCCCGACAGCATTGCTCAGTGGGCTGACGCTTATCCGTTGGCCCTTCCGCTTCGGTGCATTCGCCTGGCGAAGACTTGAAGAGACTGGAGCTTGCAAGGAGCTTTGTGCTAGCTGCTTAGCTCTCGAGGCCAGCCTCTATGTATGAAGCAGTCCCAGTGGTAGCATAGATCCTCAATGAAGAATGGTGTTGGACACCTTCTTGACTTTACAAACTATCACGCCAAGAACTTCTCTCCCAATGTTCATCCATCAAACAGCCAGGGGCTCATGAATTCTAAGCACTGAACTTGAAACCCATCTCATCCAAGAAAGGCAGGTACTTCAAGATTGTCTCCTTGTGGTCCTTTGCCAGTGCAGTTTGGCAACTGACAGCAACTGAAAAATCCACAAGCCACAGGTCGGTCCTGCGGCCCCAGCGACAGGAGAATCCTGGCAAAATTCATCCAAATTGCATCAAAATCACAAATGTCTAACAAAATCACCACAGCCAATCTCTCTCTCTCTCTCTCTCTACATACCATTACATATCTACATAAATATAAAGGATATGTACACAGTATCCATATGTTCCATGGTCAAGTGACATGATATATGGTCATCACAATGGGAAACCAAACATCATAGGTATATGCATCCCCGAAGAACTGGGCATACAATCCAATTTCTGATTATCTTGAGGTTCCATATCCCATTCCATATCCCCATGTTCCATAAATCACCAGTGTTGGTGAAATCCAAGGAGTTTGACTTGACCATGGCACCCTTACCCCTTGGCTCCGGACCCGCAAGGTTCAAAGGTCACCTTCACCCCGCTGGCGATCAGGGTTTTCAGGAAGGCCTCGAGGCCGAATGGGACACCCCGCCCAGTGGGCCGATGCCATAGTGATGGCCGTTAAATGATGCCGAAAATGATGATAAGCCATGAAAAACCCATCGAAATTCGGGGTATACCAGGTAGACCATTTTCAGAGTAACCCAATGGATCAAAAATGGGCAGATTCAGCCGGTTTGGAAAGGTCCTGCCTCGTTGGCATTTTGCCCGAAGCATGCAACCTGCAAACAGAGTGTTCAGTCTCAGTCCTCATAAAAATTGTTCACTGTTTTGTTCCAGACTTGGTTCTCAACATGGAAGAGTTTTGCAAGCCACAGAGTCATCGTGTGGTCAAGGTTGCTGCTCTTACAATTTTTATCAATTTTTACAACCCAAGCATCTTTGTCTCTGAGCTGACTCCTAAACCGCTAAAAACACTTCAGCTGCCAGTTCGCCACTGCCTATATTCATCCCCAATTTTCCCCATGTTCCCGAAGAAATGGGAAGTTTTTAAGCTGCGCCTCACCAGTACTCTGCATCTCTACTCCAACGTGGGGATCAGAGCCACTGAGTCTCTGGAAAGAGAACATGGGAGCCTTCGGGGGTCGATGCCAATGGTTTTTTCGAATGAGAATTTAACCATCAAAAGGAAGGATTTAACCATCAAACATTGGGGGTTAACCATAACAAATGGGAGGTGAAACACCAAAACATTGGGATATATGTATATATATATATATTTATGTTATAAAATGATTCGATATCATTCATATAATCATATGTATACATATACATGTATACATATATACATATATAATTTATACACATACATGTGTATAAATATATATATACTGTGTTTTTTGTGTCCGATGTCTTGCATAATTCAAGCAGGTGTATGGCATCTCCATGCATAGGCATGCTGGCTCAGGGATTTCAGCACGAGGGCTTAGGGAGGCCCCGAGACGCTTCGAACGGTGTGAGCGCAGCCATAAAGGGAGCGGCTTCTCTTGGGCTCCGGTGGGCCAATTCGGTTTGGGATCAGGGGGTCCCCATTGACAATTTGGAGGTGGAAAGGAATAGCCAAGGGGCCTGCTACCAGTTCTACACTGGTAGCGGAGCTGCCGCGGCTGGAGGTGGATTTTTGACATAGCTTGTTGGCCTCCGGAAGTCCCTGATCCAGGAAGTTTGATAGTGATACCGGGATGCCTACCAATCCAGGCACGACCGCTTCATCAACTGGTTCAAGACTTCACTGTCACATCCCATGGGCGGTGACTCCAGCATTTTGCCCTGGAGAAACGGAGATCAATGAGTACTCGCGCAAACTGGGGTTCTTAGCGGGCTTGTGGCCGAAGGAGCACCTTGCTCTTCTATCCCCACGGGCTGCAATGTTGTGCGAGGGAAGCGCATTCAAAAAGATCATGAGGTTGGACACGGCCAAACTGAAGGTCAATATTGAAGATGGTGTGAAGCTTCTGGTGACGGCGTTGGGTGGAATTCGGGGAAAAAGCAAGTTAGAGGAGAAGTTCGAACGTTTTGAACGGGCCATTTTCTCAACCACCCAGCGTGCCGATGAGACTCATGAGAGTTACCTGGCTCGACATGATTTCCAATTCGAGGAGCTTCTGAAGATGGGAGTTGGATTTGCTGAGGTACGTGCGTACATTCTCCTTCGTAACTCTGGCCTGCATGCGGAAGACAAAAAGAAGTTGATTGTTGATTCAAAGGGAGCCCTTGAATATGAGTCCATTGTATCATCCTTGAAGCTGTTGGGATCCCGATTCTTTCATGAAGTGCAGTCGGGTTCCAAGAATCCATCCCGATCAAAGACCTATGATGTGAATGCTGTGTTCGATGAAGAGCAGCCCACCATGATCCTGGATGAGGAAAGTATCAACTATGGGGGTTCATGGGGAGATCAAGAACCTTACCATGATGAAAATGATCCTGATGCGATTGTGCGCATGCAGTTCGAAGACAGTATCTTAGAAGCCCTGCCGGGAGATATGGAACTAGCTGCATGTTATAACATCTATGTGGATGCCGGCAAACTCCAAGATCGCAACAAGAACCGTGGATATTGGGGAAACTCCAAGGCATATTCAAACGCCCCGAAGGGAAAAGGCAAAGGGAAGGCCAAGAACCCCTTCCGTCAGAGGAAGCCATGGGCACAGAGGATTTTGGATCGCAAGCGTCGACAAAAGGGCCACTGGAAGGCCGAGTGTCCCTTGAATAGAGGTTCCAACACTGCTGCCACAGGGCCATGAGGCCCAAAAGACACAGCCTTTGCCGGTACCACCATGACCATGGAGTTCAGCCCTGATGGAGATGACATGATCTTGATCACTGACCATGATGATGTGACTTTGCATGATAAGTCTGTTTTTCAACACTGTTTCATGATGATGCATGGGGGTTCAAACAATCCAGAATGTCCGGGTCTCACAGGTCCTCTTTTGTCAAGGTTTATGAGCAAGTTGAAGCAACGCCTAAGCCCTCGGCTGAAGATCGCACCTGACATGAGCCCTGATTTGATCTCCGCAGGATCACATGCATCCAAGGCCCAACCGTGGCCATGTGAACAGCCGATCCGTGATGGGTCATTTGCCGATATCATGTTCGTCAGTCATGGACCTTTTGGAATAGTAGATCTAGGTGCCAGTCAAACTGTCATAGGACAACAACAAGTTCCCGAACTGTTGAATCACTTGCCAGTGCCAATTCGCAGTAAGGTGAAAAAGGTTCCATGCAGCACGATGTTTCGATTTGGTAACAGCAGTACAGTTGAGTGTCAAGAAGCTCTGTTGGTGCCTCTGCAGAGATGGCATGTCAAGGTTTGCATTGTACCGTCACGCACTCCTTTTCTCATTTCCAATAATGTGTTCCGCACCCTGGGAGCTCAGATTGACACGGCATCAGATTCAGTGCACTTTGCTCAGATCGGTGTCAAAATGTCGCTGAAACTGACGGCCAAGAAGTTGTATCTGTTAGATTTTTTTGAACTAGTCAAGTTAGCACTCAGAAATCCAGGAAACATCTCACAGAATGAAACAGAAACTGATGGATCCGTCATGTTTGCATCCGAAACGGCTCTGATTCCAGACCGTAAGCCATCCGAGAATCACAATCTGAAGCCGTCCAGTGAGGCCCAGAACGTTTCTGACGCCCAACCGCTGTGTGCTCTTTCCGATCCTGATCAGCATGGCCAGCCTGTCCGAGCGCTTTCAGGCTGCGACATCCGAGAAGACCAAGGTCAGCTTCCTGAAGATGTCCTCCGATCAGCTGGCCAATCAACGCATTGCCTTCGGGGAAGCAAAATTGAATCACAGAACAGGATCCCAAGTACACAGCATGGTTTGTCAAGAAGTACGAGGGTTCGCAGAAGCAAGCCCATCAGGTCTTCCTGCACTTCAGTCAGCTCTACACGGAACGACTGGAGATGACATTGGAATCCCGACCCTTTGTCCAGGCCATCGACCTTGGAGCTCCGAGCAAAGTCCAAGGCCATGCGTCCCGAAGTCCCCGGAGATGAGAGTCTCCACAGCTGGACAAACGAGGAGGTGGAATCCAAGCCATGGAGTGTGCTCCACGAAGGGGCCTCAGCCATGATGAAAGAGGAAATGATCCAGCAGAATGGACATCGAAAATGTCGAGAACGCCTTGCAGCAGATCTCACAACAACTCCAAGCCCTGACCCAAGTGATGATGACGCAGGGCGGTGTACAGAAACCGTGAGTGAGGGCAACCATGGACATGATCTGAGATCTTGGATCTGTGATGCAGTAGGAAGCCATATGCTTTCTCAACCGGGACATGATGTTATGGACGTCAACTATTTTGATAGCGTGAAAGATCAACATCAGGGTCGTCAAAACTGGGTGTGTGAAGAAATGTGGACTTATCATTCCAAGAAACACAGTCATATGACCTTTGAAGCTATCCAAAAACATTGACATACTTCCAAAGCTCATGTCCTAGAAGTATACTCAGCAAGGCCAGAGTCTCGGTCTCAGCTCGTACCGTTTTGGACACAAACATGGAGATCGATGCAGACTTTGTGATGTGTTGTGGACCCTCAGACCCCAGCATGTGTGGGTAGCTCCGAAGTGTGGACCCTGGAGTTCATGGAACCGACTCAGGTATGAAATCCATGCAGCTGTCCAAGCAAATTCAAGATGATCGACGAGCTGAGAATGTGCATTTACTTCTGTGTGATGCCATGTTCCGACTTCAGGACTGGAGAGGTGATACTTTTCACTTCCACCTGGAACAACCAGCTGGCTCCAAGATGCTCCATCAATCTGAAATGGGGAATATCATGAGCAACACTCTTAGGGTTTCATGTGACATGTGCATAGCCGGTGCCCTGAGACACCCTGAAAGTCATGCTTGGTTGAAGAAAAGGACCCAAATTTGGACCACATCAGCCATTGTATGGAGAACCTTGGAAAAGTGTCAATGTGCAGGAGCCCATCAACATGATCAAGTTGCAGGATCATGCAGGCCGCCTGGTGGTACCCGCATGCCGTTGACTAGATACACTGAGTTGTACGCTGCCAAATTTGCCAAACGGTTATGTAAAGCCATACAATGCAGCTGCCATATCCAAGAACAAGTTGTGGGATATCGCACCATGTTTGCCTATGTCACCTCCACAACGGAGGGCGCTCCAGAGCTGAAAAGACGCCGTCTTGCTGGGAAGTTCCATCCCGAACATCTGTATGTAGATGCTGATTTAAGCAGTGCCAGTTCCGCGGCGATCCCAGCATCCGACGTTCCCCGGAACCAGTCAAGACCGACTGATCCAATGTCTCAAGTACGGAACCTGATTCAAATGGCTGAAAAGCGTGCACCTCGAGTAGGCAAAGTTTTGGTGAGAGAAGGTCCTCTCTTTGAAGCTGTTCAAGAACTGCATTCTGACAAGGAAATCAAGGTACTTGACATTTGTCGAGGAATAAATCGCACGCGAACTTGTTCCATAGGTGGTGAGGGTTTTGCACCTTTCCGGAGAGCCTTTGGAAAAAGGCGGTCTGACCTCGAAGTGTTCCATGATGCAGCTTGGGAGGCCTGGGAACAGTTATCCCATCGACAACGAGCAGGAATCCCAGCACGCCTTCTGGTCACCGCGTTTGCATCCAACAAGAGGTCCGGTGACGAACGGCCATCTGCAGAGAATGACAAACATCAGCGCAGTGATGCTGTTGAAGTACCACAAGGCAATGTACAGACCCCCAGGCCGAATTCCACAGGTGAAAAAAAAACAAATGTTGAAACTCAAACGACATCATGCGTCCCGAATTCTCACGGTCCACTGTTCAAGCAACTTCATCCCCACATCCAGTCCCAGATCAAGAAGATTCACCAAAACCTGGGTCACCCAGACTCACGTGTGCGCTGCTAAATGGCCCTTCCACGTCACGGCTGGACTGAAGCGGATGTTAAAGGTAGTGCAGATTTTGTGTGTCCCACCTGTGTGGAACAACAGCAGCCCAAAGTAGCCCGGCCTGATCACATTTCCTTTGATGGCGTTGAATGGAAAGATTCTCAAGCAAATGCCTATGGATTTTACCATTTCATAGATACAGCCACCAACTTCCAAGTAGCTGTTCCTTATCGCCAAAGAACCACCGAGGGTCTGGTCGAAGCCTTCTCAAACGCATGGCTACGCTGGGCTGGACTACCGAAAAGCATGATGTTCGACAGGGCCACCGAGGCCAATAGTGAAAGTGCTTGTCCAAAGGTTCAAGCGAGCTGCCATGCGACTGTTCCAATCCCACCAGCTGTCCATTAATGCCCTGAGATCTACACATTTGTTGAGTTTTGGATTTTGCCACGTAGCTTCCCTGCACATTTCTCGTTCATTCCATTTTCCGGACCATATCTTCGCTTTCTTGATGGGGTGTGCCTCCAGATTTGCTGCAAAAAATAATCCGCTCAATTTTGTGCCACCTTTACATGAGTTCTTTTGATTGAGTGATGCTTGCATTCAAATTAAATGGCATTCGCCTACGCCGTCTTCGCCCAGTTTCTTAGCTTGGAGGTGGCTGCGTTGTTGGAGAAAGAAAAGTTTGCACAATTCCATGCAGCTTCACTCTATCCAAAGTTATGTCATTCCCACAGATGCACATTGGCAACTTGGCAGAGCTGAACGTCATGGCGAGGTCCTCATGCACATGTTGGATAAGCACCATAGCCATCAACCTATCCTAAGTTACCAAGTCTTTGAACAGGGTTTGATTCAGTTATGTAATGCCAAGAACTCCATGTCACGTCACGAGGGTTTCACGCCAGAGCTTTGGGTTCTAGGAAAAATGCGTGCTCTCACAGGGAACAACACAGACCTTTACTTGGATAGTGCAGGTTTCATGGGACTCAATGATGACTCACCAGAGGGAGCTCGTTTCAATGCCACATGGCAAGACGTGAAGCTGCGAGAATGGCCTTTGTCCATGCTGAACACAGCACCGCATTGCGAAGAGCGTTGAATGCCAGATCCCGACCGATCGAATGAAATGCAAACCTGGCGAACTAGTGATGTTTTGGAAATCAGGTACGGGCGCTGAGCCAGGCGCATGGCATGGGCTAGCGAAAGTGTTAATGGTTGAAGGTAATAATCTGGTTTGGATCAGTCATTTAACCCGTCTCTTGCGCTGCGCACCGGAACATGTGCGCCACCTGTCCACCGATGAAGAGCAGTCTGTGTCCGAGCAGGACCGAGCCATGTTCCACTTGCCAGACCGATCGGGCAATGGAGTGTTCCAATTCCGAGAGCTGTCACAACAGGAATCAGCATCGTCACCAAATATCCTAACCAATAATTCACCACCCGTTCCGGAGTGACTCCGACAGCCTCTAATCCAAGCCCCAAAGAAACATGGTTAAGTTTATTTGACAAATCGATTTATGTGTTCAATCTTTCCTGTAGATACTATTGCACTAAGCCAATCAAGTTTGGAATTTTGGAACCATGGGGTGTTGATGGATGCACCGATGAACTGAACCGAATCAATTTACATGGTGTTTTGTTACATCATTTCATCACCTTGGGTAACCGATACCATCAAGACAATGCGCAATCAACTTGCCGGGCCAGGCCAGGCAATTTACAAAATGCGGTGTTCAAGTACAGACTGGTGCAGGTGAAACGGATGGTGTCTGGTTGTGGGCTTGCAGGTGAAGGACTACGTGGCCTGGACTGGTGACTAGTGACTGAAAGGATCCTTAACAAGAACACAATGGAGACATCACGATCAACCAAAAAGATTATCTCACTCAACGATATTCCCCTATTAATATCACTCGTGACCGTCGCAAGAACCCTGACACTCCTATCACCAAAGATGAACTTCAGAGTCTACGTGGACTGATTGGTAGCCTCCAATATGCGGCAACCAACACCAGGCCAGATTTATCTTGCCGTTTGGGCTTGCTACAAGCCAAGGTGACCTGTGCCACTGTAGCTGATTTGCTGACAGGGAATCGGATTCTCAATGATGCCAAAAAGTATGCTGACACCGCAATCCGCATTCAAGCATTGCCACTGGAACAGATCCGTTTTTTGTCGTTTCTGGATGCCGCGTTTGCTACAAGAGAGAGAGCCCATTCACAAAAGGGATGCCTGATTTTAGCAACAACTGAAAGTATTGATAGAACTCAATCCTCCAACGTGAGTCCACTTCTCTGGTTCTTGGAAAAGATCAATAGAGTAGTGTCAAGCACGTTGGCATCAGAAACGTTTGCACTATCAGGGGCCCTAGATCTCCTCAGTTGGACGCGCATCCATTGGGCCTGGATGTTGAAGCCAAACCTTGCATGGCAGAAACCTGAAGAAACTCTCAAAAGTTTACCAGAAGCCTTTTTGCTGTTGTTGACTGAAAGAGCCTATACGACCTTCTTCAAAAGACATGCATACCAGAGTGCACTGAGTATAGGACCATGCTGGAAGCATTGGTCGTGAAAGAGCGTCTTAGTGAAGGTGTGATAATTAAGTGGGTTCATAACGCAGCCCAAATGGCAGATTCCTGAACCAAAGACATGGACTCGACTGTGCTTCGCTCCTTTCTAGCCCGGGGGAAATGTATTCTTCACGATGTGGATGAAATACTAAAACAAAGGGCAGAGAAGAAGAGTCGACAGCACTGGTACCATCATGCCAGTTCTGATCCTACGGATTCTGCCTTGCACATTTTTGCCATGTTCCATGAGATTTGTGGTTGAATGATGGTAAGGTACGAAGGTGATCTCATCAGATGCCACAGGCGATCTCAGCTGCTGCGGTTTTCATGTCCGTGTATGCCTCGCAACCTGGGACTCAATGGATCTTAGACTTCAGGAAAGGATTCCAACCTCCCGTTTGATCTTCAATGATAACCCAACAAAGCAGAGGATTTTTGTCGGCAGCCAATTAGCTTTCTTTACACTCCACAATCCAAATGCATGCACCCGTCCAGCTTCAGAAGCTTAGAAAAATTACCAAAAAGATAAAGACATAATTTTTAGGAGTGTGTTTTTTGTGTCCGATGTCTTGCATAAGCCTGATGATCTTGGAATCACATCACAATGAGTTGTATGTTCATGGGTCCAGGTGTATGGCATCTCCATGCATAGGCATGCTGGCTCAGGGATTTCAGCACGAGGGCTTAGGGAGGCCCCGAGACGCTTCGAACAGTGTGAGCGCAGCCAAAAAAGGGAGCAGCTTCTCTTGGGTTGCGGTGGGCCAATTTGGTTTGGGATCAGGGGGTCCCCATTGACAATTTGGAGGTGGAAAGGAATAGCCAAGGGGCCTGCTACCAGTTCTACAATATACATATACATGCATACATATATACATATATACATATATACATATATACATATATACATATGTACATATATACATATATACATATAGGCATATTTACATATATACATATATACATATAAACATATAAACATATATACATATATATATACATATATACATAGATAATCATAAATACACATATATATACATATACATATATATATATGTACGCATATACATGTATACATGTATACATGTATATGTATACAGATAATCCGTAAATTAGGGGTGGGTCAAAGTCAAAAAAACGAAGTTTAGATATTTTGGGGGGATGAATTTAAAAAAAAAACATCCCGATCTTCATACGAACAGATGGGTATGACGGTCTTGATCCAAAGCCTGCTATCGAGGCCACATGCCATGCTCCAAGCACCAGCTGCAAGATTCATAAACTATAGTAAGTGCATCCAAGTACTACCAAGCTAAATCCAAACCTCATGAAAATACACCCAACAGTTGGTACCCATGTATAAAGTTTCCTCACCACATAATCCTGGTGAAAACAAGCTGTGAGCTTCGCCTTGCAGGCAACAAATTCGAAATCGTAGAGGTAGACTGGGCTGGGCTTCACGTCCTGCTTCAGCATCACACGAGTGGCCAGCTCGATGAAGTTCACGTTGAGTGTCTTGGACACAAAGGGTACCTCCAACAACATGGCCTGAAAAAATGGTGGTGTAATGGGATTTTAATCGGATATCAATTGGCATCCTACCATAGTCTACCCCTTTCGGCGTTTCCCAAGCTGGATACAACAAGGATTGGACATTCACTGCAGTGAGTGGAATGGTGTTTTAACCGCAGCTTTCACCAGAATCTGTTGCATTTGTCCTAACAAGGGCCACTCCCCAGCCCAGAGCGCACCGTTCTGGATGCTCGGACATTGCATTCGATGACTTTCACTGCTCGCACCGAACTGCTGGAACCTTCCTGTCGGTAAAGTGATGCAATACTCCTTGATCAAATTTGTCAAATGAAATCCCATTGATTCATCCAATGACTGTTTAGAAACGCATCTGAAATCATCACATCTTGCGATGCGCCTGGGACATGAACTGCACGTTGAAGGGTCCAGAAATGTTGAGAGCCTTGCACCTTGGCTCGTCAGGTCTTCATCAGCTTCGGTGCAGACAGCTTTCTGTTGTTTGCCTCTTCTATTATCATCCACCAGGGTACGTACAGTGATAATCGGCAGATATTTACATAGTACACTTAGCTTGTACACCTGAGTGACTGGGATTTAATCTGATTTCATGTTTGATTGTTCTCCCATTGAAATTTAAAGACAGCTGTTGTTTGGAGCTGTGGCCTGCCTCGATCTCAGTTCCAGGCAACTGAGATGCGATGTGCATCACCCGGCGATGAGTTTCTAGGTGCAAACGCTGCGATGGGAGCAGCAGGGTGGCATCACCACTGTGTGTTCCCGCATCCTGACAGCAAGGTGTGAATAAGGTCCCCGGCTGAGAAAATCTGGATAATAATCATAATTGTATGTGTGTACATATTGTATATTCTATAGATTATATAATTCTATTATAATTCTCTATACAGTAATATGGATATGGGTGTCAATTATCGATGTAAACATCACACTCTCCAGCATCTTATGCACCGCTGAGCCAGAGTTCTCCCCGCCTCAACGTGTTCGGAGATTGCATAGTTGATGACTTGGCCATCTCGACCGATGCCATCAAACTCGATCTCCCTGTGATGAAATGTCCAAAAGAAAAACCAGGAACCGCATGCATGAGTCCAGTCTAGAAAAAAAAACTAGTCAAATATTCAAAGTATCTCAATGCCTTACATACCCCCCTCATGTTTTGTTTTTCCATCTCTATCTGTCTGGTCTTTGTTTGCTGGCAGAAACATTGTTGGTGTATCTTGGTTGATTCAGTCGAATGTCTGTATTCTCTTTCAAGCCAGATTCCAAAAAACGAGGACCCCAGAATGAAGAGGCGTGTGAATGGGTAAAAAAAACATGTGCATGGTGAAACAAAGGTGCCGAAGTTGAGTTGCTATTTGCGGTGACATACCAAGACTCCACTGACAACAACTTGTTCAGTTTGTTCTCTTCTTCTTCTTCGTCGTCGTCTTCTTCTTCATGCTTTGTAAGTGCAGTCTTACTGGTTTTCAGAATGTATTGATATGGGTGTGTTTGAAAACTTAGCACCCGAAAATTTTATTGCTGATCATCATCCAGATAGTCCATTGTCACAGTCTTTAAACAAACTGCAACGTTGTCAGAAATGAGCCGCACGTTCACCTGGCATGCTCGATGTACTTCGAGATCACCACAGGGAACTCCTGCTCCACCTTGGCTCGTCAGTTGTAATGGCCCAGCTACAGCCAGTTGGCTGGGTATGGGTCATGGAATCTGGACGGAAAGTTGATCCAATTGTCTTCATTTTGCATGCGCAAAGTTCAAAGATCATGTTTAAAGTCAACGCTGACCAACTGGGTGCCGCTTTGTTTGATCAAGAGTCGGATTCCGTCCTCCTCCTCAACTGAAACATTGAATCAAGTTGATGAATTAGTGCTGTTCCGCGTCGGATTGTAGAACCCTTTTTGACGGCTGAAGCGTCATTTCTAGCCCTTGCAGAGTGTGCATTCGACAAATTCACGGTCTGGTCGAATTCGCTCAATGGTAGGAGCAGTCAAAGCTATGTCTGCTCGCATGAGAAGGCGAAACATGGTGACATCGGCAAGCCTCCATTTCGGGTGCGCAAAAAAGGATCACCAGTTGAGCCACAATCAAAATGCCCAGAGTTAAGATCTACAGTCTACAGCAGCAGAAATTCCTGCAGACTTTCAAAGATTTGGATGAGCTTGGCCAAGTCTCAAATCATCCGATTTCTCCATAGTTATCCAATGGTTTTGACCTTCTCAACCCCATCACTTCCCCTTGCCAGGTGGACAGCCTGATTGCAGTACAATGGCCTCCTCCCGACAATCCAAGACCCCAAAGTAGCCGCTTCTCTCGGAGCACGCCATGCAAGTAATTCTCCAGGGTGGTCTGCTGGTTGTGGATCGTCTTCAAAGCTTCAAAATTTGAATGGTTGGCCTTGGATACTATTGGATATTTGTTGATCCGGGACAAAAAATATCGTCAATTCCCCACGTGGCGAATGAAACAATGGGAACATAAAACATCATCCTAGGCAAATCCAAGTTGCAATAGGTGTATCCAACAAACAAAGATTTAGCAAGCCTTCGGTAAACTCAATCTCAGTGAGAAAGCCTGATTCATCCACATCTAACAAGTCAAAGACATGTGTAGTCGCGCGCCGCATGCTGCCCATGCCCCGCCGCAAGCAGCAGAACATAGTGCATAGCAGCCCAAGGAAGCCACGCTTCAGCCTCAGCCAGCACCCACAGGTGCCAAGCGCCGAGCAGCTTCGGCTGCCCGGATTTTGCCCATCTGCACCAAGAGATCCTTAGTGACTTGATGGGAACTGCTCCAACCAATCCTGGAGGCGAGAGGGCACTCAGGCTGCGGAAGCAACCTCAAATGAGAAAAGGCCTGACAGCTCCACAAGACATGAATGACGCCTGGAACATCAAGCAGCAAACAACACGGACACTGCTGAATAGGAGCGACCCCTTGATGCAGTCTCTCAAAGTCAATGGTGACAGTTTGGAACCCTCCACAGGCAACAGAGATAACATGAGCATCACAATCTCTGAGAATAGATCTGATCTTTTTAATCAGAGGCTCGGAAATGATAAGATTGGTATCACGACCTATCCCACTATCAATCCTGGTGCGGTGCAACAACCACTGACGCACTTTTTTCAAACGCCAAGCGTCTCGAATATGATGGAGACATTTGTCAACTTCAGCTTTCACAGCCCCAAAATGGATGACAAGTCAAAGACATGTGTAGTCGCGCGCCGCATGCTGCCCATGCCCCGCCGCAAGCAGCAGAACATAGTGCATAGCAGCCCAAGGAAGCCACGCTTCAGCCTCAGCCAGCACCCACAGGTGCCAAGCGCCGAGCAGCTTCGGCTGCCCGGATTTTGCCCATCTGCACCAAGAGATCCTTAGTGACTTGATGGGAACTGCTCTAACCAATCCTGGAGGCGAGAGGGCACTCAGGCTGCGGAAGCAACCTCAAATGAGAAAAGGCCTGACAGCTCCACAAGACATGAATGACGCCTGGAACATCAAGCTGCAAACAATACGGACACTGCTGAATAGGAGCGACCCCTTGATGCAGTCTCTCAAAGTCAATGGTGACAGTTTGGAACCCTCCACAGGCAACAGAGACAACATGAGCATCACAATCCCTGAGAATAGATCTGATCTTTTTAATCAGAGGCTCGGAAATGATAAGATTGGTATCACGACCTATCCCACTATCAATCCTGGTGCGGTGCAACAACCACTGACGCACTTTTTTCAAACGCCAAGCGTCTCGAATATGATGGAGACATTTGTCAACTTCAGCTTTCACAGCCCCAAAATGGATGCATGGGACAACCCCGCTCTGGCCGACTGCATTGCTATGAGCACACCAACCCAAGTCTTGCAGGATGCTATTGAGGCAAACCACCGTAGACGGGCTCCACCGACAGTTCTCACCCAAACTGGCACAGTGGCGTGCCCAGGCAAAACCCGAGCTGATGGTGCGGAGGGCCCCATAAAAGGCCAAGTCGCATGTGTGACCAAAGAAGAAAGCACGCTTGAGGTCCATGGACGAGCGCCCTTTGACGAACCGGTTGTCACTTGTCGCCGCCTTGAAGTGGCGGAAGAAACAGGCATTATCCTTCTGGGTCGGGCAGCGACCGTTGATCACATGGCCCCACACTGCTTTGGGCCCCAACACGGTGGCTGCCAGGCGACCTTTGAGGCGAGCACTCACAGGCAAACAAGCAATGCGCCTTGAACGACGAGCGACATCTTGCAACGTGTCCCTCTCACGGTCAGAGAGAGCACGTTCCGCTGAACCAAGCGTAGCCCCAAGGACCTGCATGGTGAAGCTGGCATTGGAGCTATAGTGGGTGTTATCCAACTTTGCCAAAGCCTCAGGAGAGCGAGCCCAGATTTGACTCTTCTCCTCATTCGTGCGGAGCCGCAAAAAGGACTCCATGGTAGACCAAACGTTGTTGACCACATCAAGATCAGCAACAGTCGGGCACAAACAAGTCCTGTCGTCAATGTAAGTGACTGTGAAGATGTCTGGGTGAAGAGCTTGCAGTTGGCGAAGCACTGGTGCCAAGATGACAGCCATGCCAAGAGGAGCAAAAGGGTCACCTTGAAGCAAAGCTGGGCAATGCACAATAGGTTGAGGGTGGACACATTGGCCATATGTGACCCACCTTGTCTGCTGATCCCAAGCCGCCCCGAGCGCTTTGAGGATGGGACCCGGGATGCCGAGTGCTTCGAAGAGACGAAGACAAATGACATAGTCGACCGAATCAAAAGCTTTCTTGTAATCCAAACTCATGCCGTAAGGGTGAGTGGCGGCATCAGTTTGGTTTTGCAGAGCGGCCAACATCATTTCGGCGCCAATGCCTGGCAACCCCCCAACTTGACGCTGATGCAGCAAGCCAACCAGGCCTGGGCTGATCTGGGCGAACCTGTGCTTGGACCAGGCCCTGTAGATGAGGGATCCAATTGCAATCGGCCTCACCTTGGCCACATGGGTAACACCTGTTTTGTCAGCAGAAACCTTGGGTAGAAATGTCAGCCGCCACTGCACCAGCGGGGCAGGCCACTTTCCTACCTGTTCCACTTGCAACAGCATCTCCGTCAATCGCTCCCAAGCCATGTCGGGTAGCAGCAGCAAAGCTTCTGCAGACCATTGGTCCGGGCCAGCAGCCTTCCGTCTCATCTGGCGGACGGTATCCTTAAGACCCTGGGCAGTAAGCTCAGGAGTAACCAGCTCCGGATTGTGCGGGATCCAAGCTGCATAAGCTTGGACAAAAGGTTCAGCCTTGGGCTCATAGCCTTCGGGCCCGCAGAAAATATTCTTCCAAGACTCAAATAAAAACGCAGCCCCTTGACTTCTACCAGAAGTGTTCTTGACATCGTTCGTGAGGGCCCAAGAGGGCGGAGCTTGCTTTCGGAGCCAAGCACAGGCTCCTTCATAAGTTTGCACCTTCTGCCGCCAGCCTTGCAGTGCATGCAGATTGGACTGCTTGAGGAGAAGTTTGAGTTGCTCCGTAAGCTCCTTGAGGCATGCCCCCCACCTGTGGGCTTGCGCATCAGCTCCGCACCCAAATTGGTTGCAATTTCTCTGGCAGGTTCTCTGCAAATTGGTAGGGACCGAGGTGCCGTTGTGAACGTGCCGTTGAGCTTCGTCCAATCTGATCACACGTCTGAGGCGCCTCTCCGTGATGCTTTGGCCAGGGCCATGTCGGGAGGGGCCGCTAACCAGAGTGGGCAAGGACCCTCTTTGCGCAGCACTGCTTTCATGGCTGACTGCACCGATTCTTTTAAGAAAAACTTCCGCATCAGAAGACCAGGTAGACCAGGCATCATTTATATCCTCTGTTGAACCAACGCTTCCCACACCTCAGACGGTGTGCTGACATGGTGCCATGCCTGAGCAGCCTCATCAGCGGAGGGGAGATCACAATTGTCCTGGAAACGTGCCACCGACTTGAAAATCCATGCAGGAGGGGACGGATCTAAGCAGGGAATCTGGCCTAACTCAACAAAGGAGCCAAAATGGTCGGAGAGAGCATCCATGGGCGATTGCTTCTCACAACTGAGAGACTGAGAAAACCAAACAGAGTCCGTGGGATGAGTACTGCGTTTGTGACCGGAAGAGCTACCCAGCTGACCACAAAAGGAAGTCATCACAGATGCTAAAGGATCACTGGCAGGGTCCAAGTTCCAATCGCAAGCAAAAACCCAATGCTTGTGCTGATTCCGACAAAAACTTTCCATAAGCGCTTCATTGGGGGCATCAAGCGCCTGCTGGGGCCGTCTATACCCGTTAATAGCAGTAATGGGGACTTTGTGTCCAAGGATCTCGGCAACCTGAAGTTGACCCCAAGTTTCAGTGGTGGAATGGATATCCGCTAGGGCCAAAGGCTCTTTGACCAAAATTGCGGTGCCCCCACGACCGCCATCGGCAACGGCCCCTGCTGGCGTTCCACTGAGCTGCCAGCCGTGCCTACGGGCCAAGTGCATGGCAGAAACCATTTGGCCTCTAGTGGTCCCCGTTTCCTGGAGAAAGATCACATTAGCATTGACTGCCTCAGCTTCCTGACACATAGCCGCGAAATGATTTCGGAAGGAGTTGATGTTCCAAGCCACACATCTGAGTTTGCCACCATGGTCGCCTGACGGGCCCGGGTGCTTAGCTTCTCCAACCCGCACAGCACGGAGGCCCCGACCCGTGGCAGCACTGCCGTCAGCTTTTTTACTGAAAGAAGGAACCATACGTTTGTTAGGGAAAGAATTTCCAGAATCAAATCCAAGTTTTCGTTTGTTGGATTGGTTATCCTTTTGGCAAAAATCAATAGTGATTTCCTTGGCTGCTTCTTCGCGGCACTTTTGCCACAGTGCCTTGCGCTTGGCTAGGCTAGGGAGGCGACCTTTTTGGGCCGTGGAACAAATAGCCGCAGGGATTTCAGAACTTCTGGTAAAGCAGGAACATTTGAGACAAGTAAATTTCTTGGAGGTGTAACGCTTTCCATTTTTGGAATGCCTGGTTTGGTAGACAGCCGTAGGTTCAGGCGACAAATCATGAGCAGCAGCCCAGCGAACCTTCTTGAAGAGTTCAAGCTGCCGGACCCATCGCTTTTGAACAGTGTCGATAGTAGCCAAAACCCCCGTAGGTCTAAACCCGGTTTTGGGAAGTTTAGGGATATCTTTACTTTTGATCCCATGGACAGAAGTCAAGTGGTAGATTCTCTTCGACGCTTTATGCCTTTGCTCTCCATGAATGACCTTAAAATCACAAAAGGAGCAGCTCCACCAAACAGTCCCGTCCCTGTTCCCCGCTGGAAAAACCGGCAGTCCTTGAAACAAAGGCGCAGGCGTGACCTGCTTCGCATGGACAAACCGCTGTTGTTCCTGTCGTAAATGGATGTCCTTCAACTGTTTAGTGCGCTCCTGCGACTTTTGCTGCAGAATCTGTCTAGCCTTTTTCTGGCATTTTTTGAGGAGTTTCTGCCTGACACTTTCTTGGGGGACCTTGTCGCCATCAGAAGACTTACAAATTTGAGAACCCAATTGAGCTTGTCGGCAAACTTTTCCACAAGCCTCGCATGGCCAGTCCAAGTTTCGGGCGCCCTTGCGCTTGACAGGGCGATTCACCTGATGGAGACCTGGCCACTTCTCAGAATTGAGCACTTCGCACAAAACCTGGGCAAACTTCTCACATGGTGAAATAGCAGAACCCACAGGTGCGGGGTCCGCAACAATTTCAGGTACATTGTTACAAGAAATGCCGTGTTTCTTCCGCAGGTGATGTTTTCTCCTTGTGCGATGGATTTCAGGTTTGTCTTCGACGTGGCGAAAAATTTGATATCCGCAAATATCACAGGTCCACCACTTTTTAATATCCGCGGGCAAATCAACCGTAGGAATAGCAGCAATCTCTTCAGGACTCAAGCATTTAATCTTACGGGTACAATTTCTACTCCCCCCACCTTTGTCAACACTGGAATGCGGGGAATCACTTTCAGGAGGGGGGCCCAAAGAAAGAGAGGACAAAGAAGACGCACGCGCAGGGCGACGGCAGGCAGGATCAACGACCGAGTGGACGGACGGGGTGACAGGACCAGACACAGGACCGGCGGCGCTCACACAGCGATGACCCGACGAAAGACACGAGCGCGACTCAGAAGCGTCCGCACAGAAGGTCTTAGACCGCAAACGGCGAACCGGAGCGACCGATCGGACGGACGGAGTAGGGACCGAAGGGCAAGAACTCCGAGCGGGCACGGGCGTGACCGGGGGCAGAGCAACACAGGGGACAGCACCGGAAACGCCAGGGCGGACAGACGCAGCAGACCTGACCAAGGAGTGCACGGAGGGGGAACGCGAGGACGAAGCCGCACAGAAGCCAAGCAGACCACCAACCCGCCCCGCCGAACCCTGAACCACGGAAGGAGCAGGAGAGGCGAGGGAGTGCACAGAGGGGGTGCCGGCAGAGGAGGAAGTCCTCTGGGAAGGAGAGCCGCCCGCGCGCACAGACGGGGGAGAAGGCCCAACAGACGCAAGCCCAGAGGAACCCGAGGCAACACCACCAACTCCGCCAGAGAGATCAATCACAACATCCGGAGTTTCGCGAAGCCAACTGTGAGGGACGGAACCGGTAGGGGGAGGCAACAGGGCAGTGTAATGTTTGGAAGTGAGAAGAAGGCAAATGGGGTTGCAACCGGTACTACCACAGGCAAAACCTCGGCTGAACTTGGGTGCAATCACGTATCGAGTGTACGTGTTCCCATCCTTATTCCAAATCACCACTGGGCAACCAAGTTTCTCACTGGCCGCCTGGATGGTGCGGCCATCAGCCCAACTGGTGGGCTTGGCTGCGTTATTGAGCCAAGCATCAAAAGCAGACTTTCCTGCAAAAAGCTCCGCATACCTACGTGAATGTTTTTTGATATGCTGACAAGTCTGCGCTCTGATCCATGCCGCGTGATGCTGACTATCCTGGACAGCAGGTTGAGTGTTGGCCTTGTTCACAAAAACGCTTGCATGTCGAAAAAAGCAGTCACCATTTCCGTGCTGGTCCCACTGCTGCCACCCAAAACTGCTGAGGGCCTCTTGAGGGTCACTGGGTTCAACCAAACGCTGTTTTTTGGGAGGTCTACTCTCCTCGTTTTTTTCAATGTTTTCATCTTCTTTGCTCTCGTCTTCCTGAGTATCAGGGATAGTAGGAGCGACCTCATCAGATCGCTTTGGTGACCTGCTGCGTTGACTGCGGTCACGAGCACTGCTACGGACACCCTCAGTTGCAGCTGGCGAGACACCGGCTGGTTTTTGGGAGTCAGTGGGAGACTTCGCTAGGGGCAATTCCTCAGGATCGGAAACCTTAGCTGCAGGCCAAAACTCTTTCAAGGTGACTTCTCGCCTGGGTCCTCGCAAGGAAACATTCTTCTGAGGAGCCTGAGGGGCCCGGACCGCAACCTGGATCGTGATCGTCCAGTCTGTGCTGTCAGAAGATCCGATGTCGTAATGCCAAGATGCTGTGGTGGCATTGTCTTTCGGAGCCTTTGCCCGAAAAGTCCATGAGTTTCGCTTACGGACAAGGTCAGAGATTTCAGACCATGCCTGAGAGTGCAAAAATGATTCCAAGTCACCAATCCCCCAAGCCCGGGGGACGCCCTGAGCAACATGCATCCTGACTTTCTCCGGGGAGACATCACTGGGTCTCTTGCAGAAGCCAAGGTTAGCACCAGAGCCAAACCTGAAAATCATAGGTTGTGCACGCTCCTTTTGTAAAGCCGCAACACGTCTGAAGTAGGTTTCGTCATTTTCTTGGGAATTCCTCTGGATCCAAAAAGGATGAAACTCCGTTTTGTCTTTGGGGTTAATATGAGTGAAAAACAAACCAGACTGGCCACTCAAAGGCTTCAGTTTAGCCACAGTGGAAGACTTCAGGCGTAAAAAAGCCACAAGCTGTTTGCCATCCTTCGTTTCTTGGGCATTCCAGCGCCCCCCTAAAAAATCATGCAGAGGTGCCTCAGCAAGACTTGCTAAGGCTTGCACAATCAAGGTTGGGGAGTCTTCTCGGCGGTCTCCGATAAAGGGGACCCTGAAAAAACTTGGAGCAGCAACTCGCAAGGTTTCCCTTTGCACCGTAGGGATGGTGCTGATGTCAACTTTCTTGCTGCCGGGGAGCCAAGGACCTTGGCCAGGACCAATCCGCAAGAGCGAACCTTCTTCAAGCTTTGGTCCAAACGACCCTCGGGTCACTGACAACCTGGCCGAGGTGGCCTCAGGATTCTGGGCTCTGGCCTCTCCAAAGAGGATGGCGGTCAAACCCTCAGTTTTTCCAAAACATGACCACAAGGTGTTCAACTCATCAAGGACATCCGGGCTCCATATCTCAACCACATTCCCTTCAATCTCTTGTCCAAGTTTCAGGGAGTCACGAATTTTAGGGAAAGAAATGAGCTTGGGAACAGGCTGAGTAGCCCAATCAGTGGACCTCACCCCTGAAATCCAAGTGCCAAGTCTACCTTGGTTCGGCTCGCCTTTGTGACCAGCCGCTCTGTTGGCAGGATGATGATGGCTTGCTGAGGTCGGAACATCAGGTACCCAAGTCCACCACCCTCTTTGGTTGATGGTATACGCTCTCTTGTGACCGGTTTCATCAGTCCACCACAGAACCCTTTCATCAGTCCCGCATGTGTCAGCAGGAGGTTTGGAGCCGACGCTTTTCAGTTTCTTTTTCTTGGGCCCACTTTTTTTGGTCCTATGAGGCACCGTCTGGGCGACAGTGGCCTGTAGGGCCGACCACAAATGCTCCAGTGAAGGTTCATTGTTGAGGCACTGCTTCAAAACAGCAATCAAATCCCGGGTTTGTTCGCCCAGAGTATTGCTATTCCCCTCACCCCGTTTGGCATATTTCCGTCGAGGTGGGTGTTTCTTGTACTGGTTGAGAGTACCCCCAACCAAGACACCCGAGCAAAGAAGATCAACATAAGCTTTGCTAAATTTAGACCAAGCAGATTTGCTTTGCGAAAATTCAGGCATTTCCTTGTCCGACACCGGTGATGGAAACTTTGGCTTGGAACGGAATTTGAAGCCCCGTCTCACCAAGACTTTCTGACGTGTCGAAAGCCTACATTTCATGCGAGCCCACCTAACTCGTCTCGACCGAACAAAACGGCACATGGAAACAGTACGGCTGAACACAAATCGTTTACCTCTCCGGCAAGACCTGTTTGACCTACGCCGTTTTCGTTTGAGTTTGTGTACCCTTCCTAAAAGGATCACTGAAGTAAATGACCACATCAGGAAATGAGGCCAAATTTCAACATGAAAATCAAACAGCAAAAAACCCACCACGAGTGACCAAGGAGAATCCCAAGAATCTGGATCCCACAAATCGCTCTCGGTAGGTGCCAGCCAAGATGCAATATTGGCCTCGCTGCTAGGTGCCAGGAGCTCACTGCAATGGCACTGAGGCGCAGCGCATGTTGAGTTCGAGGGCGCACAATGCGCGAACTTCACTGCAGGACAGCTGCCGCACAGACCATTGCAAAGGGTCATGTTGGCCGCGGCTAACCCACCGCCAAACGACGCACCCGGGGAGCCCTCCAAGGGGCTAAGTCTAGTGCAGGCCACGGGGCTTTCCGCGGAAGAAGACGCAGCTTGGGCAGGCAAGCACACCAAGCACAGCAGCGCCAGCCAGCAAGGCAACTGTCTAGGTTGAGATCCATTGATCTTCATTCTCTTGACTTCTCTTTTGGTATATTGTTTCGACTGCTTGAAATCAGCCGCATTTTGAATTCGGTGGTCCGTCATGGACTCTTGTTTCGACTGACATCTGTCAGCCGCATTTTGCACATCAGGCGTGAATTCGTTTTTTCTTGTTTTTTTTTCTTTTTTTGCCTTTTGTTTATTCTCTTTTTTGATTTTTTTTTTGTCTTGCAATCCAATTAAGGTGCTTTTTGAAACTCTGCACCCACTGCACCAAACAGCGCAGTAGGCCCACCAGCACCAAGCAGCTATGCTGCAGGGGGTGTTTCTCCGCTGGCGATTGTCGAACAAATGTTTGTAGTCGCGCGCCGCATGCTGCCCATGCCCCGCCGCAAGCAGCAGAACATAGTGCATAGCAGCCCAAGGAAGCCACGCGTCAGCCTCAGCCAGCACCCACAGGTGCCAAGCGCCGAGCAGCTTCGGCTGCCCGGATTTTGCCCATCTGCACCAAGAGATCCTTAGTGACTTGATGGGAACTGCTCCAACCAATCCTGGAGGCGAGAGGGCACTCAGGCTGCGGAAGCAACCTCAAATGAGAAAAGGCCTGACAGCTCCACAAGACATGAATGACGCCTGGAACATCAAGCTGCAAACAATACGGACACTGCTGAATAGGAGCGACCCCTTGATGCAGTCTCTCAAAGTCAATGGTGACAGTTTGGAACCCTCCACAGGCAACAGAGACAACATGAGCATCACAATCCCTGAGAATAGATCTGATCTTTTTAATCAGAGGCTCGGAAATGATAAGATTGGTATCACGACCTATCCCACTATCAATCCTGGTGCGGTGCAACAACCACTGACGCACTTTTTTCAAACGCCAAGCGTCTCGAATATGATGGAGACATTTGTCAACTTCAGCTTTCACAGCCCCAAAATGGATGCATGGGACAACCCCGCTCTGGCCGACTGCATTGCTATGAGCACACCAACCCAAGTCTTGCAGGATGCTATTGAGGCAAACCACCGTAGACGGGCTCCACCGACAGTTCTCACCCAAACTGGCACAGTGGCGTGCCCAGGCAAAACCCGAGCTGATGGTGCGGAGGGCCCCATAAAAGGCCAAGTCGCATGTGTGACCAAAGAAGAAAGCACGCTTGAGGTCCATGGACGAGCGCCCTTTGACGAACCGGTTGTCACTTGTCGCCGCCTTGAAGTGGCGGAAGAAACAGGCATTATCCTTCTGGGTCGGGCAGCGACCGTTGATCACATGGCCCCACACTGCTTTGGGCCCCAACACGGTGGCTGCCAGGCGACCTTTGAGGCGAGCACTCACAGGCAAACAAGCAATGCGCCTTGAACGACGAGCGACATCTTGCAACGTGTCCCTCTCACGGTCAGAGAGAGCACGTTCCGCTGAACCAAGCGTAGCCCCAAGGACCTGCATGGTGAAGCTGGCATTGGAGCTATAGTGGGTGTTATCCAACTTTGCCAAAGCCTCAGGAGAGCGAGCCCAGATTTGACTCTTCTCCTCATTCGTGCGGAGCCGCAAAAAGGACTCCATGGTAGACCAAACGTTGTTGACCACATCAAGATCAGCAACAGTCGGGCACAAACAAGTCCTGTCGTCAATGTAAGTGACTGTGAAGATGTCTGGGTGAAGAGCTTGCAGTTGGCAAAGCACTGGTGCCAAGATGACAGCCATGCCAAGCGGAGCAAAAGGGTCACCTTGAAGCAAAGCTGGGCAATGCACAATAGGTTGAGGGTGGACACATTGGCCATATGTGACCCACCTTGTCTGCTGATCCCAAGCCGCCCCGAGCGCTTTGAGGATGGGACCCGGGATGCCGAGTGCTTCGAAGAGACGAAGACAAATGACATAGTCGACCGAATCAAAAGCTTTCTTGTAATCCAAACTCATGCCGTAAGGGTGAGTGGCGGCATCAGTTTGGTTTTGCAGAGCGGCCAACATCATTTCGGCGCCAATGCCTGGCAACCCCCCAACTTGACGCTGATGCAGCAAGCCAACCAGGCCTGGGCTGATCTGGGCGAACCTGTGCTTGGACCAGGCCCTGTAGATGAGGGATCCAATTGCAATCGGCCTCACCTTGGCCACATGGGTAACACCAGTTTTGTCAGCAGAAACCTTGGGTAGAAATGTCAGCCGCCACTGCACCAGCGGGGCAGGCCACTTTCCTACCTGTTCCACTTGCAACAGCATCTCCGTCAATCGCTCCCAAGCCATGTCGGGTAGCAGCAGCAAAGCTTCTGCAGACCATTGGTCCGGGCCAGCAGCCTTCCGTCTCATCTGGCGGACGGTATCCTTAAGACCCTGGGCAGTAAGCTCAGGAGTAACCAGCTCCGGATTGTGCGGGATCCAAGCTGCATAAGCTTGGACAAAAGGTTCAGCCTTGGGCTCATAGCCTTCGGGCCCGCAGAAAATATTCTTCCAAGACTCAAATAAAAACGCAGCCCCTTGACTTCTACCAGAAGTGTTCTTGACATCGTTCGTGAGGGCCCAAGAGGGCGGAGCTTGCTTTCGGAGCCAAGCACAGGCTCCTTCATAAGTTTGCACCTTCTGCCGCCAGCCTTGCAGTGCATGCAGATTGGACTGCTTGAGGAGAAGTTTGAGTTGCTCCGTAAGCTCCTTGAGGCATGCCCCCCACCTGTGGGCTTGCGCATCAGCTCCGCACCCAAATTGGTTGCAATTTCTCTGGCAATTTCTCTGGCAGGTTCTCTGCAAATTGGTAGGGACCGAGGTGCCGTTGTGAACGTGCCGTTGAGCTTCGTCCAATCTGCGGATCACACGTCTGAGGCGCCTCTCCGTGATGCTTTGACCAGGGCCATGTCGGGAGGGGCCGCTAACCAGAGTGGGCAAGGACCCTCTTTGCGCAGCACTGCTTTCATGGCTGACTGCACCGATTCTTTTCAGAAAAGCTTCCGCATCAGAGGACCAGGTAGACCAGGCATCATTTATATCCTGTTGAACCAACGCTTCCCACACCTCAGACGGTGTGCTGACTTGGTTCCAAGCCTGGGCAGCGTCATCAGCGGAAGGGAGATCACAATTGTCCTGGAAACGAGCCACCGACTTGAAAATCCATGCAGGAGGGGACGGATCTAAGCAGGGAATCTGGCCTAACTCAACAAAGGAGCCAAAATGGTCGGAGAGAGCATCCATGGGCGATTGCTTCTCACAACTGAGAGACTGAGAAAACCAAACAGAGTCCGTGGGATGAGTACTGCGTTTGTGACCGGAAGAGCTACCCAGCTGACCACAAAAGGAAGTCATCACAGATGCTAAAGGATCACTGGCAGGGTCCAAGTTCCAATCGCAAGCAAAAACCCAATGCTTGTGCTGATTCCGACAAAAACTTTCCATAAGCGCTTCATTGGGGGCATCAAGCGCCTGCTGGGGCCGTCTATACCCGTTAATAGCAGTAATGGGGACTTTGTGTCCAAGGATCTCGGCAACCTGAAGTTGACCCCAAGTTTCAGTGGTGGAATGGATATCCGCTAGGGCCAAAGGCTCTTTGACCAAAATTGCGGTGCCCCCACGACCGCCATCGGCAACGGCCCCTGCTGGCGTTCCACTGAGCTGCCAGCCGTGCCTACGGGCCAAGTGCATGGCAGAAACCATTTGGCCTCTAGTGGTCCCCGTTTCCTGGAGAAAGATCACATTAGCATTGACTGCCTCAGCTTCCTGACACATAGCCGCGAAATGATTTCGGAAGGAGTTGATGTTCCAAGCCACACATCTGAGTTTGCCACCATGGTCGCCTGACGGGCCCGGGTGCTTAGCTTCTCCAACCCGCACAGCACGGAGGCCCCGACCCGTGGCAGCACTGCCGTCAGCTTTTTTACTGAAAGAAGGAACCATACGTTTGTTAGGGAAAGAATTTCCAGAATCAAATCCAAGTTTTCGTTTGTTGGATTGGTTATCCTTTTGGCAAAAATCAATAGTGATTTCCTTGGCTGCTTCTTCGCGGCACTTTTGCCACAGTGCCTTGCGCTTGGCTAGGCTAGGGAGGCGACCTTTTTGGGCCGCGGAACAAATAGCCGCAGGGATTTCAGAACTTCTGGTAAAGCAGGAACATTTGAGACAAGTAAATTTCTTGGAGGTGTAACGCTTTCCATTTTTGGAATGCCTGGTTTGGTAGACAGCCGTAGGTTCAGGCGACAAATCATGAGCAGCAGCCCAGCGAACCTTCTTGAAGAGTTCAAGCTGCCGGACCCATCGCTTTTGAACAGTGTCGATAGTAGCCAAAACCCCCGTAGGTCTAAACCCGGTTTTGGGAAGTTTAGGGATATCTTTACTTTTGATCCCATGGACAGAAGTCAAGTGGTAGATTCTCTTCGACGCTTTATGCCTTTGCTCTCCATGAATGACCTTAAAATCACAAAAGGAGCAGCTCCACCAAACAGTCCCGTCCCTGTTCCCCGCTGGAAAAACCGGCAGTCCTTGAAACAAAGGCGCAGGCGTGACCTGCTTCGCATGGACAAACCGCTGTTGTTCCTGTCGTAAATGGATGTCCTTCAACTGTTTAGTGCGCTCCTGCGACTTTTGCTGCAGAATCTGTCTAGCCTTTTTCTGGCATTTTTTGAGGAGTTTCTGCCTGACACTTTCTTGGGGGACCTTGTCGCCATCAGAAGACTTACAAATTTGAGAACCCAATTGAGCTTGTCGGCAAACTTTTCCACAAGCCTCGCATGGCCAGTCCAAGTTTCGGGCGCCCTTGCGCTTGACAGGGCGATTCACCTGATGGAGACCTGGCCACTTCTCAGAATTGAGCACTTCGCACAAAACCTGGGCAAACTTCTCACATGGTGAAATAGCAGAACCCACAGGTGCGGGGTCCGCAACAATTTCAGGTACATTGTTACAAGAAATGCCGTGTTTCTTCCGCAGGTGATGTTTTCTCCTTGTGCGATGGATTTCAGGTTTGTCTTCGACGTGGCGAAAAATTTGATATCCGCAAATATCACAGGTCCACCACTTTTTAATATCCGCGGGCAAATCAACCGTAGGAATAGCAGCAATCTCTTCAGGACTCAAGCATTTAATCTTACGGGTACAATTTCTACTCCCCCCACCTTTGTCAACACTGGAATGCGGGGAATCACTTTCAGGAGGGGGGCCCAAAGAAAGAGAGGACAAAGAAGACGCACGCGCAGGGCGACGGCAGGCAGGATCAACGACCGAGTGGACGGACGGGGTGACAGGACCAGACACAGGACCGGCGGCGCTCACACAGCGATGACCCGACGAAAGACACGAGCGCGACTCAGAAGCGTCCGCACAGAAGGTCTTAGACCGCAAACGGCGAACCGGAGCGACCGATCGGACGGACGGAGTAGGGACCGAAGGGCAAGAACTCCGAGCGGGCACGGGCGTGACCGGGGGCAGAGCAACACAGGGGACAGCACCGGAAACGCCAGGGCGGACAGACGCAGCAGACCTGACCAAGGAGTGCACGGAGGGGGAACGCGAGGACGAAGCCGCACAGAAGCCAAGCAGACCACCAACCCGCCCCGCCGAACCCTGAACCACGGAAGGAGCAGGAGAGGCGAGGGAGTGCACAGAGGGGGTGCCGGCAGAGGAGGAAGTCCTCTGGGAAGGAGAGCCGCCCGCGCGCACAGACGGGGGAGAAGGCCCAACAGACGCAAGCCCAGAGGAACCCGAGGCAACACCACCAACTCCGCCAGAGAGATCAATCACAACATCCGGAGTTTCGCGAAGCCAACTGTGAGGGACGGAACCGGTAGGGGGAGGCACCAGGGCAGTGTAATGTTTGGAAGTGAGAAGAAGGCAAATGGGGTTGCAACCGGTACTACCACAGGCAAAACCTCGGCTGAACTTGGGTGCAATCACGTATCGAGTGTACGTGTTCCCATCCTTATTCCAAATCACCACTGGGCAACCAAGTTTCTCACTGGCCGCCTGGATGGTGCGGCCATCAGCCCAACTGGTGGGCTTGGCTGCGTTATTGAGCCAAGCATCAAAAGCAGACTTTCCTGCAAAAAGCTCCGCATACCTACGTGAATGTTTTTTGATATGCTGACAAGTCTGCGCTCTGATCCATGCCGCGTGATGCTGACTATCCTGGACAGCAGGTTGAGTGTTGGCCTTGTTCACAAAAACGCTTGCATGTCGAAAAAAGCAGTCACCATTTCCGTGCTGGTCCCACTGCTGCCACCCAAAACTGCTGAGGGCCTCTTGAGGGTCACTGGGTTCAACCAAACGCTGTTTTTTGGGAGGTCTACTCTCCTCGTTTTTTTCAATGTTTTCATCTTCTTTGCTCTCGTCTTCCTGAGTATCAGGGATAGTAGGAGCGACCTCATCAGATCGCTTTGGTGACCTGCTGCGTTGACTGCGGTCACGAGCACTGCTACGGACACCCTCAGTTGCAGCTGGCGAGACACCGGCTGGTTTTTGGGAGTCAGTGGGAGACTTCGCTAGGGGCAATTCCTCAGGATCGGAAACCTTAGCTGCAGGCCAAAACTCTTTCAAGGTGACTTCTCGCCTGGGTCCTCGCAAGGAAACATTCTTCTGAGGAGCCTGAGGGGCCCGGACCGCAACCTGGATCGTGATCGTCCAGTCTGTGCTGTCAGAAGATCCGATGTCGTAATGCCAAGATGCTGTGGTGGCATTGTCTTTCGGAGCCTTTGCCCGAAAAGTCCATGAGTTTCGCTTACGGACAAGGTCAGAGATTTCAGACCATGCCTGAGAGTGCAAAAATGATTCCAAGTCACCAATCCCCCAAGCCCGGGGGACGCCCTGAGCAACATGCATCCTGACTTTCTCCGGGGAGACATCACTGGGTCTCTTGCAGAAGCCAAGGTTAGCACCAGAGCCAAACCTGAAAATCATAGGTTGTGCACGCTCCTTTTGTAAAGCCGCAACACGTCTGAAGTAGGTTTCGTCATTTTCTTGGGAATTCCTCTGGATCCAAAAAGGATGAAACTCCGTTTTGTCTTTGGGGTTAATATGAGTGAAAAACAAACCAGACTGGCCACTCAAAGGCTTCAGTTTAGCCACAGTGGAAGACTTCAGGCGTAAAAAAGCCACAAGCTGTTTGCCATCCTTCGTTTCTTGGGCATTCCAGCGCCCCCCTAAAAAATCATGCAGAGGTGCCTCAGCAAGACTTGCTAAGGCTTGCACAATCAAGGTTGGGGAGTCTTCTCGGCGGTCTCCGATAAAGGGGACCCTGAAAAAACTTGGAGCAGCAACTCGCAAGGTTTCCCTTTGCACCGTAGGGATGGTGCTGATGTCAACTTTCTTGCTGCCGGGGAGCCAAGGACCTTGGCCAGGACCAATCCGCAAGAGCGAACCTTCTTCAAGCTTTGGTCCAAACGACCCTCGGGTCACTGACAACCTGGCCGAGGTGGCCTCAGGATTCTGGGCTCTGGCCTCTCCAAAGAGGATGGCGGTCAAACCCTCAGTTTTTCCAAAACATGACCACAAGGTGTTCAACTCATCAAGGACATCCGGGCTCCATATCTCAACCACATTCCCTTCAATCTCTTGTCCAAGTTTCAGGGAGTCACGAATTTTAGGGAAAGAAATGAGCTTGGGAACAGGCTGAGTAGCCCAATCAGTGGACCTCACCCCTGAAATCCAAGTGCCAAGTCTACCTTGGTTCGGCTCGCCTTTGTGACCAGCCGCTCTGTTGGCAGGATGATGATGGCTTGCTGAGGTCGGAACATCAGGTACCCAAGTCCACCACCCTCTTTGGTTGATGGTATACGCTCTCTTGTGACCGGTTTCATCAGTCCACCACAGAACCCTTTCATCAGTCCCGCATGTGTCAGCAGGAGGTTTGGAGCCGACGCTTTTCAGTTTCTTTTTCTTGGGCCCACTTTTTTTGGTCCTATGAGGCACCGTCTGGGCGACAGTGGCCTGTAGGGGCGACCACAAATGCTCCAGTGAAGGTTCATTGTTGAGGCACTGCTTCAAAACAGCAATCAAATCCCGGGTTTGTTCGCCCAGAGTATTGCTATTCCCCTCACCCCGTTTGGCATATTTCCGTCGAGGTGGGTGTTTCTTGTACTGGTTGAGAGTACCCCCAACCAAGACACCCGAGCAAAGAAGATCAACATAAGCTTTGCTAAATTTAGACCAAGCAGATTTGCTTTGCGAAAATTCAGGCATTTCCTTGTCCGACACCGGTGATGGAAACTTTGGCTTGGAACGGAATTTGAAGCCCCGTCTCACCAAGACTTTCTGACGTGTCGAAAGCCTACATTTCATGCGAGCCCACCTAACTCGTCTCGACCGAACAAAACGGCACATGGAAACAGTACGGCTGAACACAAATCGTTTACCTCTCCGGCAAGACCTGTTTGACCTACGCCGTTTTCGTTTGAGTTTGTGTACCCTTCCTAAAAGGATCACTGAAGTAAATGACCACATCAGGAAATGAGGCCAAATTTCAACATGAAAATCAAACAGCAAAAAACCCACCACGAGTGACCAAGGAGAATCCCAAGAATCTGGATCCCACAAATCGCTCTCGGTAGGTGCCAGCCAAGATGCAATATTGGCCTCGCTGCTAGGTGCCAGGAGCTCACTGCAATGGCACTGAGGCGCAGCGCATGTTGAGTTCGAGGGCGCACAATGCGCGAACTTCACTGCAGGACAGCTGCCGCACAGACCATTGCAAAGGGTCATGTTGGCCGCGGCTAACCCACCGCCAAACGACGCACCCGGGGAGCCCTCCAAGGGGCTAAGTCTAGTGCAGGCCACGGGGCTTTCCGCGGAAGAAGACGCAGCTTGGGCAGGCAAGCACACCAAGCACAGCAGCGCCAGCCAGCAAGGCAACTGTCTAGGTTGAGATCCATTGATCTTCATTCTCTTGACTTCTCTTTTGGTATATTGTTTCGACTGCTTGAAATCAGCCGCATTTTGAATTCGGTGGTCCGTCATGGACACTTGTTTCGACTGACATCTGTCAGCCGCATTTTGCACATCAGGCGTGAATTCGTTTTTTCTTGTTTTTTTTCTTTTTTTGCCTTTTGTTTATTCTCTTTTTTGATTTTTTTTTTGTCTTGCAATCCAATTAAGGTGCTTTTTGAAACTCTGCACCCACTGCACCAAACAGCGCAGTAGGCCCACCAGCACCAAGCAGCTATGCTGCAGGGGGTGTTTCTCCGCTGGCACAAGTCAAAGACATGTGTGTAGTCGCGCGCCGCATGCTGCCCATGCCCCGCCGCAAGCAGCAGAACATAGCGCATAGCAGCCCAAGGAAGCCACGCTTCAGCCTCAGCCAGCACCCACAGGTGCCAAGCGCCGAGCAGCTTCGGCTGCCCGGATTTTGCCCATCTGCACCAAGAGATCCTTAGTGACTTGATGGGAACTGCTCCAACCAATCCTGGAGGCGCCAAGTCAAAGACATGTGTAGTCGCGCGCCGCATGCTGCCCATGCCCCGCCGCAAGCAGCAGAACATAGCGCATAGCAGCCCAAGGAAGCCACGCTTCAGCCTCAACCAGCACCCACAGGTGCCAAGCGCCGAGCAGCTTCGGCTGCCCGGATTTAGCCCATCTGCACCAAGAGATCCTTAGTGACTTGATGGGAACTGCTCCAACCAATCCTGGAGGCGAGAGGGCACTCAGGCTGCGGAAGCAACCTCAAATGAGAAAAGGCCTGACAGCTCCACAAGACATGAATGACGCCTGGAACATCAAGCTGCAAACAATACGGACACTGCTGAACAGGAGCGACCCCTTGATGCAGTCTCTCAAAGTCAAGAGTGACAGTTTGGAACCCTCCACAGGCAACAGAGACAACATGAGCATCACAATCTCTGAGAATAGATCTGACCTTTTTAATCAGAGGCTCGGAAATGACAAGATTGGTATCACGACCTATCCCACTATCAATCCTGGTGCGGTGCAACAACCACTGACGCACTTTTTTCAAACGCCAAGCGTCTCGAATATGATGGAGACATTTGTCAACTTCAGCCTTCACTGCCCCAAAATGGAGGCAAGGGACAACCCCGCTCTGGCCGACAGCATTGCTATGGGCACACCAACCCAAGTCCTGCAGGATGCTACTGAGGCAAACCACCGTAGACTGGCTCCACCGACAGTTCTCGCCCAAACTGGCACAGTGGCGTGCCCAGGCAAAACCCGAGCTGATGGTGCGGAGGGCCCCATAAAAGGCCAGGTCGCATGTGTGACCAAAGAAGAAAGCACGCTTGAGGTCCATGGACGAGCGCCCTTTGACGAACCGGTTGTCACTTGCCGCCGCCTTGAAGTGGCGGAAGAAACAGGCATTATCCTACTGGGTCGGGCAGCGACCGTTGATCACATGGCCCCACACTGCTTTGGGCCCCAACACGGTGGCTGCCAGGCGTCCTTTGAGGCGAGCACTCACAGGCAAACAAGCAATGCGCCTGGAACGACGAGCGACATCTTGCAACGTGTCCCTTTCTCGGTCTGAGAGAGCACGTTCCTCTGAACCAAGCGTAGCCCCAAGGACCTGCATGGTGAAGCTGGCATTGGAGCTATAGTGGGTGTTATCCAACTTTGCCAAAGCCTCAGGAGAGCGAGCCCAGATTTGACTCTTCTCCTCATTCGTGCGGAGCCGCAAAAAGGACTCCATGGTAGACCAAACGTTGTTGACCACATCAAGATCAGCAACAGTCGGGCACAAACAAGTCCTGTCGTCAATGTACGTGACCGTGAAGATGTCTGGGTGAAAAGCTTGCAGTTGGCGAAGCACTGGTGCCAAGATGACAGCCATGCCAAGAGGAGCAAAAGGGTCACCTTGAAGCAAAGCTGGGCAATGCACTATAGGTTGAGGGTGGACACATTGGCCATATGTGACCCACCTTGTCTGCTGATCCCAAGCCGCCCCGAGCGCCTTGAGGATGGGACCCGGGATGCCGAGTGCTTCGAAAAGACGAAGACAAATCACAGAGTCGACCGAATCAAAAGCCTTCTTGTAATCCAAACTCATGCCGTAAGGGTGAGTGGCGGCATCAGTTTGGTTCTGCAGAGCGGCCAACATCATTTCGGCGCCAATGCCTGGCAACCCCCCAACTCAACTTGTCGCTGATGCAGCAAACCAACCAGGCCAGGGCTGATCTGGGCGAACCTGTGCTTGGACCAGGCCCTGTAGATGAGAGATCCAATGGCAATCGGCCTCACCTTAGCCACATGGGTAACACCAGTTTTGTCTGCAGAAACCTTAGGTAGAAATGTAAGCCGCCACTGCACCAGCGGGGCAGGCCACTTTCCTACCTGTTCAACTTCCAAAAGCAGCTCCGTCAATCGCTCCCAAGCCATGTCGGGTAGCAGCACCAAAGCTTCTGCAGACCATTGGTCCGGGCCGGCAGCCTTCCGTCTCATCTTGCGGACGGTATCCTTAAGACCCTGGGCAGTGAGCTCAGGAGTAACCAGCTCCGGATTGTGCGGGATCCAAGCTGCATAAGCTTGGTCAAAAGGTTCAGCCTTGGGCTCGTAGCCTTCGGGCCCGCAGAAAATATTCTTCCAAGACTCAAATAAAAACGCAGCCCCTTGACTTCTGCCAGAAGTGTTCTTGTCACCGTTCGTGAGGGCCCAAGAGGGCGGGGCTTGCTTTCGGAGCCAAGCACAGGCTCCTTCATAAGTTTGCACCTTCTGCCGCCAGCCTTGCAGTGCATGCAGATTGGACTGCTTGAGGAAAAGTTTGAGTTGCTCCGTAAGCTCGTTGAGGCATGCCCCCCACCTGTGGGCTTGTGCATCAGCTCCGCACCCAAATTGGTTGCAATTTCTCTGGCAGGTTCTCTGCAAATTGGTAGGGACCGAGGTGCCATTGTGAACGTGCCGTTGAGCTTCGTCCAATCTGCGGATCACACGTCTGAGGCGCCTCTCCGTGATGCTTTGGCCAGGGCCATGTCGGGAGGGGCCGCTAACCAGAGTGGGCAAGGACCCTCTTTGCGCAGCACTGCTTTCATGGCTGACTGCACCGATTCTTTTAAGAAAAACTTCCGCATCAGAAGACCAGGTAGACCAGGCATCATTTATATCCTCTGTTGAACCAACGCTTCCCACACCTCAGACGGTGTGCTGACATGGTGCCATGCCTGAGCAGCCTCATCAGCGGAGGGGAGATCACAATTGTCCTGGAAACGTGCCACCGACTTGAAAATCCATGCAGGAGGGGACGGATCTAAGCAGGGAATCTGGCCTAACTCAACAAAGGAGCCAAAATGGTCGGAGAGAGCATCCATGGGCGATTGCTTCTCACAACTGAGAGACTGAGAAAACCAAACAGAGTCCGTGGGATGAGTACTGCGTTTGTGACCGGAAGAGCTACCCAGCTGACCACAAAAGGAAGTCATCACAGATGCTAAAGGATCACTGGCAGGGTCCAAGTTCCAATCGCAAGCAAAAACCCAATGCTTGTGCTGATTCCGACAAAAACTTTCCATAAGCGCTTCATTGGGGGCATCAAGCGCCTGCTGGGGCCGTCTATACCCGTTAATAACAGTAATGGGGACTTTGTGTCCAAGGATCTCGGCAACCTGAAGTTGACCCCAAGTTTCAGTGGTGGAATGGATATCCGCTAAGGCTAAAGGCTCTTTGACCAGGATTGCGGTGCCCCCACGACCGCCATCGGCAACGGCCCCTGCTGGCGTTCCACTGAGCTGCCAACCGTGCCTTCGGGCCAAGTGCATGGCAGAAACCATTTGGCCTCTAGTGATCCCCGTTTCCTGGAGAAAGATCACATTAGCATTGACTGCCTCAGCTTCCTGACACATAGCCGCGAAATGATTTCGGAAGGAGTTGATGTTCCAAGCCACACATCTGAGTTTGCCGCCATGGTCACCTGACGGGCCCGGGTGCTTAGCTTCTCCAACCCGCGCAGCACGGAGGCCCCGACCCGTGGCAGCACTGCCGTCAGCTTTTTTACTGAAAGAAGGAACCATGCGTTTGTTTGGGAAAGAATTTCCAGAATCAGATCCAAGTTTTCGTTTGTTGGATTGGTTATCCTGTTGGCAAAAATCCATAGTGATTTCCTTGGCTGCTTCTTCGCGGCATTTTTGCCACAGTGCCTTGCGCTAGGCTAGGCTAGGGAGGCGACCTTTTTGGGCCGCGGAACAAATAGCCGCAGGGATTTCAGAACTTCTGGTAAAGCAAGAACATTTGAGACAAGTAAATTTCTTGGAGGTGTAACGCTTTCCATTTTTGGAATGCCTGGTTTGGTAGACTGCCGTAGGTTCAGGCGACAAATCATGTGCAGCAGCCCAGCGAACCTTCTTGAAGAGTTCAAGCTGCCGGACCCATCGCTTTTGAACAGTGTCGATAGTAGCCAAAACCCCCGTAGGTCTAAACCCGGTTTTGGGAAGTTTAGGGATATCTTTGCTTTTGATCCCATGGACAGAAGTCAAGTGGTAGATTCTCTTCGACGCTTTATGCCTTTGCTTTCCATGGATGACCTTAAAATCACAAAAGGAGCAGCTCCACCAAACAGTCCCGTCCCTGTTCCCCGCAGGAAAAACCGGCAGTCCTTGAAACAAAGGCGCAGGCGTGACCTGCTTCGCATGGACAAACCGCTGTTGTTCCTGTCGGAAATGGATGTCCTTCAACTGTTTAGTGCGCTCCTGCGACTTTTGCTGCAGAATCTGTCTGGCCTTTTTCTGGCATTTTTTGAGGAGTTTCTGCCTGACACTTTCTTGGGGGACCTTGTCGCCATCAGAAGACTGACAAATTTGAGAACCCAATTGACCTTGTCGGCAGACTCTTCCACAAGCCTCGCATGGCCAGTCCAAGTTTCGGGCGCCCTTGCGCTTGACAGGGCGATTCACCTGATGGAGACCTGGCCACTTCTCAGAATTGAGCACTTCGCACAAAACCTGGGCAAACTTCTCACATGGTGGAATAGCAGAACCCACAGGTGCGGGATCCGCGACAATTTCTGGCACATTGTTACAAGAAATGCCGTGTTTCTTCCGCAAGTGATGTTTTCTCCTTGTGCGATGGATTTCAGGTTTGTCTTCGACGTGGCGAAAAATTTGATACCCGCAAATATCACAAGCCCACCACTTTTTAATATCCGCGGGCAAATCAACCGTAGGAATAGCAGCCATCTCTTCAGGACTCAAGCATTTAATCTTACGGGTACAATTTCTACTCCCCCCACCTTTGTCAACACTGCAATGCGAGGAGTCACTTTCAGGGGGGGGGCCCAAAGAAGGAGAGGAAAAAGAAGACGCACACAAAATGGTGTCCGCATAGATGGATTCCAAAATTCTTCGCGGCAAAATTTCCACAGGTACATGTTCTACCTTTTGATGTGTGATGAGTCCACTACCATCAGTGTCCAGCTGGTTGAAAATTGCAATCAGTTGTGGCAAGGCCCCGCAGACTCGTCCCTTCAATCTTGAGCGTTCTTCATCAGCACTTGCTGCAGCGTTGGTTGAACCATGCAAGCTATCACGATGTTCAGGAGTCCAATGGATATGACCAACACAATCGAGTACACGGACAACCACGGCCTTTCGATGATTACATAGTGGGTAGTAAATTTCCCTAAGGCCATCAAGTGTCACGAACAGGAATATAGTGAGCATGGAGCGTCCAACACCCCAGAAAATTTGGCTGACAATCTGCTCGGTGATTTCATTTGCAGTTAATTCATTGTCCTTTGCTATAATTTCAATCGCAATACAGCTAAACACGTAGATCGCCACCAAAATCAGAGCAGCTGTTGCAAAAATGGTCTGCCACGATGTTAAGAAGCCGTAAAACAAGCGCTAAATGATCTTGAAGTGATGAATCATTCGGCAAACTCTCATGATGCGTAGGAGCCGTAGCCCACGAAGAACCAAGAGCTTTCTCAAGCAAGCAATGTCTTGTCGGTTGGCAAACATAGGAACCACTGCTAAAGTCAACATCACAACAACAATCAAAAACAGATCCAGGATATACCAGCCATCGGAAAACAGTATTCGACCAAGACCAAAAGCCCTGAAGATAGCTTCAGTGAGAGGAATATCCTCTCAGACCCTGCAAACCAGTAGCTGGACCCCCTCTCACTTCCAAAGAAAGTTCAGCTTCAAAACCGATAGTGATTACATTGAGCAGTATAACAAAGCCAGATACATATTCCCAGCCAGAGGAGACGATTTCAGAGATGACTTTCCATGCCGGATGCGAGAAGGCCCTTGCCATTCTGTGTCCTGCCCAGGGCAACCTTCTCCTTCCTGCATAACATCACAGTCTCTTTGATCAGATTTCAGCAGGGCTGGCATAGTGATATTGTCCTTGATGATTGATGATACTCAACATCATTTCGATGGAACGCTGTCATTTACGATGTTCATAGCAAAGTTCGGCAATGCCATGGCAAGACAAGACGTTCGCAGCTGATTTACCACATGATCCAAAGTTTCTAGCATCCCTAACTGCGATTGCGGCCATACTATGGCCACCAACCCCTCCGGCCCTGTTGGGCTTGCCAGTCCTCACTTGAGCCTGAAAGGATTCCTTCAAAAAGCTCAAGTGGACTTCAGGGGGAATCACTGCTGTCTGCATCCTCTCCCAAAAGTCTCAATTGGTTTTGTCAGAAAATGGTGGATTGACCCCAAAACAGCACTGTTTTTCCCATTTCGACAGGTAAAATGATGATTGACCATTGTAACCATGGGGTTTGGGGGCCTTCTAGTCTCAGAAAAGTCTCAAAATCCTGAAACTGCTTGGCATCCCGACAACCGCTGAGGTGCCAAGGAAAGCCTTCAGCTGATCCTGGGAACACGACTTCTAACCTGAAGATCTCCTGATTTCAAAGGAGTTCAAATAATCAAATGGAACATCCTGAGAAATTCATCGAGAAGTCCTCATTGTCAATGACTCGCATAGCTGCGCCGGACAGGACGTAGGAGGGACGCACCAGCACGGGGAATCCCACCATGTGGGCAAAACTCAAAGCTTCCTGGTGGAGTGTGACGGAGGTAGCCTGGGAGTATTTTACAGTGTTGTTGGTGTTGTTGTTGGTGTTGTTGGTGGTGTTGGTGGTGTTGTTGGTGGTGTTGGTGGTGTTGTTGGTGTTGTTGTTGGTGTTGTTGTTGTTGTTGTTGGTGGTGGTGGTGGTGGTGGTGGTGTTGGTGTTGTTGGTGTTGTTGGTGTTGTTGGTGTTGTTGGTGATGTTGGTCTTGTTGGTGCTGTTGGTTGTTATTGTTGTTCTTGTTGTTCTTGTTGTTCTTGTTGTTCTTGTTGTTCTTGTTGTTCTGGTTGTTCTTGTTGTCCTGGTTGTTCTTGTTGTTCTTGTTGTTCTTGTTGTTCTCGTTGTTCTCGTTGTTCTCGTTGTTCTCGTTGTTCTCGCTGTTCTCGCTGTTCTCGCTGTTCTCGCTGTTCTCGCTGTTCTCGTTGTTCTCGTTCTTCTTGTTCTTCTTGTTCTTCTTGTTCTTCTTGTTCTTCTTGTTCTTCTTGTTCTTCTTGTTCTTCTTGTTCTTCTTGTTCTTCTTGTTTTTCTTGTTCTTCTTGTTCTTCTTGTTCTTCTTGTTCTTCTTGTTCTTCTTGTTCTTCTTGTTATTCTTGTTATTCTTGTTATTCTTGTTCTTCCTTCTTCTTCTTGTTCTTCTTGTTCTTCTTGTTCTTCTTGTTCTTCTTGTTCTTCTTGTTCTTCTTGATCTTCTTGTTCTTCTTGTTCTATCTTCTTGTTGTTCTAATGTTCTTCTTGTTCTTCTTGTGCTTCTTGTTCTTCTTGTTCTTCTTGTTTTTCTTGTTCTTCTTGTTCTTCTTGTTTTTCTTGTTCTTCTTGTTATTCTTGTTCTTGTGGTTGTTGTTGCTGTTGCTGTTGTTGCTGTTGCTCTTGTTCTTGCTCTTGCTGTTGCTGTTGCTGTTGCTGTTGCTGTTGTTGTTGTTGTTGCTCCTTGGTATTGGTAATTGTGCATCTTTGCAAGCTAAAAGCCCTTTCATTGGTGGAGATCAATAGCCAACATGTCCAACAACATGTAAGGTTTGAAGTACTTGTGCATTGCATCAAGGCGATTTATTGAATCAATAGATCTTTTGACAACATCATGGCAATCGCTGCAGCCATTTGACTCTCATTTCTCCAAAATTGGATGCTTTCAGATCCTCCAGCAAACAACTTCCTGGCTCCACTCCCATCCCATGTGTGCCATGTGCGCCATACATCAACCATCCATGTGACCCATGTGCCATATCCAGTGGCCCTTTTTTTCACCGGCACTGTCCAAAAAGGCCGACCGGCCGTCCTCCATCTTCACGAACTCGGACCATTCGGGTTGGTCAATGCCCAGCTCGTCACACATGGCCGAGAACTTGGAGCGATCCTCAGCGCGGTCGATGTTCTGCGCAGCGGTACCCAGAATGTGGATGCCCATCTTGTCCAACTTTGGCGCCAAATTGTTGGGCCTGGCACATTTTTTGCAAATGATTTATAAAAAAGGGCATTATTCTAATCTATTATAACCTGTTAATAACTATATCATTATATCATATCACTGTATGTCAATAATAGATTGAGGATAACGATAACAATCTATTAGAATGTAGACTATACGTGTGTATATATATACATAATTATATATATATGTATGTAAGTGTGTGAGTGTTCAAAACCCGCAAAGTTGACCCTTTATGCCTTTTTACTTTATACTGCTTCGGCCCACAATGGCTAATAAGTAAGAATCCCCACACTAGGTACAAATCGAACAGGGTTTTGGTCACCTCTCACATCATATATGGAAGGTATGTTGTCATTTACATACCTACATTGTGTAAAGATGTGTAAAGTGTGTGTATGTACAGTACGCACCTTAGATTGATGCAACGTTGATTGCGTTGACAAGATCGTTTCTGGATTCTTCCACACTAAATTTACATAATCAAATGGAAAAGGTTTTGGCATAGGTTGAACGAATATTCGCACCTGCACCTGAAACCTTCGATAGCACATCGGATAGCAGCATCGGATGATAGCACACCTGTGAAGGGAAAAGACTTGCCGGGCAGACGTCTGTCCACCAACAGACACAATAGTGCCGGCTGGCTGCTCGAAGTTGCAAATCTCCAAAACGGTTTCCAGCGTCAATTCCTGGGACGAACAAAACATGGCTCCCATCGTGCAGCCCACAGGTCCATCTCCAAATATCGGCCTCGAAGTAGAGCCGATCGCTCTCATCGTAGTCCGTGGAGACCGTTTCTGGGTTGCAGTTGATCACCATGGCTCGATGTCCGGTTTCTCGCAGGGTCCTGGTTGTTTGGGGCGTAGCTCTGTGGAAAAAAAGTCTCAGTAGGAAAACCCCTAAACAGGGTTGCTCCAAACACCTCTGATACAAAGGGGAAAAATTGGGTGGATAAAGAGGTCAAACGGTAAAATGATCAATTTCCCAGCCATGTGGCTTGCATTGACCTATCATCCGGTTGGAGCAACCCTGTATGATCTGTCCAATCTGCTTTCTTTTCAGAGCCAACATGGGTAGTATGAACATCCCCTTATGATCAATGTTGTAAACTCAAAAATAAACCATACCCAACCCTAGGACTCCCTCTTTGAAGCCACAAAAAACAAGACAACAAAAGGGGAGGAGCAAATACCCAGTGGTTGATCACAAGCTACAGCAGAATGGCCACAGTTTGGGGCTAAATTCCCCAGCCTTGGACAAGCCCGCTTCTATGATTAATAGCTATGATTAATAGGTAAATATATGTATTTAGAGATCATGCATATTGAAATCATATTGAAATACATAAATGTGTGAGTGTGTCTTATTTTATTTGTTGTAACAACTTCCTATAGTACGTGCTTGATGTTACGTCGTTCCTAACTTCTCAAACAACATCCAAATACGTTCTTGATGCTACGTTGCTAATCCTTTTAATACTTTCTCAGTACGTTATTGATGCTACGCAAGCAACTTCTTTATTAGCATTTGTATGCATTTGTCATACGGGCACCACTGATGCAGCATGGCCACAATTAGAAACATACATTCCCAACAATTTGTCCTCTCAAAGCCGCGACTTGCTTCTGTACTGCAAGTCTTGGCAATGGAGGTACATCAACCTCCATGCCAACTTGCGGAAAAAAAGAACAACAACATAGAAGCTTTGAAGAGCATCTGACAGAAAAAAAGCTTGCTTTGGCCATGAACCAAAATCATCCGATGAAAATGAGCTGTCACTGTGGTGAAACGCGAAAACACCCAGATTTTGGAAACCATGTTTTAATGGTTTGGAAATAGAACAAAAATGCTTGTCGCCACAATGCCAAGCTCAATTTTGTAGAAAACTGTGTCTTTACGAGCACGGTTTCCGGTCCGGCGGGTTGTTTTTGTATACTAGATAGCAACGTAGCCTCAAGAACGTACTTGGATGTTGTTAGAGAAATTAGCACCTTACCATCAAGAACGTACTTGGATGTTTCTACAAGAATTAGCACGTAGCCTCAAGCACGTACTGTTACAACAATTAGCAACGTAGGATCAAGAACATACATGGATGTTGTTACAAGAGTTAGCAACATAGCATCAAATGCATCAAGAACGTACTTGGAAGTTCTTTGGGCAAGGACGTTAATAGCCCACCCCACCCAAACAAAAGCGTTGATTTTATGAGCACGGTTTTCGGTCCGCTGGCCAAAACAAGAAAAGAAAACTACATAATTTTGGTAAAACAATAATATACCATCCCCCAGTCATCACCAGAAATTAGGTGGCATGGTTACCATTCCCAGTCATGGGTGGTTTATGACATTACACACATCAACCCTAACTGATTTCAAGCCCCCGGATGTGCCCGCCAAAGTGCCCCAAAGTGTGCCCGGTGTCCTCACAGCGCTCACAGAGCTCCAGTCAAACTCCACAGAGGCACCGATGCGATAACATCCCGAGCCAAGTACCTGAGCTCCAATGGGATGATGAGATGACCCCATGGGGCGATGGGCCAATGGGGATGTGATGGGATAGAAATAGATAGAAATTATATAGAAATTATATATATATAGAAATAATGACTTTAAAAAAAATAAATGCCAAGATTCCAAGATCTTATTTTGCGAAAATTAGAGACTTACATAAGGCATAAATGAATCATATATGGTTGAACGGCAGGGACGGTTTTACGTGCAGTGCTTTTTTTGAATTGCTTGTTTTGCCAAAACTTATCAGGATTGCACAGTTGCAGGTCTTGCCATTTCCACTCTTCGATGGGCATCTATCGGATAATTTATGCATCCTGGGATGCTTGCAGATATGCATGGGTTTCAATAATGCCATTGCTGCTATGTGTCTCCATATTAAAGCCATCCACGGCCAACAGATCCAACAGTCAAGCAGCAATGAACGAAGGCTTCTGTGCTTCTCCGTTGAGGTCCAGTGGTGGGGGGGGCTCCTGAAGTTGGTTGGTGGTTGTGCCACCAAGATGAGATCGTCATCCCAGGATCAAAGGTGTGTTACCAACGGAGCTTCAAAACCAGTCATTACTTGCATTAATATAATCCATCCATCTTTACGGCTGATAATTTTGACCTGTCCCTCATGTCAGTTTGACGAGAACTCAGAACCTTAAGCGTAACTTTGGATGAATCTATCCTAAATTACCAAGGACATTTGACCCATACCATCCCATATCCACCTGGAAAACTCCAAGTCCTCAGTCTTGATCGCGCTTTTCCTGGGGCTAAACGAAGGCGAAGTCTGCACTCGTTGCACACCTGACTTCTTGGTGGGTAGATTGAAGCCGCTTTCCTGCAGCGAGCTGAGCCCGGTCGATGTGTGCAACCAGATTCTGTTTTGAAACATAGAGCTCACCAAAAGGACAAGTTTTGCCTCCCCGGTGACCTTCTTCCCCATGATGCTCTACCCAGTCCGTCCTCTTGCAAACGGCCCTTGCCAAAGGCAGTGTCATACAAAGAGTCCTCCATGCCATCAGCATCCATCAGCCATAGAGAACATTTCCCAAACCAGCTCCAACTCCAGCTGTTTTGATTTCATCAAAATTGTCAAGGCATGGCCGCCAAATGTTTGACTCCCACTTCAAGCCACACAACTTTCTGAATGTTTGGCTTCCAGTGGGTTTGTTGATGAGCCCTCTGAAATAACGTCCGACCAGGTCCTTGTGAGCCGCCAGCTTCTCAGTTCTCAGGGGAACCACATCGTTCTGTGAACCAACATAGGTCAGGTACAAATAGTTCCTGGCAAAACGTTCTCCAAAACCATGGAAATGACTAGAGTGACTAGCTCTGGAACCTATCCAACGATTGATGTCTTTGAGATTTGTTGGTCAACAGTTTGAAAATCCAAGCCAGAAGCGCGTCTGTGCTGGGAATTCAGCTGCAAGAGTATCCACTTGCTTCACGCAAGGCCTCACAGGAGTGCATGCACATCCACATCGCACAAGAGACACATTGTTATCCTTGTTAAAATGCCATACAAAGCAAACTGGAAAGTGTCACGTTCTTGAGCACGATCTCGATTTTTACCATCTGTATTGAAAACCATAGCCGCTAAGCCAAGAATTTGAGTTTGCGGCATCGAGTTTGTCACAATATCACCACTCAGAAGATGGTCTCCCGTGGAAGCCTCACGTTCCAGCCCGCGCGCAACTGCATGACGGCCAGATCGGTGTCCTTCACGGCTTTTCCGATTTGCCTCGAAGTGCAGGAGCCAGAGACAAGTGTTATAACCCAAACTTAGAGAGAAAACATGAGAAAACCATGGGAAAAATATGGGAAAACATGGGAATGTCTATCCGACAGGACCACAGCAACATGCACACCGTGGCAAAGACTTCCATGGCCTGTCGCAGAAGCCCAACTGCTTGACACGGAGGAGGAACTCTGGGCCGGCCTGAAGAATCTCCACGCAATGGGAAATCCCCGAACTAGATGGAGGTGTTCATGGGAAAAGTATTTACAATGTATCTATATGGGTCTAGGTCAAAACCCTATACCCCTGGTGGACATCAAAATAGCTGGGATTTATGGATGTTCATTCCCCTAAAAATTGTATTAATAGGTATTGATCCATACCCATATAATTCTATATATAAATGGTGGAATTCTTCAGAGCAGGTATGGCTCCATCATCCCAAAGGTCAGCAAACACCATCTGACAAAAGGATACTCTGAAGGGGGAGAAAAGCGTGTTTCAACCCAAGGAGAAACTCCAATGTGCTTATTTTTGCTTGATGTCATGTATATGTATAATATATATATATACGTATATATACTAAGTGAATAATAGCAGCTGTAGCAATGGCAATTCTCAACCCCAATCACTGGTGAAGTCGTGCCTCTTTCAACGCTGAAAGGCTTCCCATACTTTCCATTCGTTTTCGTGCTTGGTGAACCTTGAGAAGCATGGCAGTCAAATTCAGACCATTCAGACCCTCAAAGCCAATGTTGGTCAATCTTTGTATCGCATCATCCGACATCATCCATTTGTTTTTGAGTTCGGGAGTAAACCATGCACAAGCTGTGGTATCTGAAAACAAACCATCCAATTTGGCGATCTTTGGGTAGCGACATGTAGCCACAGAGAATCTGATGTGAGAATCAAACCATTCTCTTTTTGGAAGCGGCTTTCGGCATGTACAGCAGCCAGGTATCTGTTTGGTGCTACCCTCTGGACCAATCGAATCATGACTGGTAGCGGAAACTCCGATTTTTTCTATCATAAAACAAAAGATCATCATCAATGGGTGAAATACACATTTAGAAAATTATAGGTGCAACAATATATTACGAATCATATCCATGATATTCCATTGTAAATGGGCCATTTTCCATTGCTATGTTAAATACCCTGAAGGTATGGGCCATCTTTCCATTTCCAACTTGATGATCTTTTTGGGTGTCCACTGCTGGATCTGCCCATCATATCCCCATGAGGGTTGGTGTTCTAATCCCTTCCCAATGTTGAATACCCCCCAACCGAAACCTGGGGTTAGTATCAACACTATTGGATCTATGCATTTTGGAGCCCATCTTACAGGGGAACGGATGGGATGTCCATGGAATTATCGGAAGTCCGGCATTTTGGGGACGAAGCGTAGCAGCTACCCCCCACATCCTCCCCGTTCGTCTCGTGGCTGAGAAGAGCTTGCCCAAAAACCACCTGTCGATGCGAGTGATCTCGTGCACCTTGGTCGATGGGATTCCTGGTGGATTTTGGCTCGGAATCTTTACCAAAAATGGGAGAAATGATCAACCAAAGTTGGGTAGATGTGGGGAGCATCCAGTAGAAATAGGTAATTGGTAATTATCTGTAATTGTCAACTGGAGAGGTAGGAATCCAACTTAAGATTGGTGAAGGTATCAGAGTGAGCAAATATCAAAGAAGAATGGTATAGCAAATTGTACATGAACCCATTAAAATATATTAAAATCATTCAACTAGAATGGCAGATAGCCAGCACGGAGAACGAACCTTGGGCAACTTGGTTTCAAGATCCGATCCAAAGGTTTGTAAATGGTTGATAAATCATCCATAAGACTGGGATAGACTGGGTGTATTTCAAGCTTCAATGAGTTGGATGATTTATGATAATTCCATCAGCCACACCCCGGCAGTTGCGCAAGTTGCCTTCTCAACAGAGTAGCCAGTGTTAAAGGCATGGGCGATGGCCCAAAGCCGCAACCTTCAGCCGTGGCATCTCAAGGTTGGGATGTAAAGTTTGTCAAATTTTATCAGTGACAAAGGTGAAATGTGAGCTATCAATAGTGTTGTTGTATGATTGGAATAAACCTCCGTTTTCTCATCCTTGGTGATCTATTTTAGATAGTCAGAATCAAGCTCCGTTTCCGAAGAGGTCATCATGGTCATCGAGGAAAAGACTGTGGCATATCAAGTCTTGATCCTGGAATATCCAATACCGTATCATTCACTGCTCCATCTGGGAACCCCTACGGACCGGCACATCTCATCTCCTCCTCCACATTGTTCTCTTTGGAGGTTCCAGCTGATGTCCGAGCACGAAGATACCTCGAAGGGCTACCCAGCTGCAGAACATCCAAATTTTTCTCGGCCAATATTGGGCCACCTGCACAATTCTGTTGATATGCTGATGTTTGTTTGAGTAGAAATAGGTAGTGTCTGCAAATACATCCCATAAGCATGTTGTAAGGATGGTGGTCATTTATGGTCCACTGTGCACCAAAATAGCAACCTCCATTGAAACTTGACCGAGTCTCCAAGACTCATCAAAGCCCACTGAACCTTCGTTCACCATTCGCAAAGCCTTAGCCACTGTGTCTTGAAAAACTGCCACCCTTTCCACTGACTCAACGATGACAATGAATTCCATATATACTGGTTTTGATCAACCATGTTTCTTCAAAAAAAAATCAACACCTTGAGACATTCCGGATACATAAATCTTCTCCCACTATGAAACCATCTGAAACCGATAAGTCTTCGCATCTCTTAGGCGTTCCTAAAATGGGGGTACCCCTAGTGATCAGAAATTTTACCATCCAGCTCTCGGGGATCGTCTCAGGGTTCCCAGGGTGCCTTCTGAATGGCTTCCGGGAAGGACCTTGCGATGGACATCACCTCGCCCACAGACTTCATCTGCGTCCCCAGGGTGCGCTCCACCGTGGGAAACTTGTCGATATCCCAGCGAGGAATCTGGCACAGTGGGGTTTACCCCCAGATTCCCAGATCGAGATCCAATGGCTGGTCACATCTGGTCACCCAGTGCTGGTTTTGAGAATCCTCAGTTCAATGGGAGATCTTCAGGATCCAATTGATGGAGGTACGTTAGTACCATATTTCAGGCCATATTTTGGGGGGATATTCCCTTACCATGTGGCACCATGTGATCCATGGGATCGGCCTTCACCACGCAGTAGTCCAGGGAGGGTTCGAAACAGGCCGTGGTGCAGCGCGTCACCAAGTTTCGGAGGCTGACCAGGTCGTGGCCTGAGACAAAAATCCGATGACGCCATGGCTTAAAACCTAGGGGGATTTAACGGGATATTTATTGGATGGATTTAACATGGTATTAAACAATGATGATGATGGATTTTAACCAGAAAGTTATGGAGGGTATAAGACCAACCATCTTAAATCTATGGGAATATAATATCATATCATGGGATGTAATTTTTGATGGTAAATGTAACCAACAAGATGATTCGTGTTTGTTGTCTAGTCCAAAAATTACAAAATTCTCCTGCCATTTATTGCAACTTTGATACCGGAACATTATGACAAGCCAGTGGAGTTTAGGTGTACCCCATTGTTGGACAAAGCCCTGTGATGATGCCAAGATCTGCCTTAAAAAAAAAATGCAGTTGCTGCAGATTCCAAAGTTTCTTGGCGATCTTTTTTAGACAAAAAAACATTTTAAAAAAAACTGTCTTAGTTTTCCTAAACAAAGTTGGGTACCCCAAACCATGGCTTTTCCCACTGATAATAACAAGTTGTTCATGGATTTGTGGGGTACCCTAATATGACCTGGTCAACACTCAACTGGGGCCATGTCACCCAATGCGATCTTGGCAGCCACGTATGCCAAGGGATAGCCGGTCGCCTGTGACGTTTCAGGATTGCTCAGAAAGGGAGTGACTTCATAGACTTCTGATACCTTGAGGTGATCTATGATACCATAAGAATCTGAAAAATATCTGACAATATCTGATAATATCTGATAATATCTGATAATATCTGATAATATCTGACAATATCTGATAATATCTGATAATATCTGACAATATCTGATAATATCCTTGGAACGCTAAAAATATGATAATCTGAACCATGAGGAAATGTGCCTTCGATGCCAATGCGCTACTTCGCGACAGTCTGGCATTGACCTCCACAATTCGGTAGCCTGGCACAGAACGGAGAGAAACTCCCAGTGGGAGTTTATCCTTGGTGGTTTCTGTGGCTAAGCCCGAGGTCTTGGTACAAACTGGACCAAACTGGACCGTTCTCAGTGCAGAAAACCAACCTTCATATACTCAGCTCAGCTCAGCTCAAGCATGCCAGGAGGACGTTTGGAATATGGATCCAATGCATATTGGATGTTAGCTTCACCCACAATGCCAAAGTGGCGAATAACCTCAATGACAAGGCCATGACAAGGCCATGGATCCCCTGTTCCCTGCCCAAAAGCTCTGCAGAATCCAAAGCTGCTAAGTTTTGTTCCAAGGAACGGCCAATCAATATCAATCAGTCGGTTCGTTAGTCAATTAGTCAGCCAGTAGTCAGTTTACGATCCACCAAATTGCACCTTACCCAAGCAGCTTCTGCCGCTCAGCTCTGCTAAGATGCTAACCTTGATGGCAACCGCACGAAGATGGTGATACTCATCATTGCTCAACGTCTGGGAGGGCGCAACAACGATGGACTCGCCGGTGTGAATGCCCATGGGATCCAGGTTCTCCATGTTACACACCACCAGGCAGTTGTCCTTGGAATCACGCCTCGGCAGATATCGGCAGCAGATATGGCAGGTTTGGCTGGTCCCAGGGCGGACGGCTTCGTGCTGGGGGACTCACATGACTTCATACTCCAACTCCTTCCATCCCTTGAGGCACTCATCGATGATCACCTGGTCGCCAAATGGGCCAAATGGACATGAGCCAGACAGGAAACCCGGAACCCCGTACAGGATCAACGATATCCGATGTTATCTCATGCGGTGGGATGGCGCGATGCTCTGGAATTCTTCTTACATCTGTCGACAAAGTAAACTGAATGCTCTCCAGTACGCAGTTCAATCGAAACATGTGCTTAACTTGTTCAAGCTAGCAATTAAGAATACCCCCACGCCCATCCAATTTTCTACTGCTTGGTTAGCAAATATGCGTATTCTGGTTTTAGAATTGTCCCCAATAAACAAAGATTCGTATAACACAGGCATGGGTCAAAAATTGGATACTAAAAAAATTGATGGTGAAAAAACTAGAAATAGACTACACAGAATCTGTGGTCCTGACATTTTAACATATTCTAAGCCATATCATCCCATATCCATATCGTATTTTACCCCATAACCAATCAACAATGGTGCCTGTGAGGAGTTGGCGAATGCCCTCTCCAAGAGCACGTCCAACTCTGCCTGGGCCAAGTCATAGGGGATCGAGTTCGAAACGTCACTAGCCCGATGGAAAAACATCCTTCAACTTGAAAAAATGCAGGTGTCAACCATTCATCAATCAGGAATTCATCCAAAAAAAAAACATTCATCAATCAGGAATTCATTAAAAAAAAACATGAGTTTTCATCCAAAGAATGGATGGTTCACACTCAAAAAATCTTAAAATGGACCTTCAAATCTCTGGGTCCAGAGATCGCCAATGTCGCGGTTCGAGAGCGGCCTTGCCTCATTGGATGCAAAGCCACTACCGAGGCCACCGAGGGCAAAGGCGGCTCGCACTAAGACCTGGCTGGGGCTATCATATCTATATTACCATGTGTGTATACATATATATATATATATACGCTACATGATATGTGTATATACATAAATGAAATTATGCATATATATATATGAAATGGTCATATTATATATATATATAGTGACGGACAATCACTTAGAACGTAAAATTTTTTCCAATTTTTTTTTTTCGTACTTAGAACGTAGCAAAATTTCATCACTTAGAACGTAGGGAAAATTCATCACTTAGAACGTCAAAATATCACTTAGGCCCATTTATCACTTAGAACGTAAACCAACACTTAGAACGTGCTAAGTGATTGTCCGCCACTATAATTATGAACAATTACCATATGACGTGACATAGACACGTTCTAAGTGTATGGTTTTCGACGTTCTAAGTGTTAAATCAGTGACCTAGACACGTTCTAAGTGTTAAATCCCCGGTACGTTCTAAGTGATGAATCTTGATATTTGGACGTTCTAAGTGTATGGTTTTCGACGTTCTAAGTGCAAGGCTTAGAACGTAAAAAAAGCAGTAATATTCAGATTTTTTTCCCAAAATACGTTCTAAGTGATTGTCCGTCACTATATATATGTACACGATTATTATTAAGAAATATTGTTAGTGTTGTTGTTGTTCTTGGTACTAATATCAATAATCATGTTTGCTATCATTATTACCATCTTTTCGTTATTGTTACTCCTATTATCATCATGTATGTATATATATATATTATGCATTTAAATTCGTGTACATATTGCAAATGAGTAGAGACCTAAACCACCTATCCAAGGTTGACTCAAATGGGTTTGCTACCTGAAAAATTAAGGGAATCCTTAATTCCATCCACTGGTTAACCCACTGATTCATCCAGATTAAAAGTGCCATACCTTGGGGGTATGCCGTATCGTTTTTTTGTGAGTCCCCTACAGTATCGTTTTGGGAGGTTTCATGCAAAAACCAACATCCCATGCACACTCCACTACATTTTATAGGTAATCAACGATGACGGAATCTAATATGGGATTCAATTCCATGGATTTATGCATACTGGGTAGACGGATATCTTTATATACCCTGCAAAAAACAAAAAAAAAGTACAAGACTACTGCCCCATTCATGGCAAACGATGTCCGAAATGGCCAGACTAAGGGATCTCCGACAAGCCGTCGGAGCATCTGTGCAGCCAATGTGCTGGGAAGCCAATTTCCTTTGCAGCCTGGCCAGGGAACGGTGGCTCCAAAGAGCGCATCGATTTGGGGCATATCAAAAAATGTGCAAGCTTAATGGGGAGAATGGTGATAAACCATTGGATTTGAGGTACCCTATTTTGGGACAAAGCCATTTATCCATGTGGTGCCTTCTTCGCATCTTCCACAGTATCAGCGCAGGCAGACAGAGCACACTGCTCGCCGATGCTTTCAACACCGGCCTGGCAGCAGTGGTTCATGATGAGTTTGCTAGTTTACAACCACTGGTTTACAACCTCAAATTCTACCCAACAACATAGTAGTTTTTAAATTGAAAATTTTGGGGTATCTGGGTATCTCTTATCTATTTTGAGACAAACCCAGTTTGTTGTCCGAAGATTGCAGGTTGCGCCTTGAAAACATCCCTATCCTCGGTGGCCACAATCGAATCGATCTGAGTACCCAGAACCTGTCAGGAAAGCCAGGACAAGGACCGGTTCGCCAGCATTGAAACCATCAGTTCAAAGGGGGTTCACCATCATGAAATAGGAATTCAAACGTTATCAAGCGGGATTTTAAGATCATTCAGATGATAAACCATAAGATAAAATGGGGAAAAAGCACCATGATTAAATAGGAATTTGACTATGATCGATGATAAGGAGATCACTTAACCCATAATAATCCTATATAAGAGGGATTTAAAAGTCAATCATAAAAAAAAATGGGATAATAACACAATATCTGGATAATTTCATTATGGGATATTGTGGGTCAAAACCCCTGGTATCCTGGCTTTCACACAAAAGTAGCTGGGAAATGGATGCTCATCCAACTAAGGGTCCGATAGGCATTGACTGCATTGACCCACAGATCTCAGCAGATTTCAATTAGTTTCACAATTAGTTTCACAATTCTCTTCATGTTTGAATCCAATTTCAGAATCAGGATAGAGATTTTCTCGCCTTCACTCCATACTTTTTCAGAGTACCATTTCTGTGAAGCTGCACCGCACAGTTCAGGGCAGTTTGTCCACCTAGGCGGTCGTGGCAGTCGTGGCAGGAGCTCGGCTCGAGCTCGGCAGTCGTGGCTGGAGCTCCCTGAGATCCTCACCAAAGGCGGCAAAAAGACCATCAGGTCGGACCTTTTCAATGACCTCGGCTGTCATGGAGCTTTCATGGGGGAACCATGTGACAAATGTTATTTTTTGTATCCATTTAGGAATATGATGAACATTATGAATCATGAATTGTTCAAAAAAACATCCAGATATTGAATTGGGGAACCCTCACATGTTGTAATGGAACCTGAAATACACCGGATTTAGCTGGGTCACCTTTGTAACAAATTCTGGCGTGACAGGAACGAAGAAGATCTGGTCCGCCAAGCCCTTGGATGTCTGCACTGTGGCGATGTTCGGGTTGATCCTGGCACCATGTAGAGAGACTGAATTCTGCTTTCCAAAAATGAATCTATACACTGAATAGCAGGTGACTGATATGTAGCTATGGCAGCTATGGCCTGCCACGGTTTTGTATCCAGATGCCCCCTGAAATTGATATGTGATATGTGTCTTGCTTCAAATTCTACAAACATGCAAGGACTGCAGCACTGACTGTACGTGCTGTTCGCGCAAAGCCTGCTTGGACACAGCAAACCAGGTGAACGTGTCCGGGTGGTATGGTGGCAATCAGCCACTTGCTGCCAGCAATTCAAACTCCCCAAGAAAACAAATATTTCAACATACTCCTGTAACAATCTGAGGTTGCCAACTGCCCTGCCAGAGTTCTGGTTAATTCTGCAGCTGGGAGCCTTGATGGCTTGACTTCCAGAGTAGTCAAACTCTCCTGCTTGGCCAATGGTCAAACCTCCAGATCCCAGCACCAACACCTGGCAGCTGGTGACCAACTATAGTCAGGCCATGAAACATTGAGGTCATTATCCTGGAAAATGGGCAAGTATGTTTGGAACACTTAAAACAACTTAAAACAACATCTTGCAAATATTTGAAAGAGTCAGGACCGTCAGGAAGTGAAAATTTCCAACCCGCCTTCGTAATGGCTTGTGGGTGCTTGTAGCTGATGGTCGTCAAGCTTCTTCCTTGGGCGTCCCTGCACCGGAACCAATGGGAGCCATGGGACCCATGGGACCAACCTCAACCATGGCGAGCCAAAAAAAAATAAAACGCTCCCCCACATCATGGCGACCCGCCTCAGGATGCGTAAAAATTCGTCGAACAAGAATGCAGTGTCAACTGGACCACAGCAAGCCTGAGAAAATCGTGTATCATCGTGTCACATGACAGTGCAGTGTTCAGGATCTGCTGATTCTGTGATGTCCGATATCCCCGTGATTGTCAAAGAATCATACCAGAAGGCTGGCTTTGTGGCTTTCAAGACATTTCAAGACCATCCAGACTCAGCATGTTTTCGTTTCTGCCAAGCGGACATAGCCTCTGGATGGAATTGAACTGAAAGCCACGGCTTCTCCTGGCAACAGAATTCACTAACGTTATCAGATTGGATGCAATTGAACCCGGTCAGGAACCGGGAAACTCGCAATGAGAGCTATGAAGGTTTGAGTCTTCAAAAGCTGGCCAAAAGTCATCTCTGAGCTAATTGAGTGGATGACACTTCATCCTCATTGATAGATCTGGCAGTTTTTCAAACTTCCTAAACACTACCAGAACATCTGGGAAATTCCAGCCATCCCAGTCCTTGTGTGCGATGCCCTCGTTGGAGCCATCGTTGGCATTGACGAAAAGAGAGTGCCATCCCTCAGGCAGATCGGAGTCATCCACAGCAAAGCCATGATTCTGCGATGTGATGTAGCATCTGCCAGTTCGCAGATCTATGCAGGGCTGGTTCCTCGGCGCTGGTGCAAAGATGTGCAAAGAGGAACATGGCAGCGGGGTTCATCCCTTTTTCACAGTGACCGCTCCCATCAACTGCCATCAACAATGCCATAAAATCCCATAAACTGCCACAAAAAATGCAATTGCCTAAATGTTTGTCCAAGTGCACGCCACGATTTCCAAACTTCATCTTGTACGTCTTGCAGCCCGCAGCCAACGACAGCAGCTGATGGCCAAGGCAAATTCCAAAGATGGGTAAACGAGGCCGGTCTTTCATCACTTGCTGCAAGCACTTCACTGTCACATCGCACCTCGGGTTAGAAGTGGATGAAAACCAACAAAAACTGGTGAACTTATCAATTGTTTATCATTTTTGCCTAACAATTTATCTGATGGATGGGATTTAACCAAGAAAAATAGCGAGGTTAAGATGTTTGAATCAGCCATTTTATGGGGATATAGCATACATATATATGTATATATAATATAACAACCAGCTGGTTTTGCATGCTTCGAGACCATCAGAACTGAACAGCTTCCTTAGTTTCAAGCAGTTTCAATTCTGACATTTTTTTTCACCAGGTGGCTTCTCTGGATCGCCAGGCCCATTGCTAATGAAGAGCCCATCGAATTCCTCAGCTGCGAAGAAATTCCTCACAACATGCGAAATTGAAATTTCAGGAGCCAAAGATAGTGCACTAAGCACATCTAAAGCATCTAAGACCATTTATAACGATGTCTACAACAAACTACCTGAAGTCTGCAGCTGCTCATCTGGCCCTCCGGGTCAAGACACCTCTTTGGAGAAGTCATAATTCCACGGAACCACCTTGAGTCTCACTCTAAGGTAGTACACAAAGAAGCGCACAATGTTAAACCTCAGATCACGCACTGTGTGCCATGATGAAAGTTATGGGCTATGGTCATCCCAGCATCATTGGGGAGTTCTTGTTTCATGGGTATTAGTTAACCCCTGTATGATGGGGAGATGACCATATCATGGGAAAATAAACCATCTTTGACCAGGCCCCACTCTGAGGCTGGATCTTCATGCCGCAATCAACTGCTATGACCAAAGGAGCATCACCTGCGCGGAGCTGCCAAAATTGACCATGACAAAAGCCTCCAAAAGGATCATGATTCTGATTTAGTCGTTGACTCATTGACTGAGGCTGCAGCTACCATCCCCGTCGTCATCTTGGGGTGGCACATACAGTTTGGGGCTGGACCTAAGCTACAAAAAAGCGGCGATAGTGGTTCCTTAACTCAAAATGATATCAATCGTATTCAATTGTCCATATGATGAAATCGCATTATTGTCATGTTTTTCAAGTATAGTAACGCCCAAAAGGATAGAAAAGTACTTTACATGACTTTACCACATTTTTTTATTTGTTTATCGGGATTATACCAAATCAAAAATTTGGCTGCAGGATGGTGCCCCCCAGTTATAAGTTGGTTTATAAGCCCCATTAACTAGTTCGTTGTATCTGCCATAAACCATAGTTATGAGAGTTATTTGCACCAACTTCGCTAACTATGGGGCACCACCTTGTGGGGGTTTTCAATTGTTTTCAAGCACTGAATTGCAGCAAATGTCAGAAACCCTCTGAGCGGTGCGACACTGACACTTCAGCCACCAGGTTTCGTAGGTTCGGATCCACCAAAGCAGGTGCTGAGTCCGATCCCATCACCACGGCACCAAGGGCTGAACCTGAAACTGGGGAGACTAAATCAAGCAAATGGGGAAAGAATTGTGGTAAAATTGGATATCTAGGGAGTATGGCTTAGGGGTTAGGCTCTTATGAGTTGATGTTGATCTTCAATGTGTATTTTTTACCATTGATGTGTTTTGTAGGGGGGTCTGGGGGAAATTGTGTTGCCAACTTTCAGTGTGATTGTGTTCTATGACGTGGGCAATTGTTGTTTCTGTTGTGACAGTTTGACGTTGATTGTATAGTACATAATGTCTTGTGTTTAGGTATTTCGGAGCAATCATTTTTCTGCCCTCCATTTTCCTTTTCCATCCTGCCAATGTTTGTCAAAGAGCATCTGTTCCAAAAAGATGATGAGGGCTTGAGAAATGAACTTGCTGAGCTGCAAAAGATCGTGAGGTTGATGACAGAGTTTGACATCATCCGTGAGATGTATGACAGCATCTCGAAAGAAAATCAAATCAAGGAATGTTGTAGAAACTTAAACACCCGCAAAGGCTTTCAAAACCCTGGCAGTAAATTGAAACACTGTTACCCTGCTAAAATTGCTCTCTTTGAGCTATCAGGAGGTGGCTGACCATGAATGGAAAAACTAAAAAAGGAAATGCAGCTACCAGCCTCAGCAAACGTAAACCTCTCTTACAGAAATAAACAACCCGTAATCCTTGCAGCAATGAACCGGCAGTGATGTGCAGACATCACTGAAGGGAACAACTCCAGAAACCCACCTGGAAAAAATAGACAATAAAAACGGTAACATGTTAAACATCAAGAGAACATGGATCATAACAAGCAAGATGTAAACATAAGCTTCCGGGAACCACCGTTTTCCATGTTTGGGTCGAATACAGATATAATGTAGATCTACTTTGGATGTACCCATACAACAAGGAAGGAATGAAGTCATCTTTTGCCTTATGTTTCGAATGATTATGATCTGGCAACTACCCCACTTGAGATCTGTCAAGATATTGCATAAATGAGTTGAACAACTCACCCAAATCGCCCACGGCTCGCCTTCCATTCGAAGTCGCTTGGTGATCGCACGAGTGTCCACTCCAAAAATACCCGGCACTTCGTGCCTGGCCGAACGACAACTTCAGATTCCAATGCATAGAATGAAACAGCGTGAAATGGAGACTCACAAAACTAGCTGCCTAGCTGGCATTACTCATGGAATTTCTGAAAGAACCAACTGTCACTTACAGTATTGGGAATTGGGACAGTACTTATAGATCTTATAGTAACTAACTGTGTAACTTAATGTAACTTAGTAACTTGAGTGGCTTCCCATCCAACTTCCAACGCTTACGTCGGTTACGTGGCGCCAAGTTACTCTTCGAGCCACTGGGACAAGCTCTTCACGGCAGAGTAATGCGATGCCACGAAGGAATACTCGGACACCACCACGGCCACAGGGAAGATTTTGCTACCTTCGAAATACCTCTGAGTGGCGAACCCCCCAAACACAAACATACCATATGGATCCATATGGATCCATATTAGGTGCTGTCATGTGGTTTCATCTGGTTTCATCTGGTCGCATTTGGTATGGGCCGGTATGGCTAGAATCTTCACGAGTATGACTCCTACGATTCTCTGTTGCAATAACCCTATGTCATATAATACATGCATATATATATACATATATATATATATGTATTTCTGGGTCTTTGGGTTTCCAGGAATGTCAAGATGGTGACCACCCCATCGGCTCGGCTCTGCCCTCCATCCTTGGAATGCCCAGTTCATCATTCTCATCTGGCGGCACGCCATAGTTTCCCACTAGGGGATAGGTCAAAACAAGGATTTGACCTGGCGGCATCTGGCGGCTGTGCTTAGGAACCGTTTTTCCCGGGTCTTCCCTGGCTCTTCTCACGGATCATTGCACCAGTCAGCAGAGGTTTACCTCCCGACCAAAGGCTCAAAATGCTGTGCCTGCGAATGATGGATCTGTGAGGGATTCCGGATATCCCATCATTGCTGTGCAGAAAACCACTTCGCCTGCCACTGACCTTCAGTCAAAAAAAACTTGTCGTGAGGATCTCTTCAGTTGTTGTTGTCTGAGTCTAAGGCCGTTTGGCACCAAAATTCCATCCCCGCCAGCACTCACCTGGCAAGTGAGTCATGAAAGCCACACCCCCTTTTCCCATCCCATGTAACAGGCCTCGCGGCACCCCGTTATTTGTGGGTTAGTTCATACTCCCCAATAAACCACTTGGGCCACTACCCCCCGCATTAATCCTAGAATTTCTTTGAAGGGAAAAGTTGCAGGAAAGCCCCACATTCGATGGGGACACCATGAGTTCCTGCAATTTTTTTTCTCCATGTTTCCCCTAAACCAACCCCATGGACTAACCAATCAACACTGATACCCTCTGGTAAACTAACATAGCTATTGAAAATGGCCATTGAAATAGTGAGTTTTCCCATTCAAAATGGTGGTTTTCCATGGCTTTTTGTTAGTTTACCAGGCCGGGTATCCTGAGTCCTTCTTGAGCCACCAGAGTCCACCAGGCCTGACTGTAATCTGAGTTCCATGGGGGTTTTTGCTGCAGCTTCCCAAGAAGCAAACCTCGACTTCTTGGGCGCCATCAACGGAAAAAACAGGGCTGAGCTTTGACAAGGCTCCAAGTAAGTACAGTAGAAAAACGTGCTAGTTGCGTCCCCCAGGTTCATGGACAGGTTTACATAATACTAATAACTAATAATAATGATGATAATGATTAACAATAGTAATAACAATAGTAATAATAATAATAACAAACATAATAATTTATCAATAACAATTAACAATAGGTCGTAATAACAAGAATAACAAAAATAAGAAAAAGAATAAGAATAGGAATAAGAATAAGAGAAAGAGAAAGAAGGAGAAGAAGAATACTGAGCACGACCGAAATCTGCAGGTTCGAGTGGGCTCAAATCAGTCTGTGCCCTCTGCGCTGCAGAACCGAGGTTTTGGCTCATCCACTGTTCCTGCGAGAGTCTTGCCATCATTGTCTGGACCTCGTCCCGCAACACTGCTGTGTTGGATAACGGACGCAAAATAAGGTGACGCAGGCTCCTTTCCTGAGAAAAGATCCCGGTGCTTATTTACACCACAACAAAATGAGTACAAGAGCACTTTTGTTCAATACATCTGCTACGTCAGCAACGCATAAGATCCAGCAGAGTTGTGCTTCTGAACGCACAGACAACAACTGAAAAGTGGGCGGTGGCAGATTAAGCTCCAAGACGAGGGGGTGGGGCAAAGGGCGGCGCCGCCCTTTTCATCGGTCTCAGTGTCAAAGGGATGAGAGAGACTATGGTTGCCAGGTTGCCATGCACAAAAGCTTCCCACCATGCAGGAACGGCTAGCACAAACCTGTGATGAGGCTCACAAGTTCTAAAGAAGTACGGGGTGAAACAATCTTTGACCAGGACTAAGTCGGACTTGCCAGTGCAAACAAGGGACGCCGTGAAGGACGTACTCCCTGCTCTCAAAATAAAAATACAGAGCCAAACGCTGCATGTTTGAGCATCACAGGTTTGAAGACTTGTGAATTTATACTCCATTCCAGTCAGGGGAGCAAGTTGTAGACACTTCAGTCTAATTACTGGAAGTCTTTTGACTACTCTTAGCCTTCTGAAGATTTCTGAGGCATGTTGTGGTGCACACGTCCCAAGCTCTTTTGCCACCACCTCATTTCTGTAGGATTGTCACTAGCAAAGCAACTCCTGAGGCATCAAGCTGGCATAACCTCAGGCGGTGGTGGTGGTAGCAAAAATAGATGCCACCTCTATGACAAATCTCTCGCCAAACAGTATGATGTCGTGAACTCTGTGCCGAATCTGCGGAATGGCTTGGAATCCAAGTTTCAGACTGGAGATGGGATTGCGTTCTTCAGGCATCTTTGTTTCACTTGACATCAAAGCCCTCTGCACGCAAGCACTGTTTGTGCGCTTCTATGAACGCCTTGCATTTCTCTTCACCGTTCATGGCAATGCACTCGTCTCGGGCCGCCTTGGAAGCATCAAGATTTAGGGTACCCTGCCCGGGTTCCTCAGTCAAACCAGCCCTGTTGAGTTCGTTCAGATGTGGATTTACCCCCAATGAATGGTGATGGGGGAGGTGATGATGTTAAGACCATTGGAGTTTGGGGCAGTTCCCCATTTTCAAACAATAGGCATTTGAAATGTATTGAAATGTCATATCTCATTCGGGAGTCTTTTGCAATAGCCGAAGCACCTTGGTTTCAGGGCATGCACAGCACATCTTCATCGTAGGTTTTTTGACCGGTGGAGCCTCACACAGCATGGGTAGAGGTTTCACATCAAGCACTTTCGAAACGCTTGTCAGCTGAAGGCAGTAGCAAGCCCAGAAAGCATCGAGCAAGATATTATGTATATTTATATTAGAGTTATGATATAATATATATATATATAGATGTGTGTTTTTAAGAGAAAAAACGTCGTTTCTTCGGATGCACTGACAGGGATCATTTCTTCGGACCTTGCATATTTTGAGTCGTGGTTGAAGGGAGCAAGATTTAGAATCATGGATCCACCTCACAAGCATCGCTTGAGGACTTGAAGACAAGGTACAAAAGGACACAAGAATGTCAAAATCAAAGCTAAATAAAGGGAAATTGAAGACAAGTAGTTTAGTTCAATGCTATAATTCATTGGTAACTCCAGACCTTTGCCATGTCATGCCATGTCATGCCATGTCATGCCATGTCATGCCATGTCATGCTCCCAACCCGCGATACCGCGATACCTCTTGCTTGGAGCCAGAGGAACCCATGGCGCTGAGTCAAAAGTTAGCACAAGTATTGCTGGAGCGGGGCTACCGATGGTTTCCATATATGCCATAGTTCTGTCTCACAGTCACAGAATCTGACCAAAAAAAGGCATGTGACAAACATCCCACCAACACATTTCTGAGCCAGAGAAGCATCCAGTAGCTGCATTGCCATGCCTTTACCCGCCTTTCCCTTCACATCTTTCACCGTGAGCTGGTGCCCTTCACATCCCTTTTTGCCTTTTTTCGACCGCAAATTGCCTGGCGAACTTGGCCATGGCAGTTTTTCACCTAGGACCTGGAGCGCTGCCCCCGCTGGGACCGCCTGGGACCGCTGTACGCTGGCCTCCAGTCCTGGCTGAAAACTCAACTCGACTAGACACTTCCAGGCCCGGCCCGGCGTTTGGCATCAGTTGCCACCCAGAGTTTGACCTCAGCTTCCCAAAAAAATCAATAAAGCTGCTAAACACAACCAAAAACCCAGTGAATTGTGGATCCCAGGATGAAAAACCGCTGCAGATCTGCCCCCTTGGCTCTGTAAGTCATGGGCCTCTGCCCTGAAATCTCGTCTGCTGCTGTTGGGCAGCTTGAGGGACACCTGGTGATCAGTTTGGAGCTGGAGATGCGATGGCCAAAGCTGGCAAAATGAAGTTCCCGAGAAACCAATACGCATTGAGAGCTATTGAGGCATTGATCTGATGCATCAACCAAGGGCTATTTGGACAATTCCTATCTATTTCAATCCAGGTCTCATTTCTATCTATATATTTTTATCTATATAGTTAAATCCATGTCAATCCATGTCTTGGATTTTTGCCACAAACAAATTGCCCGAAAGAAGGGTCAACCGCACCTCTGCCGGTTTGTCTGGCCATGAAGTTGGTCAAAGCCGCTGGAGTTTTGATCAAGGTATATCCATACTCCTGTGGAACAACCTGTCCAGGATCAACTCGGAGAAATCGCTGCTCTAAATTTGGGATGGGACTCCTCAAACCTTTTATAAAACCATAGGATTCCTGATCATAAGAATCACGGATTGTGTGGGTTTGGGGGCGGCACCAAACATCCTGTTTGAGTCTTGGGACAAGCTGGAGCAGGCCACGCTAATGATCTATATGTCGGTATCTCAATGCTGCAACACCCATTTTATCTTCAACAAAATCAGCTGTGATAGCCTATCGGATCTATCGCAATCTGCTCCCCTGAACCCAAATCCCAGGTCCAAACCCGCTTCAAGGTTCTGCTGTCCAGTGCCAGTGCAAATCAGTTCATCTATGCACATCCAACTGAAGGGTTTGCTGTCAGAACAAGTCACTAAAAGAACTTTGGAAAACATCCTGTGAGAGGCCGTAATGATCCAAGAGGATACTGCAAAAAAATTAAGTATGCTCTCCCAGCCTCATGCAAGAAGTAGTAGATGTGTCCAGAGGCCAAACCCAAGAGATCCATCCAAATGTTGCCACCTGCGGTGGCCCGGAGTTTTCTGATGTCAACTGTCGATCTGCAGCCAAGATGCCAATCAAGAGCTGGAAAAACAGCAGCGCAAAGGGGAACTGGTAGCCCTGAAAAGCGGACAATTGATGCAAAAAATATCCGTGAACCAATTACGAGGTGATCTATGTGATCGATGGATCTCAATGGTCAGTGCAAGAGCCTGGATGCTGAAGCTAAAGAATGAGAGCTTGGCATACGGTTCCCTACCTGGATTTGTGGTCAATAACAGTGAACAAAAGCAAACACTGCGCCACTGTACTTCTGTCTCTCAAGAGAACCCTGCAGCAACCCTTGAGGCACCGGCGACTCCAGTAGTAGAGGATGGCAAACACCAAGGATGGGCCCAGGAATGGAAATCCACTGGGCCAAGCTAAGGCCAGAGAGATCACGTCCAAGAGCTGGCAGATCATGGAAACGGATCAAAGTTAGGATGTCAATGGACCCACAAAATTTGGTCCTTCTACATATTTAACTGTATTAGACTATTTACCGATAAAAAAAATGATGGTTTGGAAGAAACCATCATTTTTTGGGATTTCGACCCATCAGATGATCTTCCAAGAGATCTGTGGATTCGCAAACTCGACTTCAACAGAGGCAGCTCCACCACAATCTGCAATAGCAAGAAGAAAAGGTAGTCGCCGGGTGCGGCGAAGGCCTGTGGAAAACAATGTATTGCACCATGCTGCACCCTCCCTCTTCTCATCTAAATAAATCCATAGCAATTGCAATAGATTGAGAAAACCTTGAGTTTTGGCGCCGGCATAACTTGGTCGCGCCTCGTTCTGCTCAAGTTTGGAAGAGAAGGATGAGAAAAAATACCTGGCCAGAATGGATTCAGTTGATGTACTCCACTTGAACTTGAATCTCTATTTCTCTTCCCGGCGCACATCTGGAACAAGAACTGGAAGCTGAAGGTTCCGAAGAAAGAGACTGGAGTCAGAAGCCGCCAAACCTCCGTATTGGCCATGAAAATCAGATCCACAAACACTAAGTCCTTTAGCACATCGTTCATCGTTCAGTTATCTTTCATCCTATTCTCGACATGTCCAGGCAAAAAAAAAAACCTTCCAAAAATGGGGGGTGCCTAAAAATCAGATAGACCAAAAATCCTCCAACAAAATGTCTCATGGGGATTTTTCCTCGGTTTTTCAATGCTTCGCTCGTTTTTAATCCACCGGATCCAGCAGCCGCCTGCAATTTGTTGATCACCATGGGCCAGTTCAGGGCAATCAGCATGGGATCCAAAAATCCCAGCTGAACGAAGACGGTGACGCCGAAAAAGCTCGTCAGCTGCCACGTTTTTAAAAAACGTTGCCGCAACGGCAAGGTTGGTTGATGAAAGGATGGTTATGTGGTATATGATAATATATATATATATGATATATCTATGATATATCTATGATATATCTATGATGTATCTATGATATATCTATGATGATATATCCGGAAAAATGAAAGAATGCAGCAAAATGTAATATCACGGGAAAATCATGAGCAAAAATAGTGTGGAACCCTTTTGGTTGATGTGGTGATTCACTGGCACAAATGGGTATGCAATACTGCTGGCTGATGGTCAAGCATGGACTTATACTAGCAGTTACAAGCAGGAGTGACACATCCAATCATTCGAAGTGGAAGTCCCCGCATAAACCAACCATTGACAGGGGATGACACTGCGTTGTTTCTTGTTCAAACATGTTTGTTGGTTCATTTAATTTGGTTGCAGTCGGATCGGATTATAGTAACATGCCAGAGACCACTGCAATTCTCGTCAAAAGTGGCAGGTTTTTGTACCTGGGTGGATTTCAAGCGACCATGGAAAACTTGCAATCATATATCATTCTGATTTTAGATGAATCTAATGAGTGTTCATTATTATGTGTCACATCTGAATTACACTGCGCAAGCAAAAGCTGAGTACCATTGTTCTGGAGTATTTTCCATCTTCTCGGATGGACCTTAGCACAAAACAGTTTTCTGAAACATCCGCCTTCAGTTTGGACATCAAACGACGGCCATGGCATAGAAAACCTCTGAGGCTGAGGCACCGACACCCTTGATTCAACTATTTGCGATCTAAAACTCTTTCCCAATTGTAAGCTGTGAGCCAATTTTGCCAAAAATGGTCAACGAACGCATTTTTTGTCCGCCCTGCCCCCCCCCCATCATATCAAATCAAAGCGTGCAACATGGTTCCAAGTGTGATCGAACTTTTTGAGCTTTTTGAAAGTGGGAAAAGCTGTTCGAGGCCTATTCTACGTGTTGTGTGCAAATGTTGCAGCAAGGCCCGATAGCAACTCCCACGCAACAAAGACTGCGGAATGCTTTCGGCTGCCGAAGCTTGTTTCAAAACTTCGTGGCCAAGGCTGAAAGCCAGGGAGAGTTCCCAGTTCGTCGAGAGACTACGCAAAAAGGCCGATCGACAGTCGGTGGTATCAGGCGTATCAGGTTCAAGATTTGCCTCTGCTGTCCAAGTCCACACTATCATAGCAGCCTCATTTGGACTCTCGTGGAAATAGAATTTAACAAATGGATACAAATGGATTAGCTAGGTTAGCCTGGTGTTTAAAAGAATTTGTCTTCCCCAAATTTTAGGTTTCCTCCAACTTTTGAGAAAAGGCACCTGCCATGGTTCCGAGCAAGCACCTAAAATGGTGCTACCCACTGCGCTTGAGATGCCATCCCAGGTAGAAATTGTCTTGGCTGCCACCTTCAAAGATTTTTCCCACTGATGGCCAGATGCGAGCGCAGCAACATTCGCACTCCAAGAAATTCCATCCAGCAAAACCCCTCGATTTTGCATTAGATGCAAGACGTGAATTGCAAAGTCCCATTGTCTCGCAGCCGTGCCGGCAGTGGTTAGTGAACTGCATGTCACAGCCTCAGAAACCACTCGGCAAATGAACCCGTGATTCCTGATCCCTTTTCCACTCTACCGGGGCCCCAAGAAAAACTTAAGGACTCATCTCCACTCCATGGGCAAGCGTGTTGCACTATATACAGTAATTCATAGCATTGGCATAGTTGACAGCGTCAACATGATTTCCGGTTTGATGTTTGTAAACATCCAGAGTCGGGGTGTCAATGCAATGAGTTTTGGCGACAAAGTGTGGGGGTTCAGCCAGCCATTGTGGTCCAACTGGTCAAGCCATCCCACACCCAAGAAACGGCATGCCAGAAAGTCAGCTACACCAAGGTGCATCACATTGTGCATGCATGTGCTGTATGCACACTTCCCAAGGACTTGCGCTGGTCTCTCGATCGCGAGCTCCCATGATGGCATTGGAAGTGATCAAGCCAGGTTGAAGGGAGACCACTCGCAGTTGAAGCGCCAGCTCTCCAGCCCTCTCCCAGCAGCTTGAAACCATGCAGCCAGAAATGGCTGAGGTCCATCCATAGATATCGGCTTCATCAATCAGCGCCACGCACCAAGGCCAGCTGAGAGACCCCGATGATGCTGTCCGGATGGCAGAGTTGGTGGCGATCACACGACCTTGGTCAGGGTTAGGTTCAACGCCGTTCTCGACAGCACTGTTTCCGGTCAGGCTTTATCACTGGCAACGACCTTTAAACTGTTGAAACTGCTAAGAAATTGCCACCTGAAATTCAGGCTCCCGGCGGGAAAGTCCTTTCTCACACGCAGTCGACAGGCACAGGAGGGCCTTGCACCAGCTTTGGGTTGCCAGTTCTTGACCATCGCATCCGCAAGCCTGCAAGCCTACAACCATGTCACACCCTGCCTCATTCCATGCACGAGATCCCAATGCACCAACAGCAGCATCAAACGTGGTGCCAAGGAGTTGGAGGTGATTGCCACATATCTCAGGGATTCAGAAAGTGATGACACAAAGCCTCCAAAATGCCAAAGCAGCACAACACAAAAAAGATATCAAAAGATCATTGAAAAGCCATCATTTCAGCTACCTTTTGGTACCTTTTGCATCGGTGGATTCCGTGCGCCTCCTCTATGAAGGCAGCAGCATGCTGCCATAACTTCGTGTGTTGGAAGCACGAAATCGCAGCATTGCAAGTGATCACCTGAGCAATGGTCCAGATGGTCCAGCGAAGTATGGTGCACAGCTGGCATCAGCTGGCACTGCTCCCCAAGGATCCCAAGGCCAATAAGACGAGCAACATTGGCTCGAAGGCCACACTGCGAGATGATGCCAAACACCCCAAGTACATTTCGCCAAGCCAAGCCTTTTCCTCAGCGCCACAGGCGGAATCTTGTTGCGGGCTTGACTAGGCTACACTTTGCCAGTCTGAATCTGCAAGATTTCTGATCCTTCAGCAAACAGATCTGATCGACACAAACGCCACACCCCCCTCACTGATGACGTCTTAGGTTCACTGAATTTGGGCCAGCTACCGCCCCCCATCGACCACCCTTTTTGGATACAGTCAGCTGAGCTTCCACAAGCATCCAGTGCAGCACTGCACAGCACCACATCAAAGGCACTGGGGCACCTGGTCCTCGTGGAATGCAGCACTTTCAGCGCCTTGACCTCAGGGTGCCGTTTTTAGGGATGCTGCTTGTTTTGCTCACCCACCTTCCCTCATCCATCATCCATCAGCCATCAATCCACATGGTCAAGTGGAGTTCCACATCTTCGTCTCTGGGAGCCCCGGCCCAGTGGCGCCCCAGAGTGCATGACTTCACCACCAGACTTCCGGCTCGAAAATCCAGTTGCAGACCTTGATGAGACAAGGTGGTGGTCAGCAGCTCCAAAGGCCTTTGCCAACGACCAACCCTGACATCTTTGGAAGCCTCTTGACTACAGCCTATCACGGTCAGCTGACCAACCATGCGCTAAGGAGGGCCCCAAAGCTCGAGCCGAGATTAAGAATCAGCCGAGTAAACGCAAGACCGGCTTGGAGTTTTGAGGCTTGCGGTGCAAAATGGTGCAAATGTGGGACCTCAGTCCATGACGTGCAGGAGTTGGTTTGGAATTCAGTTTCAGGAATCAGGAATGATATTGCACCACGACACATGACTCTCACATGACCTCCCACTCCAGCTCTATATACTTAGCATTGAATATTTTTCGTGGTGGCCAAGCACTGTTTCGCGCAGCCAGTCCGCCAGTCAGCCCTAGGGGCCGCAGGCAAAAAGGCAAAGCCTTTCACAAAGAGATTAAGCCAGACTCCTGCCAGGCGCACAAGTTTTTGAGTCGCAAGTTCAAAATGACCTTCTCACTGACAAAATGCGAAATGAAAGCACCCTTGTCCTGAAGAAGATGACTGAAATCATGTTCTATTTCAGGCTCCGGCTTCTTGTAGAAGGATGGACCCTTGGATACCAAATTCAACTAGAAAGGAAGAAGAGCGTACAAACAGAAGCCTCCTGTGCTTCCTAAGTGCCAAACCCTCGTCAAAAGCTTCGAGTGTGCCGCCTTGGACAAGGGGCGAAATCCAGCCCAGATGGCGACAGCGTCGCCCGACATCCACAAACACGAAACACCACCGGCCTTCGCAGCACTGCCCAAAGCTGCAAACTTGTTTCTTTGCACTGGCGATGCCACATCTGCTAGGATCGCCTTGAAGAACTGTGCACGAGGTCTTGCATCTTGAGGGTACTTCTTGAACTTCACCCGAACCTTTCGCTCAGGTAACAGAGCAGCTTCCTTGGCCATATGCTTCCAAATGAAAGTAAGGAGCTTGCGTTCATCATCTTGGAATTCCTGCAAAATCCCGCGGCACCATACGGGCAACGTGGCCCGTTCTGGAACTCCGTCCCGCAATTGAACCTCTACAAATGTGCTCACAAATTGGTGAGCCATGCAATCCAATTGTGCCTCAAGGCCTTCAGGGTCTAAGACTGGGATGGCGGAGAGGCAGCTAAGGGTGCCACGGTTGAGAGTCAAGACAACTCTCAAGTCTTGCTTTGGTAAAATCCAGCTCTCTGGCGGACTTTCTAAATAGAGACATGCTTGGACCCTTCCACTTGCCCAAGGTGACTTTGGAAGCTGCATCTTGGGTAAACACAAGGTGCGGCCAAGAGTATCACTCGCTCCTATATCAAAATGGCTTGTTGGTGACACTGGTGAAGCTGTGTTGGGCGTTGTCTTAGGCAACTTCTTAGCCCTGCAGCCACAAAGACCAAAAACTCCTAGAAGTTGACGTGCGCGAGCACGAGCTTGACGGGCAGCTTGCGGGTCCATTCGCGGTACACGCAAGATCACCGTCTCAATCTCTCGAAGGCTCATCGGCCTGTGACGATCGATGAAAATCGATGATTTTTTGTAAGGTATACAAATTGCATTTTCCGGGAGAACTTGTCACGGTGAGGAGTCAGGGAGTGGATGGAATGGGAATGGGGATGCAAACTTATTTTGCAGATATTGCACTGCCATGGCGTGTACATGTCTGCAATGCAAAGCTCGACAAGCTTCTGCGCCTCGAGCCCACCAAGTAGCTGACCCGATTTCGGAAATTGCTCATTTCAGATTTTGTCTGCGGAGCACCGAAAATGAGAAAGCCATGCAGAAGAAGGCAATGGTAGATGTTGACCTCAAATCTTCAGGGCGCTTTTCATATTCTGTCCACCCCCAAACCGATTGGGTTTGTCAAGAAACGGGGCATTGCCATTTCAAGAACTTGGTGAGAAAAAAAAAAAACGTTTCACCCCATTTTTGTTCGATGACCCTTTTTTTGCCATCTTTGGTGGATTTTGGAGTGAATATCGATCCTTATCGGTTCTGTCCATAGGTTTCTTAGCAGAACCTGTGGCGAGTTGCCCAGAAGGCCAGCTGCTCGGCTTCGCTCCAACTCCCAAAGCGCATTGCCTGAGACGCAGAACTCCGAGGGGTTCACCATCAAGAAATGGCGCTTTTAACCAGGAAAAATGATGAAAAATGGAGGTTTGGAAGTTTAGCCCATAAAAATGAGCAATGATTTACATCGGGTTTTGCCTTTTATCAAGCCAATCTTAACTAGCAATGATGGGGATAGAACTATGACATACATTGACAGTGACATACAATGACATTGTCAAGGCATGTCAAGGCATACTTATTGGCTGAGTCTAGTTGAGTTTGAAGGAAGCAAAAATTGTCCGATGAATTGCGCTAGTCTATGCATGTCTATGCCATACTGTGCTACTCCTGCACACTTATCCAAGGCACCTTCAGGAGGCAAGTGGCATCAAGAAATGCAGTGACATCAGCTGCTTTTGGTACATCACCAAGAGCAAGAGCTTCCTCCAGGAGGCTTCGCGCAATGTCTGACTCCAAGTCTTTTTCTGGAGCATTGGTGAGGATCCGGTCGTTCAGAACTAAACGTCTTCGATTCCCCCAGCGCCGGGCTCGGGTCGAATCCATCAATAGAAAGGCCTCTTTGCTTGGCACTCTTTGCCCCCCAGTGATGGCCCGCAGCCCATTGAAAGCTCCACCAGCCACTTTCCCTGCAGCTTTCTTGGCCATGTTGCTGAAGACATCGGTTGGATTTGACCTGGAGCTTTTCCAAGTGGCAGGTGTCTTTGGAGTGGCCGCCTCACGAGGGGATTCGGCAAACAGCTTCCCATCCTTGACATCCTTGCCAGCACTAGCAGCACCATCCTTGTTGTCGTTTGGTACCATCAGCTGAGAATCATGGAACTGCGACATGACTTGCTGCAGATTTGAGATCCACTGCTCTCGCTCTGCTTCTTCAGCACAACAGAACACGAAGACACGCAAGCCGGTATGTACCTGGCAAAGAAAACACATCAAAACTTGCAGTACTAAATTGTACTTCTGAGAAATGCATTTTGGGGAGGAGCATTGTTAAATATTGTTTTTTTCGGCCGCCAAGAGTTCCACAATGTTCCACTAGTTCCACACCTGCCACAAGAAGAAACGTCCCAGGAAGAGCCCAGGAAGTGCTTCGATCTGCAAAATCTCTGTGGCGTGGACGCTGACGCGTGGCTTTTCACAGTCGTAGGGTGTGAAGCACCGCAGCACGCCATCAGATGATAAGCGTAACAGCTCCTCGCAGAGCCTGCCCTCAAAATGCACACTTCCCACCAACGCCTCGGCTCGTTACCGCGGATATTTGCGGATTCAACTACACAAATGATAAGTACGGTATATATATATATATTATATGCAAGCATGCATGCATGTATGTACTATTTATATCTATTAAACTGTATGTATGTATAAAACGTATATATATATTACAGAACAGCAACTGGAGATGTATCAAGCACGGTGATTCTAAGCTATACTTATACTTCCTCATGTAGGGTCTTGTGCATTGGTTAGCGACCTTTTCCGTGTAGATAGAATGACACAAACATAGCAACTTTCGACTTTCAACTGAGAAGGATAGATGAATACGCCAAAGGACCTCCTGAATGACTTTTGAGCGACCTTGCCGCGCATGTGCGAAGGCAAGAGCGCAAATCACGCTGTCAGATGCCACGAAGAAGCGTGGTGCAATTGATGGCCAGCGTCGTCGTTGCAGACCCATTGCTTTCTTTCGCACCTCAGACATGGTTTCAGCCTCAAACATCTAAATTCTCAAAAACCAGAACATCATCTTGTATCCAATGTCATCAGTGAAACCGAGCGTGCCATATAGGCCGAGTTGCTTTCCTTGCAAGCCTGGAAGGGCTCATTTGATTAGTTTGCTCTCGGGGACTTTCTGAAGTATTTTGCGTACCACTTGCCGCAGCAGTCGGCCGACCAGACTCCACTGTAACCATTTCAGGCGTCAGAGTTCCAGATTCAGCTGCTCTGAGCAAAACATTCCTGCAAACAATTTCCGAGAATCTGCCTAAATCAAATCAAGAAAATGCGAGAAGGTCAATATTCAACGGTCAGCTATCCATTTCATGGGCGGACAGTCCTCAATTTGGAGTCCTCTTGCTGCAAATGATCCAACACCACCATTCGAAATTGCTCCAGTGTCTTGACAGCGCAGCATGTGTACCTTCGACAGACAAACGACGGTGGGAGGTAGCCATCGACTCACCAATAGATCTTGGATAAAACAACGGTTATTCACATGTATGCGAGCAGTCATGTTTACTGGCAAATACATACATACATACATACATACATTACATTACATTACATTACTTTACTTTACGTTACATTACATTACATTACATTACAATACATACATACATACATACATATATAGAGAGAGAGAGAGACATGATTAGCGGATATCAGGTATTGGATGTTAGGTGTTAGATGATGGATATCCGATATTGGATGTGGGTATTAGATATTAGATATAATATATTGAGTTTTGGATATTAGATACAGATGAAATGCAATTAGTAATATAGCATAGATATAGAGGTAGATAATTATTTATATTAGGTATGATCGATATATATATATATAAGAACATATAGATATATATATATATATAAAACACATATATAATTATCAAAGGAAGTTTAGGGGGAGAAACTTCCGTGTTACGGACTTTTAGAATGTCAGGGAAAGAGTTAGTCAAAGAAAGAGTTAGCAAAGAAAGAGTTCGTCAGGGAAAGAGTTAGTCAAAGAAAGAGTTAGTGAGGGAAAGAGTTCGTCAAAGAAAGAGTTAGTGAGGGAAAGAGTTAGTCAAAGTAGTCAAAGAAAGAGTTAGCAAAGAAACAGTTAGTCAGGGAAAGAGTTAGTCAAAAAAAGAGTTAGTGAGGGAAAGAGTTAGTCAAAGAAATAGTTAGTGAGGGAAAGAGTTAGTCAAAGAAAGAGTTAGTGAGGGAAAGAGTTAGTCAAAGAAAGAGTTAGTCAGGGACAGAGTTAGTCCAAAGAAAAGAGTTAGTCAGAAAGAGTTAGTGAGGGAAAGAGTTAGTCACAGAAAGAGTTAGCAAAGAAAGAGTTCGTCAGGGAAAGGGTTAGTCAAAGAAAGAGTTAGTCAAAGAAACAGTTAGTCAGGGAAAGAGTTAGTCAAAGAAAGAGTTAGTGAGGGAAAGAGTTAGTCAAAGAAAGAGTTAGTCAGGATATATGAGGTAGTCAAAGAAAGAGTTAGCAAAGAAAGAGTTAGTCAAAGAAAGAGCAAAGAAAGAGTTAGCAAAGAAAGAGTTGTTAGGGAACGAGTTAGTCAAAGAAATTGTTCCCGCAATGTAAATGGGATTGCAAGTGGTGCTGGTGGATGAGTTGCCGATGGAGTTTTGAAGGAAGTCTCGCACGAAATGCGTTTTTGAGAGATAGCAGATGCACGAAAGCCTATGTTTTTCCATGCAAAGTCCGTCCCCGAACCTCGATGATCTACCTCTGCGGTGCGACGGTTGCGAGACGGTCTCGTGTGTGGTCGGATCATGCTCGGATCATTCTCGGATCGGTTCCGCATTGTAAATGGGGTGTCACCTGTGTTTCGTGCATGTGTGGTCGACAGAATTCCATTGTGATTTGCAACTGTAGGATCGTTCCCGCAATGTAAATGGGATTGCAAGTGGTGCTGGTGGATGAGTTGCCGATGGAATTCCATTGTGATTTGCAACTCTCGGATCGTTCCCTCACTGTAAATGGGATTGCAAGTGGTGCTGGTGGAGGAGTTGCCGATGGAGTTTCGAAGGAAGTCTCGCACGAAATGCGTTTTTGAGAGATAGCAGATGCACGAAAGCCTATGTTTTTCCATACAACGTCCGTCCCCGAACCTCGATGATCTACCTCTGCGGTGCGACGGTTGCGAGACGGTCTCGTGTGTGGTCGGATCATGCTCGGATCATGGTCGGATCATTCTCGGACCATGGTCGGATCATGGTCGGATCAGTTCCGCATTGTAAATGGGGTTTCAAGTGTTTTTCGTGCATGTGCGGTCGACAGAATTCCATTGTGATTTGCAACTGTAGGATCGTTCCCGCATTGTAAATGGGGTTGCAAGTGGTGCTGGTGGATGAGTTGCCGATGGAATTCCATTGTGATTTGCAACTCTATAGGATCGTTCCCTCACTGCAAATGGGATTGCAAGTGGTGCTGGTGGAGGAGTTGCCGATGCAGTTGTGAAGGAAGTCTCGCACGAAATGCGTTTTTGAGAGATAGCAGATGCACGAAAGCCTATGTTTTTCCATACAAAGTCCGTCCCCGAACCTCGATGATCTACCTCTGCGGTGCGACGGTTGCGAGACGGTCTCGTGTGTGGTCGGATCATTCTCGGATCATGCTCGGATCATTCTCGGACCATGGTCGGATCGGTTCCGCATTGTAAATGGGGTTTCAACTGTTTTTCGTGCATGTGCGGTCGACAGAATTCCATTGTGATTTGCAACTGTAGGATCGTTCCCGCATTGTAAATGGGATTGCAAGTGGTGCTGGTGGATGAGTTGCCGATGGAGTTTTGAAGGAAGTCTCGCACGAAATGCGTTTTTTTCTCCATTTTGGCGCTAGTGATTTTCCTTCTAAAAATCCTTTTAAAAAGTGCTTCAAAATCGTCTTTTTTTTCGCTCTGGCGTCGAGATCCGGTTTTGGAGCTACAATTTCCGACGCCGTTGCGCGTAGTTCTATTGTGTTTTGGAACTCAATCTCTGCAGATCGCATTGTAATGGCTGCGTCAAGGTTGCTTCGTGCTGTGGCTGCATTTGTAATACTATTGTCTTTTGCAGCTGGATCTCGTAAATCGTATTGGAGTGGCTGCATGAAGGCTGCGACAGTGATTTGTCAGCAGTTTTTCTCCATTTTGGCGCTAGTGATTTTCCTTCTAAAAATCCTTTTAAAAAGTGCTTCAAAATCGTCTTTTTTTCGCTCTGGCGTCGAGATCCTGTTTTGGAGCTACAATTTCCGATGCCATTGCGCGTAGTTCTCTTGTGTTTTGCAACTCAGTCTCCGCAGATCGCATTGGAATGGCTGCGTCAAGGTTGCTTCTTGCTTTGGCTGCATGCGTAATGTCTTTTGCAGCTGGATCTCGTAAATCGTCTTGGACTGGCTGCATGAAGGCTGCAAAATGGATTTGTTAGCAGATTTTCTCCATTTTGGCGCTAGTGTTTTTTTGTTGCACGTAGGTTTAGAGCAGTGTGAAGTGTGGGGCGTGAAGAGTGCAGCGTGAAGTGTGCAGTGTGAAGCAAGCAGTGGGAAGTGAGAAGTGTGAAGTGTGGAGTGTGAAGTTTAAGTGTGGAGTGCAAAGAGCACAGTGTGAAGTGTGAAGTGTGAAGTGTGAGGTTTGGAGTGTGAAGGAAGCAGTGAGAAGTGTGAAGTGTGGACTGTGAAGTGTGAAGTGTGAGTGAAGTGTGGAGTGTGAAGTGCGAAGTGAGAAGTGTGAAGTGTGAAGTTTGGAGTGTGAAGTTTGGAGTGGGAAGGAAGCAGTGAGGAGTGAGAAGTGTGAAGTGTGGACTGTGAAGTGTGGAGTGTGAAGTGCGAAGTGAGAAGTGTGAAGTTTGGAGTGTGAAGGAAGCAGTGAGAAGTGAGAAGTGTGAAGTGAGAAGTGTGGACTGTGAAGTGTGGAGTGTGAAGTGCGAAGTGAGAAGTGTGAAGTGTGAAGTTTGGAGTGTGAAGGAAGCAGTGTGAAGTGAGAAGTGTGAAATGTGGAGTGTGAAGTGTGAAGTGTGAAGTGCGAAGTGAGAAGTGTGGACTGTGAAGTGTGAAGTGTGAAGTTTGGACTGTGAAGTGTGAAGTGTGAAGTGTGGACTGTGAAGTGTGAAGTGTGCAGTGCGAAGTGTGAAGTGTGAAGTGTGAGGTTTGGAGTGTGAAGGAAGCAGTGAGAAGTGAGAAGTGTGGAGTGTGAAGTGTGGAGTGTGAAGTTTGAAGTGCGAAGAGTGCAGTGTGCAGTGTGAGGTGTGGAGTGTCGAGGGAAGGACACGGTCGGGACAGGTTGTCTTTGAACTATAGGTCATTTATGTTTGGGAAACTTCCGCCGCCGGCTTGCCCGGGTCTATGTTATAATTATATATATATATGATATATGATGTGTATGTGAGTTTGTTTGTCCATCATTCATTGATTTATTCATCATTCCATTAGATTTGCATAATACATGCATAGTATGCGGCAGCGACTGAAGTTGCCGTTTCCTGCCTTCGTGCCCCCGGTCCTCGCCGAAAGGTGCGCAGCCGACGCTTCGGTCGGCAGAGCGACGCCAGTTCCAGCGAATCTCGGGCATGCCAATGAGGTTTGTCGGCTTCGGAGCTGAAAATGCCAAAAATGTACCAATATCGTACCTGATGGGATCAAGAATGCTCAAGAATGATCTGAATGATCTCTTGAAGCGTTCGAAAAACCACAGCTATAAGGATATTAAGGGGGAAGGTGTGAGTGTCATTGGAATGGAAACGTGCAAGGCACGGTATGATCTTGAAAATTTGGAATCAGGCATTCAAGACGAATTCAAGAAGGGCGTCCCTGGGGTTGTTTGTGCAGATCCTCACCTTGCGACGTCGGATACGATCGATGGCTTCAATATAGAAAGGCAAGCGAATCTGAATATCTCCAGCCGGACCATTCATTGCTCGAGGTCGCCAACTCTCGATCTCCAACAAAGCCTGGGAATGGCTTTTGCTGAGGGCTCTGATTGCTTCCTCATCTTGGTCAATTTCATCATCCTCCTCGGAACCCTGCGTTGAGTCCGAATCACTAGCGTCATCATCGTTCACCAAACCTTCCGCTTCGGGATCAGGCTGTGAACCTTCCTCGGAGGCATCCGACGCAGCTTCAAGTGGTGTCTTGGGTGAGTCATCAAACTCAAGCTGGGAAATGGCTGGTTGGGGCCACTCTTCTCCTTCGGAGCCGCGCGCAAAAAATATCTCCAGGATCAAGCTCTCCCTGAAATTGGCATGAGACCCACCACAGTGGCCCAAATCGTAGATGCATGCACAGCCTGACTTAATCTCTCCCAGAACGCTTTCTAATGGTAGGGGACTGATGGCTGGTACTTTCAACAATTCCCAGGTGCATAGATCGAGGTAAGCGACTCTCCACACGAACGTGTATGTACTGGTGGTGTCAACCTCCAACAATCCTGGCCCCGCCCATGCGATGTTCTCGACTTCTTCACTCCCAAGTTTGGGTGGTTCTTCACCCTCAGGAGTGCGATTGAAGCACATCAAGGCTCGAATGTGGAAGCCCATGAAACAAGGGCTGGTCTTGCTACCCAGGTCGATGACAAATCGGCCACCTGTTTTCTTTTTAGCGAAGTTTGCACCAACCTTGGCAACATTAGACATGATCCAACCAAGGTTAAGTTCACCATCCAGCGTTCCACCTGCCCAAATGTTGGTGGAATTCTCCTGGCCCATGCTGGCGGTCTTCTTGAACTTCCCCTGAAATCGAACCTCAGGTTTGAAAAGAAATTGAACAGGATAGTTCAATGAAGTTCAATGTTCCAAATCATTTTGGGATTGCGAATTATTTGTGAATGATTATTTGTGTGTTCAAAATAGCACTATTTGGAGAAAAAAGGAGACTTCAATGTCAAGAGACCATTAAGCCTTTTCTCTGTCCATCAGGTGGAGGTTTCACGGCGCCAGGTTCATTGCCGGTATCATGAATCACGTGAAACTGACCTGCCGAGCAAAGCAGTCAAAGCAATCTGTCGCTTGTGATGACTCACAAGAGTCACATGAAGGTTCTTCAAATGAGGGACTCCTAAACCGTGAGTTGCCCCATGTTGCCCCAATAAACATTATATATACTGGTACCAATTTTGAATGATTTTGCAGTGTCGCATTTCAGGAAACCACCACTTGTTCTCTGTTGGCAAAAAACTGTTTGACTCCTCGTATTTGGCTGACGCGTATCTCGCAATAATTGCTGAGGAACGCACCTTTGAAACCAGGCGCATCAAATTCAACGGGTTCTCCATTGATGGTCACTGGAACCCGCTCACCTGTGACTGTTCCCAATGACAGAAAAAACGGTCTACTGCGTGCAGCACACATTCACACAATGATTTCGGCAACGCAAGCCGTATTTTGGCCAGCATTCTTTGCTACCTACACTTGGGCCACAAGATTTGCAGCGCTAAAATCCGCCCACACCGCTTTGGCGGTGAAGGCGTGCTTATTGGGGGGCAACAGCAACACTAAATGCTCAATGACATTTGTTAATATAGCAGTCGCTATATCAGCTTTAGCTGGGGGGGGGGCCAAAAACGGTTTCGCACCGAGACCAGACCCCAAAAACGGTTTCGCACCGAGACCAGAATACGGTGGTGTTTTCGACATTTTTCGAGGATTTTTGGGTGTCTGAGCGCAAGAGGTATTGAAATGGAATTTTGGGTCATTTTGGTAGCTTTCCGGCAGTGGAAAAACGGCCAAAAATGAAAAAAACATTGTACATAGCAAGATTTTGCAGGGTTTTTGGATGCCAGAGCATTGAAAACACTGCAAAAACAAGTGTTTTGGACTGACGTTATAGCAAAAAACGTGTAAATTACCGTATGCTTGACTGGAAACATTACAAAAACACTGTCAAAAGCAATGTTTTGGAAGGATTTACTGCCTTTATGGCAAAAAACGTGTAAATTACCGTCTGTTTGACTGGAAACATTGGAAAAACACTGTCAAAAACAATGTTTTGGAAGGATTTCTTATTGAAACTTCTTAGCTTGAAGAGCCCCCACGGGGGAAAACCACCCTTAGCCCCTCTCACGGACCGAAATAAACCTGCGGTGTGGACGGCCACCCCACGCGAAGCGGGGTGAATATGCCCAATAAATCCAACAAAACAATCGTGAATTTGCTGACAACTGTCCCTGACACGGTCGAAAAAACACATAGTCGCGTTTGAAGCAACAGTATGTATTTTGTGGCATGGACCTGCTGTTTATACCAGTAACAGTAGTAGTACCGCATAAGGCGGCGGCGGAAGTTTCAAAATAGGAAACCTATAGGAAAGGTTGGTTGTTGTGACTCACGGATGGCAGAGCGAATCCACTGATGGACCGAAAGGTGGTTGGATTTGTGTTTTCTGGAGTGGTTGCAATGGTTGCAGTGCACCACAACTGCTGGATGTAGTGTGGTGTAGCGCAGTTGTAGCAGTAGTTGTAGGTGTAGTTGTATTTGTAGCGTAGTGGAGTTGTAGTTGTAAGTTGTAGTTGTAATGTAGTGTCACTAGTGTAGTGTAGTGTAGTGTAGTCTAGTGTAGTGTAGTCTAGTGCAGTGTAGTGTAGTGTAGTTGTGGCTGATCTGGTGGTGATGATGGAAATGGTGGTAAGTCTGGAGGTTCATCTTGTGGTGAATGCATATCATCATCTGGAGAGTCATCATTTGGCCGTGGTGGTGATTGAAATGGTGTGTGAAAAGGATCATCATCATCATCATCATCAGGAGTTAAGCCGGGATGCGGCGTGTGAGGATCATCTTTGGTTCAGGCTCTCTCCAAAATTGCCAGGGAGGAGCATTGCAGACGACGGGAACCAGACAGGCTGAGTTGATTGCGGTGACAACAGAAGGTGAAGAGGTATTATTGCAACACGAGTTCATCGTCGGGAATGTCACGTCCTGTCTTGTGTCACTGGGGCAGCTCTATCAGGGTGGTTGGACAATTTTCAAAGATGAAACAAATGACAGCTTGAGTCTTCAATCTCCTGGGAATGAAATCAGGATACCAGTGGAGTACAGATATCGCTCTTTTGCCATCAAAGCACAGGTGAGGCAGATTTCAGATGTTTCTGGAAGTACTTGCGTGGCAGCTGATGGTGATGCTGAGTTTGCAGTGCGTACAGTTGTTTAGGGGAAGATGAGATTGAAAATGCCCCGATGGATTCCTGGGAAATGACTTCCAGCGGCACTCCATTCTTTCGAACAGTGACCACAGACTTCATCAACCCTGAACGTGTCTGGCCCTGTTGGCCCTACAGAACGACATTGATCAGAAAACATCAGAAAGGTAGAGCTTGGACAGTGGTTGAGCTATCCAGAAAATTCAAAGAGATGCGATATCCTTTTAAAAATGATCAATCAATTTCTTCTCACGATTAGATTTGAAGATGAATGTGAAACCCTGACTCTACTTGGTGTTGAACCTCAATCTTTGTTGGATCTTGGACTGGTGGTAGTTGATGAGAGCGGTGATGTTGTATTTGGACAGGAAGAATTTGGTGTGACAGGTTTACGTGATGAGATTCCTGAGTCCAAACCTTCGAGCTCTTCAAACCCAATGGTCTTGCTGCCACATGATGGAGGACAACAGATTGAAATACCCGAAGTTGAACCTGGTGAAGAAACCCAAGCAGCTCCAGAAGTTGAACTTCAAGCAGAACAGGAAATGTTGGTTATCAATGATGATTTGGTGGTGACACCCAGTTCCACCATACGGCTCTTGCGTGATGCTTGCAGGTGGCTTGGTATATCACAGTCTGGATCAAGAACAAGGATGTTTGACCGATGCAAAAAGGCCGTTGAGTTGGCTTTGAAGAGAGAGGCTGTTCTTTCTGCACAAGAGCAATACAAGTCTTTGCAGTTGGACGCAGAACCCATTTCTGTGCCTCCTCAACCTAGTGACCGAGAAAGAGAACTCCATGATCTGACACATGTACCATTTCAACCTTGGTGCAAATACTGTGTGATGAGCAGATCGAAAGCCGACCATCATTCTCATGTTCCAGATCCTGCAGGTGAAGCGCAAAGGGAATCTCCAACAATCCAGTGTGACTTTTTCTTCATGGAGCCAGGAAAAGAAGGTGCAGTTGTTGCACTCCTCATGGTGGATGTTTGGTCGAGATATGCTGCAGTTGCCCCTCTGAAGCAACGCAATGCGCAGACAGTTGGCCGTGCTTTGGTGACCTTTATTGGCAGTGTCAGAGATGGAACCGTTGAACTGGCATTTGACAACGAGCCTGTTTTGGTGGCTGGTGCCAACTTTTGCAAGTCAGTGAGAGCAAAATCTGAACTCACAACACATCTTACTGCGAACAAGGTTGGTGACAAATCCAGGACGAGAATTGCTGAGAGATTTGTTCAAACCATCAGGGGTATCCAGAAAACCCTGATTTGCCAACTTGAAGGTGAGACGAAAGTTGTGGTCCCAGATGGACATCCAATAGTGCAATGGGCTGCAATGCATACAGCTTGGCTCTACGACCATTACCAAGTTCACTCCACCATGAAGGTGACACCACACCAATCCCTTCGAGGCCCAACATATCATGGAAAGGTGGCATGTTTTGGCCAAACTGTGTATGGCCTTGACCCCAAGTCATCAAAGTACAAACCGGCATGGAAGAAGGGAGCTTGGTTAGGAAAGGAAGATACAACTGGAATGGATCTTCTTTGGACAGAAGGGCGGTGTGCCATTCGAACAAAAGCTGTCAGAAAAATCAACAACCAATGGGATGCTGAACTTATTCTTGGCCTTACTGATGGACCCTTGGACTTCGTTGGACACAAACCAGCGGTGAGAACCAAACAGAAAATCATCGCTTTGAGGGGTCCAATACCACAGGAAATCGATGAGGAAGCTGAAGCAGTTCGTGACCAAGTTCTTTCAGATGGGTACTCTGCTTCAGAAGCTCTTGACGATGGTGATGTTGCTCAACAACATGGTTTGGCACAGGTGAATGCTTGGGAGAACGTTGGATTGGATGATGTTTCGGATACAGATGGACAACAAATGATGTTTGAGCAAGGTGGGGCTGTGTCACCAAGCATGTTGAAAGCCCCAGACACTCCTGTTGCAGACAGTGATGAAGATGTGGAGATTCCATCTGGTTCTTGCAAACATCCCTCCAGCACTCCTTTGAATGACGAGCGTGCCAAGATGCAAAAGATGGATGACGATCCACCTATTGTCCCAAAGAGCAAAGCGGCCAAGTTTGAAAGCAAGGTGAACCAAGTGGCAGACATTGAGATTTGCCACAACGATGAGATTGATGAGTTCACTGGTGATCTAGAAAATGGTTTTCAGTATCCTGACCTCGAAGATGAATACATAGCACAACAGGGTGAAGGAGATGGCCCACCAAACGTGAGCCCAGAGAAACTCAAGGAGCCTGATGAGAGCGCAATCCTTCATGAACTTGAGAAGTTACATCGCATGGAGGTCATCAGACCTGTTACCCTTTCTCCAGAGGAGGCTGCGCAAGAAAATGCAGTGGATACAACTTTGGTATTTGACTGGCGTTTCAGAGGCAATGCTTGGATCATAAGGTGCCGAGTGGTGGCTCGAGAATTCAAAACTTCAGCCACTGATGAAAACAGTTTTGCCCCTACATCAGCCATTTCTGCAGTGAGGGTTGCTGGTCTTTGCGTTGATTTACAACTTCTCGGTGACTTCACTTGACGTTTCGGATGCATTTCTGATGGTGCCTCATACAGATGAGATGTATGTTGAGATTCCTCAGTGGGTTCGTGATTTGACAAGTAGACCTGAGACTCACTGGCGTTTGCTTCGTTGTCTTCCAGGCCAACGAAATGCAGCATTGAAATGGCATCAACACTTTGCATCCATATGTGCAAGCGCAGGATAAGTATCATTCCCTGGGTCACCAACAGTGATGCGACACAAGGACTTGGACAAGAAGGTCTTTGTGAATATCCATGTGGACGACATTCTCCTAGCGTGTTTGCCAGGTGATGTAGAATGGTTCAAAAGCAGAATTGGAGCTGAAAGTCGATGGGCCCCAATTGCCGGCCAGTGGAGAACAGCTCATGTATTTGAAAAAGGGGATCACTATGAGAGATGATGGAATCCTCATACAGCCAAATGCAATGTATGTTTTTTTCTAACACACTTTTTTCTGCAGCGTGTCTCACTGAAAGGCAGGTTCCGCGGCCACTCACAAAGAAAACCAAAAGCCAAAAAGGGGAGTCCACACAGGAAATCCAAAGTTGGGCTGGCTATGGGCCCGGCAAGCGACTTGGAGTTGTTGAAGCTTCTGGGTGTTGGGCCACGAGCTGCCCCAAGGGAGGAAGGTCCTCTTCGCCTGTGATTGCACTTGAAGGAGGCATTGAAAGCAGGGAAGCTGCGTAGGCATGCATGGCGGCATGCGTGAGAGAAGCGC